GTCTCAAAAAGTCTCCGGGGAAATGTCGAATTCAGGAGTTTTTGCTCCATCTTTAGCTAGCTTAGACATCCAGGAAGTGTAATGTACACTGTAGTTAATTTGACTCCTTTGATTAGCATGTGGGGAGGGGAGGGGAGGGTTGATGTGTTTCGTTTCGCTTTTCAGCTCTCTCACTCACTCCCCCTCCCCCCTGGTCCCCCGGTCGCGCGGGTGTCACCACGGAGATCCCTCCCGTATGGTCCCCATATGCCAAGACGGGACCAAGACGGGACGGGGTCGGTCTGAGCTGCGGGGCCGGGTTGACGAGATTGGTCATAGCGGTAAGCCGGCAACGTTAGCACGGAAAGCAAGCACAGGCGAAGTCGGATTTATAACGCCTCTACCGGCATTCCAAAGGTTAGCGTTTCGAAGTGCAAAGTGGCGATAATTTTTTTTTTTTTTCCGTACAAAATAACATGGTTGCTTAAAGTGGCGGTACCACGCTGACCAGTTGTGCCGGAAGAGAGTGTAACGAACGGGACCGGGATTTACGGGGCCTGATGGGTCCCATTTTGCTCTGATTAGTCCCCGAACCCCTCGCCGTCAAGTGGAGCCTGGGAGTTGCAGTGGAGCCCGGAATCCGAGGGACCGGAGTATTCTTGGCCTTTTTGGACGACATCCGCTGTTTGTCTGCTTCGTTTGCCTGGGAAAAGGGGAGTGCCTCTTGTGAGCATAGACAGACACAGCATTTCTGAAAGAACCGGAATGGCAGCATGGGAAAAGCGAGGGAGACGTGGTGACAGAGTGTCGATATCCTGCCAATGGGTCAACACAATTCGCATCCTTCGTGAACATTTCGGTACATGGACGTATGCTTCCTCTGTCCTGAACCAGGCATCTTTGTCCATATACAACACCAACCTCATAGCCTCGATGCCTCGTACGATCCTCAGGACGGAGGCAAAGCTTGCGAAGTCTGAACGAAGCCATAGCCCAAACAGTTCAATTCGACCCAACGTACGGGGCCGTGAAAGTCTCCGAAGAATGTTCCATCAATCGGGGCCAATGGCCCTCCTTCCTCAGTGTCTCTTTGACGACTTCCTGCAGCTCAACAGAGCCCAAAACAAGGGGACAGAGGCGAGAGTGGTTCGAGAAGGTAGGAACCAAGGCAGAGCAGTGGAGGAGGCCATCTGGCATCTGAGATTCTGACCAGCACCACTGGCGTGCCTGGCGCCTATTCTAGGGTCCGAACATGGTCAACGGGGAAGCTGGACCATTTGATGCAAGTAATCAGGGGGTAGTGTCATGCCGGGCAAATGACAGACGCACAGCATAACATGCTTGCCTGGGGAAGATGTGGGTTGAGATTGAAGCTATCCGAATGCGAGCATGGCCATCGGATGGCAGTCTGTCTCGAGATGTGTCCTGCAGGGGAGGTGACGACAGCGGACGAAACTAGACTGGTCTGATTCATTACTGAATGACGCACAGGCCACTTGACGTGTAAATCGTCGCTCGTTGTCGTTGAATGTCGACATCAGAAGTACGTACAATATCAAATACGGGGTGAGAGGGTGGGCAGCTTGAAGCCCAAGCTTTCCTAGGTCTTTCCGAGGATACCGCGGCGGAACCAAAATAACCAAGAGACAACAAGACCGAGGAGCTGGTGCGTGCGTGGATATTGACTCGTCAAGGTTGTGTCGAAGATAGGGATTTCTTTGTCAGCAGAAATCCAGGCATCTTGAATTACCCGAGAATATGTCCAAAAAGGAGATGATGACAGCTGTAAGGGCGTTGCAAGATTGACAGGAACATTGCTTGAAACAACATGTGAGATGGTGTAGAGAGAGAGAGGAGAGGTGACCATCAATCAATCAATCAATCAATCCTCAGAGAGCCAAGACCCACGCCGTCTGGGAAATGACGGTGCTGGCAAGATGATGTCGTCCAGTGGAAGGGGTCCGCCTCGCTTTTGGGCGGATTCAGGCCCAATCAAGCGCAGTGTGATGGGGCTCCAAGCTCAGTGGGATTCGCTGGCAGCAAGGCAGCCAGGGGAGCCAAACACCCTTGTACAGTGTAACCAGCAATGACACACCACACTAGCTACTGCTCACTCACTCTCGTGATGCTGAGATGCTCTCTTCTTGATGTTGTTGACCAGCAAATGGTTGATGACCACAGGCAGTTGACCAACCGTCGTGGCCTTGTTGGTCTTGCAGCAACAGCAGCAGCAACGGATTGAAACCGATGTACTGCGTAGGGAGCGAGGGGAGGCGGTTCCCCGGAGGCTTACACCTTTTCCAGCGCCCCCTTCTTGTGACTGAATGCATCACTGCCAACTGGAGTGGTGTTGATACTATTGATGCTTCCATGCCGAACAACCAATGCCCCCTCATCCAAGGTGAAGCTGTACACTATGCCCGTGGTAGAGGAGGTCTGACAACTGGCAAAGTGGATGGGCGTGACTGTTCCGGTGGTGTCGTCTAGTCCAGGGCAGGCTCTTTGACAATGCAGCCTTGATACAACTTTAAGCCGGCAGGCAGGGAATTGAGGGAAGATCCAGAGATCCAAACCGATCCAGGAATTTGGAGCCGTGATTGGACTTTCTTGGTCATCATATTGCCAGGGTCTCAAAGCGTCCTTTTTCTTTTTGGTGTTGACCGAATGTCCACACATGGAGAGCCGGAGATACAGAAGTTGTGCTCCCTAGTATTGTCCCCGGACAACAACTGAATACCCCAGACAGCTCCCTTGACTTTCCGGATAGTCCCCTACTCGGGGAAGCAGCCATGGCACGAGCCGGTCAACAGTCCCTGGTTATTGACTGTCGGTCTAGAGCAGAGAGATCTGAAAGGAGACGGATGCCAAACTGAAAATAGCCATGGCATTCTCGACGCGATTGGGAAGAAGAAAGCCATGGCGGGCGTGGACATGCTGACGAGATTAGAGGATTTCCATTAGAGGCCAGGTGCGGTGAGCTGGGTGCTGGAAAAGGCAAGGTGAGGATGAAAGAGGTCAAGTGTCAGCCGGCGACGACGCCGAAAGGTAAAAGTTGATTACACTAGCAATTTCCCCTCATTTGGCTTGTCCGGGCTGGCAGTCAGGGTCACATACACCGGCTGGCGGACAGTTGGTGACGGCTCGCTACCCCCCTCTGACGCTGATGGACGCCCGGTGATTGCAGTGAGCGGAACACGGACCCTTCCGTCTCAGCTGCCCTGTGCCCCTCCATCACAGCTTGAATCTGATGAGGTGGCAGCGGCTTATCTCTGGAGCACAGACCACTTTCCACTTTGTCTGGGTGCCTGTGCAACACCAAAGTTGGGGAAGGAACTACAGTACTAGAGTCACGATGGGATCATCTGATGCGACACCTCGGAAAGAGGGAAGGTGTTCTGCCAGCATGAAATCAAGACAAGATGCAGGAGCCTCTGGGACTGCGAGAGTGAGTGAGATTAACATCCATGGAATGTATGGACGGAGGGCCGGAGACCTGGAAGTAGTCAGTCACCATCTCGAGGTTTCAGTTCTCCTCTCTTCATGGAGTTTCCCCCACACACCTCAGCACGCAGCAACTGAACCGCCAGCTGTACAACACCCTCTTTGTCCCTCGTTTACAACTGCCAGGCGATGAGACCCGACGGAAGCAACTGGCAGCAAGCCACCACACCACCCACCCACACTGTCTCTCTCCCCGGACTTTTCCACCTGCACACACTCAATTGCAGTGCCCGTCAATGCATGCAAGGAGGAGGAAGCGGCTCAGCATGGGTGGTAATTGGTAGAGTGACCACTTCACTGGCCGCAGCGCAGCGCTCCAAGCCGACCGACGCATCGCATTGCCTTGTTGCCGTCCGTCTTCACGCCCACGACGCCGTCTTCACAAAGTTCCATTCCATCTTCCGCAACGACGACGACGCTAGCCAGCGCAGCACATTGCCCGTCATGATTGGGTTGGGTTGACACGGGGCCAGAGCCAATGACAACCTCCAGCTGGCTTTTGTTACTTTCCTAGGTACCCTTCCAGCACAGCCCGCTTAGGTAGGTACTACCAACCTCTATCATACACTCACACAACACTGCCCTGGTGCTGTGGAAAACAACAACTCGCTCTTTTTCTTTTTATTTTTCCAGTCTTCCAGATGCTTTGTCAGTGTCACACCGACGCATTACCACACACACACACACACACAGGTACACAACCACACCAAACCACCACATGTATTCCAAGCAAAAAGCAACGAATATGCCCTCTATGCCTGGCGTGGCCCAATGGTGGTGATGATGGTGGTATCCGATGCTGGAGAATATCCATGGCCAAACACAAATTATCGCCAACCTGACTGGGCCGTTAGGTACAAGGCCACCCACCCACCACTCCATCATCAAGCATCCAACTGAAAGCACCAAACCGGCATCAAACTAGACTACTGCAGCTACTCCCGTCTCGAGGCTCGGCTCCTCGTGTAGAGTCTACAATGGCTCGGGAATTGTCGAATCATGCACCCGTACAATCTCGAGTATACTCTCGCCTTGATGTCTGTCTTACTTTTCCCCTTGGACTAGTGTAGTTGGATGGATTGGGATAGGTACAGTATTCCTCCCACGGCTCTCCGCGACGACTCCCTACTTGGACGTGGGGCATTTACACCTTAGTACGTACCATACAGTAATTCCGGATTGGTATTCCACCCAACGAATGGAGCCGCTGATCTTCTAAACTCACCAACCGGCACATGTAATCCCGTTCGACTGTGTGTCCTTTTGCTGCTAATCTCAGAATGCATCTTGCGCCAACGACCCAAGGTTAGCAATCATTTGCGCTGCCTATGGTATGGTAGTGCCAGGAGGCTACGGCAGCAAATCCGAACTCATTCCTCGATGGGCATGTCGACATCTGGCAACCGACCGATATGGAGCGAGGCTAAACCACTGCGGCATGCTTCCAGTCGATATACACTACACTACACTAGACCAAGTATGACGATAGAGTCATTACAGTATCCGCCGCCAATGTCCCCCTGCTGGCCGAACCTGGGGTGCTGCTGCTGCTGCTGCAAGTGCTACACCAGGGTTTTGTTCGCTGCGGCAGGGCACATGCAACACCGCCAAGTATTTGCACCTTTTTGCGGCCGTCAACCGTCCTGACGATGCCTGCTTGCATTCGGCTGTTGTTCGGCTGCCGTATAGACGTTGAGACTCGTTGGCAGATCACGTTGGGTCATTTTCAAGGGACTGCCCAAGCCAGCCAGCCAGCCAGCCGGCCCACCATGCCTACCAATCCCACCACCAAGCAAGCATATCCGCAAATCGGGGACAAGATCTCTTTCTCTCTCTCTCTCTCTGACCACCTCTTTAGCGTACATACATTCACAGCGTATCACAGCAGCCGGCCCAGATTCGTCACTGGTCACTGCAAAAAGAAAGAAAGTCTTCCCCGCTGCCAGGCAACCTCAAATTCGACACGCTCAGGCAGACCGCAGCCGATTGATATCGCTACTACTCTAGCGTCCCGGAAGACGGTGTCATGTCAGTCCCGTCGGTCCTCGTGCGAACTTGCAGCTTGCGGGCATACCAAGTATGCAGTACTAGTCTAGTACACTACACACGCGGGCAGGCAAGGAGTATCATTGCGCCAATCTTCCACAAAACGTTTAGAGACAGAAACCCCCCCTGTTCCAGGATACCGTTGATCCTCGGGCCAAATCGTCACCACTTAGCGCAGAGAGCAGGCGTCGGTGTGGGTACTACCTAGTGTAGGGTAGGTATTCTTCCCCCCCAAGAAAAGTAAAGTATCTCATCCCACCCTCTTGGCGCTCTGCCCATCTGAGACTGGAACAAGGACTGGCACCCGCATATCGACGAGGCCTAAAATAATATACACTACCATACACTACACTACACCACACTGCAATGTATGTAGGTACAACGGTACATGCAAGGTGGTAACATGCATCTGGATACCTTGTCCTGGTCCCCAAAAAGCCCACCTCCTCCAATCCTCGAGCCGTACAACGGCGTGCACATCAACAAGCCTCGTGGGACTGACTGGATAAATATCGTTGCTCGCCGTCTGTGTGCCAGTCCTTTTCCCCTCTGAAACACCACCCACTTTGCCAATTCTCTAATTTGTTCGACCGTCACCTCAACAAGAGAGATCTTCCTATCCATCACGCGCCCTAGCACGCCTTAGCAGCACAGCTTCACCCGCCTCATCGGACACCAAGTTTATTCAACTCCATCCGACCAAGCAAACTTTACACTCACGATCGTCTCTGCCAAGATTGAGGCTATCTGTGCTCCCGACGAGAACCACTCCAGATCGTCCCTTCTCGACACCTGTGCTTGCCGTACTGGACGACTACGTCTAGTACCGCGGCAGCCCTATCCAGCTCATCATGAGCCAACCAACCCTTGACGGCCTCGAGACCCATCAGTTAGAGGCCCTATTACACCAGAGTCAAGAGCAAGCTCGCGCTGCTGAGAACCAGGCTCGCGCCATTGAGAATCAGCTCAAAGCTCGATCTTCAGTTCTCACGCCAACCTTCTCAGATTTCGACACTGTACCGGGGAATTATCGAGTCTCTTCCTCGGGTTCACCAGCAGCCAGCAATGTACGCTCACGAAGCAACACAATACCCCGCAGTGTGGGAGGTGTCGGCATGGTCCCGACTTTGAGCCTCAACGGCAACCATGCACCGCAACCGCCCTTGGTAAGGAAAACCCGCTGGCTGTGATCAAACGCTCAGTTCCACTCATTTTCTGTATAGGAGCAAAGTCGCCCCATGAAGCGCTCAAAGACCACTCATCCCACCACGCCGGCCACTGCTGCCACCACAGTGAGAATGGCGAGGTCCCGTTCAAGCGCATCGGCCCAGCCCGCGTATAGGCCGCACAACCCATTTGCTGGATCCGGCCCGGTTACCCCGCCGTATCCCCGGCCTGCGCGGAACAGCCTGCCAGCTACCCACCCCAGTTCCACGATACTGGAAACCGCCTTCAACCTCAACCAGTTGCAGCGGCCTACGGCTACTGCCTTTCTTTACGGGAATCCCAGCTTCCATGCCCAGCTTCCTCAACGGCCGTTGCCGATGGGGTCATTAGCAGAGACTGGCATGGAGATGAATCCAGCTGATTTTATCTCCATGTGGGACCAGGAGGAAATGGCCATGACATCGCCTCTACATACGCAGCCCATTGGTATCCCTACAGCCCGCCATATCGGCCACTTCCAATATCCTGGCGACTCTGGGAACCCGTCAGTGTGCGGCTCCTTAACATCGGCACCTACTCTCGAAACCGTCCCGATGACAAGGTCCAACAGCAATCTAAACGACAATATGCCCAATCACTTTGCCGAAATGGTTCGCATAGAGTCTCAGCAACCGAGTCCACGAAACCGCCGGGAAAGCTATAGTCAACCGCAGCCCTTCACGACCTCGCTGTTGGGAAAACGGTCAGCGTCCGATCCTGATTTCCTGGATGCCGACACCAATGGGCTTCCAGTCTCGTTCAATAGCCACCTTTACTCTGCGTCGGCACCCGCAAACACACTTTCCTTGAGCAACCAATACCAGATGGGGAACTTGGTACTGCAATCAACCTCTGAATCTCCGGCTGAAGACGACATCGAACAAGAACTGGATCAGCACCTGTCCATGGAGAGATCGGAATCCAAGGATAGCGAAAAGTCAAATCAGTCCCAGTCGTTGAAGCATCGTGCCAAGGAGGCTCTCGTCCGTCAAAACGTTAACGCCTCCAAGTCCCGACATCTCCAGCCCAAACCTGCCACAGACGCTACCAAAATGGAATCTTCGGAACCTGCTGGTGTGGCTGGCAAGGACGGAAAGGCCGTCATCACCAAGACCAAGTACGAGCGACCCAAGCACCCCAAGGTCAAGTGCCTTCAGTGCAACGAGAACCCAGAAGGCTTTAGGGGCGAGCACGAGTTGCGTCGACACACCGAAGCGAAACATAACATGTTGGTCAAGAAGTGGGTCTGCCGTGATCCAGCTCTCGATGGTATTCCCCATTCGGAAAAGGCCGTCAAGCCTCTTGCGGATTGCAAGCAATGCTCGCAGGGAAAGCAATATGGAGCATACTACAACGCTGCTGCTCATTTGCGCCGAACGCACTTCAAGGTCAAGCAGTCGCGCAAGGGTGCCAACTCCAAGGGTGCCAAGAGTGGCGCTGGCCAGGCCAGTAAAGCTGAAGAGGAGAAGCGTGGTGGAAAAGGTGGCGGTGACTGGCCTCCTATGTCTGAGCTCAAACACTGGATGGTGGAGAAGCTGGTTCCCATGGACCAAGAGGGCGCCTTCAACCAAGACGGTGCTGATTCCGACGGCGGTGTTGACCCTGAAGACACGGAGAATGGACTCTTTGACGCTCAATACGTTCAGGCCGGGTTCGGGCTCGCGCCCAGGACAGGTGTCTTTGATGTAGCTGCCTTTGCCGGCGTAGGGGGAAGCTTCCAGGATTTCGACGCGTTGAACGCCACAGCGTTCCCCAACGTGAACGGAGAACTGGGCCTACCAAGTTCAGGTCTCCTCATGGACGCTGGCCTATATGTGCACCAGCCAATCCACTCCATGCCCATCGCTTCGGGATTCGATTTTGGCACGGCTCCAGATGCGCCGCAACAACAACAACATGCCATGCCACCCGCCATGACGAGCATCGACAATCACAATTACACATCCCCTGTCTCGTCGACTACCACGATTACCCAAGTCGGCTTATCAGCGGAACACCAATTTCTCATGGCACCGGCCATGCAAGCCTCGCAGAACGATGTGCCGGATATGTCCTTCGATCTGATGTTTACGGCTGGCGCACAGTAACGCCGACTTGCTAATGGTCGTCTATCTGGATTCTTGCCTTCGACGTCCGGCTTTTTCACATGAAATCTTTCTTCATCGACTCTTCATGACAGCGTTTTCTTATGCCGCATTACGCCTTCGATTCTTCTGCTTCCTATGCCGGCTTTATATTTCCCGATTTCACTCTGTCTGGTCTTGGTCCTCTGGTAGGGCACAGGGGCGTGGTGGATACGTTCCGCAATGGTTCCGCAGGTGTCTCGCTTCCCTCGGGATCCTCGAACCTTGACGCAGACCCTGATCGTCGCACACATGGATCAACTGTCGCACGACCTCGAATTCAGAATGTCCATGGCGCTTTGAGCAGCACAGCCCCCGTCGGCCGAAACAAGGCCTTCAGCCAGAAGCTCACCCGACATGCCGCTAATTGACATCATGATGACCAGGGCAATCCATCTTGCCCCGTCTCGTCCTTTGGGTGTCACTAGGGTCCGGCGTTAGCACCTATCTTTGGAGAATCCTTTTGTTTTCTTGTCACCTATTGTGGTTTTTCTACTTCAGCGTTCTTACATCACTGTTTCAGCTTTCGGTACGACACGACACAAGCAAGCAAGCATAAGCGTCAAGAGGCATTGCGTGTACAGGTTGTTTGGGTAGTACAGGAGATTCAGCCCGACGGCGAACGGTTAGCGGGTAGCGGCGGCGTTCCGCAAGTGGTGTTTCGGATAAGGGACCGTTAGGTTCTGTGTGTGTTTTTCTTTGGGGGGCTTTTTGTTTTTGGGTAGGCTGTCTTGCATGTTCCACGCATGGACATTTGGCTTTACGTGGTTTTTCTACGATACGATTACCCCCTTGTGTTCGTTTGTTACTTGTTGATGTGCTGTCAACAAATCCTGGTTTCTGTACACAGCGATTTCCCAGGTTTTTTTTTTTTTTTTCTTTCGTCTTTCTTGGTGTTTATGGATTTGAGCCGGCGGTAGATATACAATACCTGGGTATCTCTTTGGATAAGGGCAATTTGACAAAAAGAGAGCAATTGGCGAAAAGAGCAGCAGACAGAGAGAGAGTGTGTGGCAGGGCCACATGCCAGTCTGCCTTATCAGATATTAAATACCAAATACCAGATACCGGATATCATATCGTATCATATCATATTACATCAAAATCTTTATCTATTGGGTTGTGATCGATGTATCTTTCACACATCTATTTATCTACTTAGTCAAGGGCGCAGCAAAACAGGTAGCAAGCACGCCGTTTTGGGAGTGTGGAGGGGATACGGTAGTCGAGCGTAATAGACACTGTGGTGAGTGAGCTTACACTACATCAGCCAGCACTCGTCATGGAGTGTGTTACGGGACATTACGGTAGGATCTGAACTTGAAACGACCTTAGACTAGAGGGTTGTTTTTTTTTTTTTTTTTTTAAGTGAATGAATGAAGAAAAGAGTGTAAGAACGACGGACGGACGGAACGAAACTTTGGCATGTGATCATCACTGGACGCTGTGAACGAAAGAACAATGCATCAGCATCAAGCCCCTACCCGTCGTCGTCCCTTCCGTGCAACCAGCCTCTTTTTTTTTTTTTTTTCCTTTTTTTTTTTTTTCAGCCATGAATCAACAGCAGAAGAGCGGGTACATGGCCAAATGGAAAAAAGGAAGAACAACAAGCGCACAGTTGACCGGTTTTATAGAGCTGGCAACAGTTCGCCGAGTAACGACTGGATGACGAGAATGAGAAGGAGACCAGACGGCCGCCAGGCAGGCAGATAGACAGCTGGTAAGTGAACAACAACAACAACAACAACAACAACAACAACAACAACAATGGCCATGTCCGTCCAGTGGAGAAAAGCGTCAGACAGTTAGGTTAGAGGTAGCTAGCTAGCTGCCCACTCGCTCACTACCATGATGAGTTGGTGACGATCAATGCAATAGAGGTACCATAAGTAGTGAATTAGAGACGAGGAATTAGGTAATTAGGTAGGTAAGGTACCTAGACGTCGGTATAGTTTCGTATATGCCGTGTTACTTTAAGGACACAGATAGGCTCGACGGGGGGACTGAGGGTAGGTAGGTTGAGGCAGGGGCAAAGATTGGAGAGCTATCGATGACTCTTGTGGAATTATGGAACCAACCTACTATAACTAGGTAACTAACATCGTAAGCAAACATCGTAGACATCGTAAGAGGTACTCATGGTGACGACCAAGGTTCAATAAAGGTTAAGGTCAACAAAACCGTGAAAAGGGTCAAAGCCGTACCATAGTAGGCCTAGCAAGGCCTGTCGTCCTGTAGATTTTCCCGCTAATACGCCACGAAGATTCGAGATCGGGAACTATCGGGGGCCACGATGGAGTTGTACCTACCCTAGGTACACTACACCACCGCATGGAAGACCGCATTGAACGCAAACCCATATAAATACACGCAAGAAAATCGTCCTCGGGACTAGACTAGTTAAGTTAGGATTTGGAGAAGTTGGGAGTGCGGGTAGGTACGGTCAGTTTTGTCACGGGACCTTGAGACCTAGGATTGTGATGGGTGTAGGTAGTGGCACAGCGTTCTTTCGAAAATTAGGGAAAGTTTGGAAAACGATGGTCCGTTGCCTCTTTCCAGAAACGGAAACGAAAACAAAATGTTGCAAGCTTTACGAACCCAAACAAGATGTGAGGAGAGAAGCAACCTGGCGTTTTGGAAAACAGAGGATCCAATGCGGGAAACTTCGTGGCTGGCTCATTTACGTGCTGCCTACGGGATTAAGATCCCTCTGTATGTACTTGTTCACTGGGGTGTGTTGAAGTCAGCAAGAGTTAGAGGCAACGATATTCATTCTCGTTGCAAGTGTCCCATACCTCATGGTCGTTCCTTTCGCAGCTCACCTCAGATGCCGAATATGTCACAGCACTTTGTCAAATGAAATCAGAAGACCATCGATGTACCTAATGAAACCGCTCCATCCCATACATGCCCTAACTTTCTGCAAGATGTCCACACAAATGCCGCCGCTGGCCCTTTGAAGGGCGCCTCGATGTCTATCTGTACAAGTATATAAACAAGAGAGAAACCCATCATCGTTCGTAGTCGTCATACCCCGTCATGTTCGCCTGTTTCAATACCAGATGCCCAAGCCGTAACATGATGTGCTGTAACCCATGCTGAAATCCATATTCGATAACCACCTCCCAAGCCAATGCCATACGCCATATTCCATAACCATGTCACATTATCCATATCCATTATCATACCTCGTAAACCCAAATCTTACTCGCGTGCATCTGCCTCAGCATCCCAAACCCACCATCCTTCCCTTCCTCCATCTTGCTCTTCTCCCACATCCGAATTCGCGCTTCCAAAATCCGAATCGTACACAGCCTCGAATGCTCCTGCAGTCAAATCTACATCCTCCGACTCCGGACATCTCTCTGGCGCGCATCTGTCGGCTACCCTCGCCTGAATCCAGTTATCCCTATTCTCAAAGTCGTCGTTTCGTCCTAGCCAGATCACCTTTCCACAAAGCGGGTTCGTGTTTGGATCTGAGTTCAGAGAACTGTCCTGTAGTTCTTGCGGGAGGAGGTCGGTAGCACGTTTGGCAGCTTCGTCCCAGATTTTGTACGAGATGGCGACGACGACCTCGTCATTGGTGATGTTGTAGCCGCAAGCGCCGGTGCCGTTGGAAGGAGAGTAATGATTGAAGGTTGCTTGGTGGATCGCCATCGGGGGGTCTTCACCGAGGGGAGGGGGGATTGGGAGGTCGCTGTCGTCGTCATTGTGCTTGAGTCCGAGTCCCAATCCAAGGCCGAGTGCCAACCCGAGCAACAAGAGCAACAGAAGTGGCAGAAGAACGAAAAGACAAAACCGACGCCTGTCTAAACCAAAGGGGTACCGCTTCTCAGGCGGCAACAACCTCTGATTGACCCAACTCCTCATCCTCTCCTTCTCCGTGAGTCTCGGCGGTGGCGGTGGATTCGGAATGCTTCCCAGCGTCGTAACGGTATGCGTCGGCACTATCCCGCCCTCACCATGTCGTTCCAGATCCAAGCCCGCAGAGCTATTCTTCCCATACCCAAATCCCAAACTCTTTCTCCAGCCCGAATTATTCGCCCCATGCTGATCGTTGGGAGGCATCGCCTCATCTTTCTCCTCGGCAACCGGCGGGTCCATCAAACTGAACAACGAAGGAATTGACATGGAGCGCGGCTTATGCTGCTTCTTGACAAAACTCGGCTGCTTCCTCGCTTCGAAGAAGGGAATGGACGATAGTAGGTTGCGCGTCTGCTGTAGCTTGCTGCGCTTGGGCGGGTTTCGGGGCGTTTCCCATTCGGGGAGGTAGCGGATGCGGCGCTCGACTCGGAGGCGGGTCCTCGTGACATATGCGGGCTCCTGTCTAGCTGCCTCTGGAGATGTATCGAGGGATGGAAGCGATGGGAGTGGTCGTGGGTAGACGGCCGTGGGCGGGGGACTGGGGCTGACCATCCTAAGGCCTGCTCCGAATCCCGGCCACGTTGGAACTGTAGACATTGGGAATATGGAGGATATGGGAGAAACAGGAGCTGGGTCGGTGTCGGTGGGGGAGTCGATCGGGAAGTCTGGCGGATGGGATTGGAGTGGTGAAGGGAGTGGGATGGGGAGGTCTCTTTCAGAGTCGTGCGAAGCCATCGTGGTTAGCTTGAAGAAATGGAGTGTAAAAATAAAGATGACGCAATGGTGATGGCGCCGTCGGTGACTAGGCAGTTCCTGGATAGTGATGTTTCTGATGGTGTTTTTCCGCTAACCCAAATGAATGACAGTTCGGAAGCGTCGTGCTAAAAGTCGAATTCGAATCCGAATCCCATAGCGTCTCGTGGTCGAGCCGTAGTCGTATCCTGGCTTCAACAGCGATACTTGCGGAAGGGGAAAAAGAAAAGCGTGCAAAGGGAGACACGGGAAGCGAGAGAGAGAAGGGAAGACGGAAGCGGCATCGAGACCAACCCTCCCGTGTGTGTGTGTGTGTGTGTGTGTGCCTGTCACTGCCCGTGTCCCGTCACAAACCTTTCACAGACGAGACCAGGCTCACATTCAGCAGCAAGCAGCAGGAAGGTGCGAATGGAATGGTTTCACAAGACAAGCCAGTCACTACCATAGGTATTGAGTGCCAGTCCAGTCACGGCAATTAGAAGCGTGATGAGGAATGTGACTTGCTTGGTTTCCCATCCATTTCTGGAGTGTAGTGTGGTAGTGAACCCCGCCCTTCTATCGACCCATCGTTTCGTTTCTGGCCATCATGCCTCTGATCCAATCGGTAGTGGTATGTATGATACGAAGAAGGGTGAAATCGGGAAAGGGAAAAAAACGTAACGTTTCGTCCGGAAGTTATCTAGCGAACAACTGAACTTTTCATCACTCGGCAGAGACCAGTCTCGAACTTTTCATCGGCGGCAGCCCAGGCCAGGAACAGGAACAGCCAGGAAAAGAAAAGATGCAGGGAGAACCCCGCTAACCCCCGCCCTTCCCACGCGGGCTGCCCACGCTACCACCTGCCTTAACCACGCGCCGCGCCAGCAAAAACCAATGCATGTCAGTCAGTAGCAGGGCAGGGCAGCGCAGGGCAGCGCAGGGCAGCGCAGTGCCGGAGCCGGACAGCGCCTCCGGCTCAGGTACACTAACGCTACATACATCCACTAACGCGACGCTTCGATGCTTCGACACATGGACGCTACAGCAGGTACACATCTGCCGGCATTTTACACCAAAGATTAACGTGATGAAGTGCAACGTGATGATAACTTCATGTTCCGTTTAAAAAATGGCTGCTTTTCTTTTTACCTACAACGCCCAGAGCATGGTAAAGTGACGGTACCTCGGTCACAGTTGACAGATATAGATTCCCCACGGAAGCGATTCGCGGGGGGGGAATGCCGCCCTGATAAACATGAAACATGAAACATCCACGGAGGGCGCGCGCGCGAAACATATTGGCCAAGACTCCCCGTCCAGGCTGATCAAGCGGCCGACAGCCCAAGCCAGTTTCCGCACCACTTTTCCGTGTGTAGTAGAAAGAACTTGTCCGACAACCTGAAAACTGAACTGAATCTGGCTCAGAAATCTTCCAGGCTAGGTATTATTTCGCAAAAGCTGTTCAACGAACGACACTTGGAAGTCAAGCCCAAGACACAACTGCCTAACATATGGACCAATCAGATCATCGCAAATCACACCTAAAACAACCAATTCCGGACCTCTGGACCTCTGGACCTCTGGAATCTGGAATCTGGAATCTGAGACCTGGAACAGAGACAGAGAGCAATTCCAAACAGCCTATATACTTGGTTCCTGGAATCCATTTCCGAGTCATCGGATATCCTCTTAATACCAATATAGCATGTGAACGCCAGACCCAATAAATGCAAAACCCAGTATGAAATTAACCTGCCCGACTGGTGTGGTCTGCATTTACAAGGCACACTATTCTACTGCAACAACATACAAAGAAAGACACATCCCAACCTATTCCATCAACCGTTCTAGGTAATTTCCTGTACAGTCGAAATCCATACGTCCTGTGCACCCTCGTACAAGTACCTCGTACAAGTACCTCGTACAAGTACCTCGTACCTGTCCTGTCCTATGGCTGCTGTACAACCCCATCATCACCATCATTATCATCATCATCAAAGATTCTGGAACATACCCATGACCTACTTCTATACGAGCTCGAAAACGAGATCTGGATAGATTGATTGACTGACTTTATATATTACGTGCAGCTCAAGCTCAACCTTAGGTATTGAAGGCTCACTTTACGATCTCGGCACGCAACCTAACTAATGCCCGCCACACCGTTGTCTTTACTTATCCCGTGCAGCCCGTGCAGCTCGTGTAGTGTGGTTACAGGTAAACGGTAAACGACGTACATCAAGGTTGGTGACGTGGACTTTGTGTTCTCGTTCGAAGGTTCGTGTGTTCGTATGTTCGCATGTTTGCAGGTACGGGCGCAGGTACGGGCGCAGGTATGGGCGCAGGTACAAAGTAACGACACGAAGTTAGAGGTACAATAGAGTGGAAAGAATGAATAGAAACAAGCATGTGGGTGCTCAAAGTTCCGGGCCCTTCCATCCTTGTCCCGGCACGTGGACTGTTCGGGTCCTTCCGTCGTCGATCTCCGTCGCTGTTCAGATCCAAGTTTCTTCACTTCGTCGGTGATCGGCCTCTCGGCACCGGTAGGGACCGGTACGGGAAGCGGGTGTAGCCAGGTGTTAGGTGCTGCTCGGGTTACTCATCTTTAACTTTGATAAATCCGGGGGGAAACGATCGTTAGCAATGGACGTAAATGGCCCTAAATGACTGAACGGGTTTGCGCATCAACTTATATGCCTCCCTACTTCGATCACAAGTACATAAGGCAGTTAAGGTTCGGGTTCGGGTTCAAGGCCTAGCGGCCGTCATTATTTCTACACTGCATTGGTATCAATCATCTCATCCCGTCGAAAAACCCATGTCTAGGTATCAAACAACAACTGTCCCTGAAATCCATAACTAAGGTCTTATCCAACTTTGCTTGCTTGCTTGCCATTAATCAGATGGGAATTTGTTTGCTCTACTCCCTCTCTCCTTTCCTTCGTCCTCCCCTTCATCAAATATCCAGATTTCCAGACTTTTTTGGTACGAAATGCTCAGCAGTAAATGATTGACTAGAAAGAAATTCCCGACCCAACACGACATGCAAAACTTCCTTCCCATTTCTTGTTAAACATACCCAAGACCCTTGTCCTCAAAACTCCAAGCCAAGCCAAAAATGCATTGCGATTTGCTCAACCACGTGCGGAACAAAGGAAAGCTTCTTTCCCACGTACAAACTCCCCAACCAGCCCGACACAGCTAGTTCAGTTCAGTTCACTTCAATTCCTCCTCTTACCCCGGGCTAAATAGGCGTAAAATACCCCGGCACCTTCTCATCCCCATGCGGCATCGGGTCCGGGCTCTCCACAGTCGGATAACTGCTCGTCCTTTGATGGCTCGGATACCTCGTAATCAGCTCCCTCGTCTTTCCGACCGGCACGCGCCCGGCATAAACCACCTCTTCATAAGCAGGGGACGCCACGTCGTGCATGTCTCCTACCCCTCCAAACTTCTCATTCTGATAATGAGGACTAGCAGGATTACCGACCATGGCATTGCTAGGTGCTAGCGCTGGATCGAAGCCATTATGATTATGGAAGGAAGGGGGGCGACCACCAAACTGCTGTCCGCCCTCCCCGCGAGTTTTTCCTGGCGTGGCCCATCCTATCAATGCGCCCATGACGCCGATGAGGACGACGATGACGTATGTTAGAAGCAGACCGAGCGCGATCAGAGCTTCTTGGATGACTCCGTTGCGCAGCGACCTGATCACTTTCCCTACGGCCTCGTTGATCTCGTCGGTGGTGACTGCGCCGGGCTTGGCCAGGAAGCTCGAGAGGTCGCCGTCACTACCCATGCTCTGCGCCGCTCCGGCGGAAAAGATGTCGTCGTCGAACCGCGGGAGGGTGACCTTGGCATGGTCGTGCACCCACGTCAGACCGTCCTGGACGGCGTCGATCTTGCGGCCAATGAGGCAGCCGACAACGTCGCGGGCGGTGTCGAGGAGGACGGTGCCGTTGAAGACGGCCACCAGAGCGTGGTCAATTTGGTCGTCGAGGACGGTGAGGGTGTTGTTGACGGATTCTGTGGCCTCGCGCACCCAGCCAAAGAGATCGCTGTTGATGTCGGATTCCATGTTGGCGACGACTGCGTTGGAGCTGTTGGCCCAGTTGTTGCTCACTTGCTTCAGAGTCCCGACCACGTCACCGGCGAAATCGCCCACTTGCGCTGCAAGCTCAGGTGCCTTTTTCTCGATCTGCCGGAGAAGCACCCACTGGAAGAGGCAGGACAAGATACCGGCGACGGCGAGCGACAGCACGAAAAGGGCGGGCAGGGAGGTGGCGTACGCAAAGGCCCATCTGATCAAGAGGTAGTTCTTGCTGTCTGTATCCTTGGTCCACCATTTGGCGAGTCTCATGCCGCCGTCGGCAGTCCAGCGGCGCGAGGCGATGTAGATGGCGTCCTGGGAGTTGAAGGCGTTGGCGTCCATTCGGGCGGCCCGCTCCCTTTCGCGCTTGAAGTCGCGATATTCAATGTAGCCCATGACGAAAATGGCGAGTACGGCGAGGATGATGATGACGACCAAAAAGGCAATCTTGGCTTTGTAAACGAGGGTGACCAGGGATTCGAAGAAGTCATTGAGGAAGGAGTTGTTGGAGCAGAAGGACAAGGCTTGCTTCTCCGCGGTGGGGAAGATGGTGGGCTCAATCGTGAACTCGGAAAAGGCGACATCGATCTTGTTCTTGACGAGGTTGAAGGGGATGGCGAGGGCAGACTCGGTCAGGTTTTTGGCTTCGTCAAATGTCGGGATCTTTTGGTCGAGGACATCCAGGCCATTGACGACGCCGCTGGCATTGATCTTGATTCCCTGGAGGTCCCTGATGTGGCTGTCAATGTTGATAGTTGGAAGTTGAATGTCCTTGCTGATGAGGCCAATGCCGCTGTTGATGAAATCCCTTGCCTTGTCGATGGCACTCTGGAAGCTCTTCATGTCGTCGGTGATACCCTTGGTGATGGACGAAATGGCGTCGTTCATCACCTTGGTTGCGCCCTCGACTACCGCGGTCGCCACGTGCAGACCGCCGTGGATGAAGGCTGCCACCAGACAGGCAAAGGTGCCAATGTACATGTTGATGACAAACATAATGATGGCCTGGACGCCCGTGAGGATCATCTTGAGGACTGATGCCATTGCTTCGACCGCCTTTTGCATGCTGCCGGCGGCCATGACGTTGACGCCCTTGGACATGTAATAAGGCATGGACGCCATGGCGCTACCGACGTCTTCGACCTTTGTGCATGCTGAGAGGGCCTTGGCCTTGGCATCGCCGAGGTTTTCCTTGAGGTTTGCTGTGAGGAGGATGACGCGGATCAGGACCAAAATCAACAGAATCGTCCACCGGTTGAACCATAGCTGTGATAGCCTCGCTCGCAAGCCGAGATAGGGAGTGATTCGGGGATCGGTATCGGGGTGCGATTTTAGCTGGGGCTCGGTCTGTTGGTCATTGTGAAGGTTGACGTTTTGCCATGGGGTTGCCGTATTAAGAGAGAGTGGGACTGGGGGGATGCCGCCTCCATTCTTTTCGTTGTAAACCATGGTATTGATATATCGTTCTTATTCTTGAACCAGCAAGATGGTGTAGTAAATCGTGGAGTTGTCTACTAATTGTGCAAAAGTCGAAAAGTGAAAAGGAAAGCGAATGCCGTGAGACCGCGTAGTGTATGTCTGCTAGTAAAAAAAAGACCGAAAAATTGCTGTTCACCCGTCTAGACCAGCTGGATGAACACTCTCGAGAAGGAATTACTGAGCCGAAGACCGGGAAAGGGAAAAAAGGGAAATGCAAATGAGCAAGAGAAAGGAACAAGAAAAGCGAGTCAAAGGAAACAAGAGGGTATCCAAAACAGAAAGGCTTGCCCACTATGACTGCATACTGGAGATATGAATAGGTGAAGAATGGGAAACGAACAGGTGAGGAGGTGAGTGAACAATAGAAAGAGAGTGCGTCAATAAGACGACGGACGGGAGAATAAGACGGACCCAGGCAGGCTAGTGACTTGACTGGCCCGGACTCCCGGAGGCTGGTGGGCCACTGAATAAGTCGGGAGTCGGGATGAAGGACCAAAAGATGGGATAGCAGGTGATGTGCAAATGACAATAGGCGCACCGGATCCCAGAATAGGAAGAAGGCCCATTGTTTCTTGAAAGCACATTGCCTTTGTTTGAATCTGTGTGCGTGAACAGTGGAGTGGGAGGAGGCTGATCAAGGGGTAGTCGTCCCGTAGCCGCGGTGGTTGTCTAAGCGCCCGGACTCTGGCAGCCAGTCGTTCTTTGTCATGGATCGATCCTTGAAGACCCCGGATTTCCTTGGTGGAGAGGCAACCCATCAAAAACTGGCTGGGTTGATGGATCAATGTGAGCCTGTCGTCTTGATGTCTGGCGCGCTTGCAGCCGGGCCATGCTGTTCATGAGACAAGGCCACCTGATGGGACTCGGGAGGGCTCATCATACTCACGGCAAGGTGAACAATGTGTGCCGGTCCTGTAGTCCACCTCTGACAATGGGTCACCGTGATGTCCTTCACCACCATCACCCTCTCTGGTCTGGAGTCTGTGGCAGAGCAGGTGTCGGGTTTCAATTGAGGCCGGTCGCCAGATCTGGCCTCAGCTAATCGTGGTGTTTAGTTCCGATGCCGAAATGCAATGAGTGCCGGGAAGTGGAAAAAAAGGAAAGAAGAAGAAAAAAAAGAAGGTGGCACTCAAAAGTGGAAGGCGTTCCTGCGTTTCAACCGCGGGCTGTCTCCGGCCAGTGATTGGTACCTGACAAGGGTCCAACAGACGCGCTTCTGCCGATGCCAAGTGGAAAGTGGGGCCACTACCCGCTGGAGCCCTGACAGCCAGTGGATGAATGACCTGGAGGCTCTGAAAGCCCAATGACGACAACCCGACAAGCCCAAGGAGAGATGGAGAGGCCGGCAGCCGGGCGCTTCCATTCTGCTGTTTCAAAAATGTTAAATAAAGACTTTCAATGACGAATCAATTCAAGTGACTCACGCAGAGAAAGGAATTGCCGTGTTCATTTACTTGTTCGCCGCGGCCGGTTGTTGTTTGGTCCATGGGGATTTGCATTTGGCGATGTCCATTCATACCTCGCTTGTTTTGGCGGCAGGCAGAGGAATGGTCTGTGCGTCAGAGGCACGTGAGAGGCCCCGACATTCTCACCATCTTCACCTCACCTCCGCCGGCGTCCCCTTCACTTCGCCGTTGTTGAACATCGCCGTGCTGCCATGAAGCGTGCGACCAGAAGGAAGACAGAGTTGCGATGGGTAACAGTCCCAAAACGTCGAACTTTCTTTTTGATTCTCGTGAACTTCTTCCCGTTCGATCAGTTCATTCTCAAATGTCTCCAACCTGCCTCTGCCTGCCGGTGAGCGAAGCCGATAAGATAAGGTCTGGTCCAGCGACCAGAAAGAACCCCAAAGCAAAAACACCCCAAATCAAGAACATACAACACCTTGGATTTATCGCTCGGACGGAGGCATCATGTCAAGTAGTGAGGCGGCACTGAGAAAAGATGAATACACTACGGCTAACATCAAGATTACACTCGGTCAAATGACCATTCTGTTTCCCCCCAAGTGACACTTACGTCTGCTTTGACTGACCTTTCACCCAATCTTCGAAGCTCTCCATGGCCTCATGCTCCGGATCCTCTCCGGCCTTGTCATCATTGCCAGCCTCATCACCATCGCCGGCCTCGTCATTATTACCGGCTTCGCCACCCGTCTCGCCCGAGTTCCCATCACTGCCCGACTTGCCATCTGGATTGGGATCCGTGTTGCCATTATCGACGGCCTCACTAGCCTCAGTAATCTTCTTCATGAGCACACCCCCGGCCGCCGACACAATGACGCCGGGAATGGCCTTGAGAGCGCCCTTTCCAACCGACTTGATGCCGTGCCAAAGTTTACCCCAGAAGCCTTCAGTGTTCGTTGAATCCACCGACTCGAACGACTCCGTCGTCGTCAGCTCCACAAGTGTCTCGAGTGCCGCATCGCCCAGGATCAGGCGCGCCTTGAGGCCTTGGTGTACTTTATTTGCCTCGGCCGCCGCTTCCATGTCCTCCTCAGCTTCGTCAGCCTCCCCGGCTTCATCATCAGCCTCGGCGCTCTCGTCGGGCTTCTGGCCATCATCACCGCCCTTAGAAGGCGCTACTGACTCGACAAGCTTGGGCATGCTCTCGGCTAGCGATTCGGTCTCAGCGCACTCTTGCAGCAGCGATAGGAGACGCTTATCCGCCGAGCCGGCCTTGGCGGACTGCTGCAGTAGCTTCTGGATGAAGGCGTTCATGCTCGTCTTGACCTTGGGCATGTTGTCGGTGGCGGTCCCGTTGCCATTCGGTGGTTTACCTGTGGTAGTCGTTGGCAGGACCCCACCTTCGTTGGGATCAGCGTTGATGCCAGCCTCCCCTCCTTGTGCTGACTGGTCACCACCTTCCTGGTCGCCACCTTCCTGGTCTTCAGTGTTCTCTTCACCCGCCTCTCCGGGCTTCCGGTTGGCACCGCCCTTGTCCAACGACTTCTTTACCAGGCCACTGACGCCTGAGATGAGAGCCCCTGCGGCGCTGCTGATGGCCGCGGTGGCCAGCTGCGCGCCAATGGTGCCGCCCTGGATTTTGTAGTTCCAGAAGCCCTCAACGCGCGGGCTGGTCCCGATCGCGTGCTTCGCCATCAGGTCCCAGACCTTCAGCCGCTTAATCGTAGCTTTGTCAAGCGAGAAGAGCGTGTCTAACGCGGCCTCACACAGCACTGCGCGACCCAGAGAGCCGGGATCCAGCGATTCGGACGACGCTTCCGTGTCGGCTTCTCCAACGGCCCCCTCTCGCAGGGTAGAGGTACGCTTGGTCTTGGAGTTCCGAGCGTGCATGGAGTGGCAGAAAGCGTGGGCATAGATGGCAGCTAGCTTTCCGGACAGACCCAAAGAGGCGGGCAACCCCACGTCGGAGACGCGCTCGCTGAAGGTCTGGCTGAAGGATTTGCCCCGGGTCATGATCTGCTTCAACTGGTAGGCCTCCGACGAGGGATCGGGCTGTTCTCCGGATTCGGCCTCGCTGCTTTCGTCGTAGTTAACTGCCTCGACGCTCAGGTCGGCCTCGAACGCCTCGTCATCGCCCGCCTCGCTGGGCTGGGCCGTCATCTGCAGCCATGAGACCTGTCGTGGCCCCTTGGGCATCTTCTTCTCCGACATGGCCAGGGCCTGGATGAAGGGCGCAAAGATGTTGCCCATCTTGCCGATCAGAGTGGCCTGGTTGATCTTACCGCCCATGACGTGGACGCCAATGGAGACACCGTCGCTGCTTCGGATGACAGGCGCACCAGAATTACCACCGTAGGTATCTGAGCATCAGGTTAGAATCGAATATCAGCTAACATGTCCGTCTAGATAGGATATCAAAACGAGGATGCGTACCAATCTTGTACTCAAGCAACAACTTGGCTTTGACAACGTCAAACTTGACCTTCATGAAACACTCGTACATGTGTTCGCCTTTGTCCAGATCTCTGTAGTCATGGTTAGTCTAGCCATGGCTCGCAAAGAGACCTTCCCCTTCCTGTCTGAATATCATGACATGGCAGAGGAGGTGAGTTCCTAGATAGGTGCAGGTAGGGTTGACAGAGAGTAGGTAAGCACTTACCCCGGATATCCCACGACTCCGAGCTCCATGTTCCCGACCAGCGGTGTGTCCACGTATTTGATCGGCTTGATCCCATCAAACGGCTTGTTTACCTTGATAAAGGAGACGTCGTGGTGAGACTCTCCAAACTTCATCCACTCCGACGTAGTCGCGACCTTGACGCCTTTGCGGAACTGGACACTAGGAGAACCTGCCCCGGTGTGTGTGTGTCAGCCATACCTACCTAACTACTTATAGTGAGGAACGATAATACATACCAATGGAAGCGCGGCCGTTGTACCCTATGTACGCCTTGATCTCCACGACCTGATTAAGATAGTGCCCCCAGTCAAAGACACAATGGCCCGCGGTAACAATCAGGTCAGGAGCGATGAGCCAGCCCGTCGCGATCAGGGTTCTTGGGCTCTTGGTGCTTGGGTCCTGGTACACCAGGAAGAGCTTGACGATGGCTACACCACATAACAGAGAAACGGCTTCAGCAGACAGACACTCGGCAACATTACCTACATTGAAAGTAGGTAGTGAATACTCACATCTGTACTTCCCACCGGGACCAAAGTCCCTGGCATTCACCTTCTTACGATTATCAACATCAAAGACGGTTTCTGCTGCTCTGGTTCTTTTTGGCGCCGCTGATTCCGCGGTCCTTGCTCGACAGGGCGTTGGAGCTTCCGATGACGGTAGCACTGAACGGAGGCGCAAAGTCACCGTTGGACGGAGACGGCTTGTTCTTGGTAGAGGTAGGCAGGCCGGTGGGGACCTTTTTGTTGGCTGGAACGGCGCCGGGGACGGTTGAAGTTGGGGCGGCATTATCGTTGTCTTGTTTGGATCCCTGCGGTCGATTTTTTGCGGGCTCGACCCCGTTCAATGCACGTGGCGTTGTGAGTCTGGTAGGCATATTGCTAAAAGGACGCAGTTGAAACTTAAGAATGGGTAGGCAAAGTAGGTATTTATGGAGGAAATGGACTGAGGCTTTCACATTGATCTGCTACGGAAAAGCAGGACACTTGGGCAATTTATATTCATGTTGCGGACATCAGTGCTAAGTCCCCCCCCCTCTCCCTCGTGTAACTTATGATCCATTGTGCTCAAATCTTGTCAATGTATTGACGTGCCGACAAATGATGGGGACACTCGCAGCCGCCGTTCCTCCTACCTCTACCAATATTGGCCTCATTGTTCCTCGCCATGTCTACCTATACGTGCAATCTAAGTACAAACCCCTAGATCGGTAGAAGGTATCACCGACGCCATAACCGAGAAACAGTGTCATCGTACAATAGAGACATGTGCGATCACCTCTTACACACATGTATGTGCTCATTACAGGGTGTATCTACCTCTACATCCCACTCTGAGGATGTGTCAATGAGTTCTGATCCAACAAATCGAGCCATTGGTCAATTCCATGGCGGTCTAGACCCGTAACGTCTACGATGACACAGAGTCAAGACAGCGGGGTTGATACTCGCAAAAGAGCCGAGTATACTCGGACCTTGGTCACACTTCCCCGTAGTAAATAAGCTGGTACAGAATCCGAGTATCTGGGCAATATAGGTACCTACGTACGTAGGCAGGATCAAGTAGGTCCTTGTATCACGGAGGACCACTGGTCCTTATGCTACCTCTATGTTATTTGAAGCTGTGATACAGCCGGTGGGGACCTGTAACATCTATGATAGCACAGAGTCTAGGTACCTAGACGGCCACTTTCAAACCTCCTCATTTTCGTCCGTAGGTAGAGGTAGACTCCACGGCAGGCTCAACTTTTACTCTCCTCTCTTGTCGCTCCTCTGTTCACTGTACAGAACTCACTGGGCACATTACAACCTACCTCACCAGTGATCTCACCTGGTGATAGCTGGCGCGGAAATTGGCCCGTTCAACCGTATAACATTGGGTAATCCACCAGGCTTTATCCGCCTCGTAGAAGATCTCATAGAAGCGAAAGATGGAAAGATGGCTTGAGGGGCAATTTCGAAGTGCCCAGGCAGGACCGACCGAATTGGATTTTGAACAACGAACCCATATCAAGAGGGAAAAAGGAATGTCAATGGATAATTCCCATGTGAAGCTTCAAAGAGCAAGCGAACGAATGGGACCAGACGGGGTTCATAGATGCGATGACAGCCCACCCACATCGATGGGATTTAAAGCCACAGCCAAAACTTTAGCTAAAGATAATACACGATTTCGACGAGAACAGTCTCTACGGAGGTAGTTTGTGCAGTCTATACATAGGTACCTACTAATAATCTAAGATGGGGTATCATTTTACAACCGAAAACGTTGCTAAAAACATGCGCATCCGCCGCCCGCTCCCTTGGTGACCACACGCACCAGAATCCTCCATGGATGTATATCGCATAGATCCCACAGTTTAACACCCTTTCTTCGCCTCATCTATCCCATCCATCCCAACTTTCCAATGTTCTACACCCCAACCCTTATCCAAACCCTAAACAACCAGTGTGGAGGTATTCAAATACTTCTGTCTGATCCTCCTTCTGACACTGGCGTTGGGTTCATTTCAACCCTGTCGTTCCTGTGCTGCTGCCTTGCTTTGGAGCAGGCATAGTCATTCGCTCTTTCTGAACCTCTTCCTCCGTCTCAATTCTGTTGATCCTGTCGCACCGGCTTCCTCTCATTCTTATCACATCCATGACCCTGTATATACTTTGCGAGTTCGATCGCGAGACTCGACATGTTGTACGTATGTGGAGTCATGAAACGGTTGATTTCGTTGGACGTCTGGTGACGGTCGACATATATCATGGATTCACAAAACGGCCCCGACAATGCCAACCCAACCCAACCGATCCGATCCGTATTTCTTTTCTCTCCTTCGTGTGATGCGAGCGATTTCTATTCCTCCTTTGCGTTTCGTCGTCTGATGCCGTTCGTTGCGTCTGTTGATGCTATAAACGGTGATGATCGTGCTTCAAATTAACGTGTTTGTGCGTGTTTCCCTTTCCTTCCTTTCGGCCTGCTTTGCTAAAGAGGCCAAACATCGGGCTGGGTCAGGTCGAGATAGACCAAAGCTTGGAGCCTGCCAATGACAAATCTTCCATCCAGACGCCATTGAACTAGCGATTGCCGACTACTCGTAAAAGGGCGAGTGAATGCTTTCGTGGTGTTGGCGCATGCACATGGTCATCTATCCGCCGGTCGGTGCTGTTTTGTATGATGGACGGGTTGATGGACCGAGTGACTGCGGCCTGCGAAACAAAAGTTCCGGTTGTTGATGTTTGTTGATGGGGTAAACTCATGATACTGGAATGCCGAATGAATGTTTCATCCTCGGGTGTCGCAAGTGATGCCGGCACCGGGTAATTAGATGTTGTGAATATGTTATCGATCAGTCGATCTGATAATCATCGGCTAGCGGATGCGAGGGTGCGAATTGGCGCAAATCCTGGAAATTCAAACTGTACCGAATGCGCGGCCGTTGACGGATGATGTATTATGTGATGGTGTGCTGATTTGATGGGATGGGGTTTGTGACATCCGCCGGCGACATCCACCGAATTCGGAACGCTGCGAACATTTTTCTCGATCCGAATCGGGCTATGTAACGACCTTTCAGAGTTTCTTTTGTTGGAAGGTACGACGCTTCATTGCTGTTCAACCCTTTGGCGCAAGCTTTTCGTCGTGCTTGTGCTTTTCGTCGCGTCACCACATCTCGTCATAATACATTGATGAAAAGAAGAAAAAAAAAAAAAAAAAAAAGAGAGAGACAGAGGGGAGTGTCTGAGAGCGGGGCCCCTTCATGATCTCATCCAATATCATTTTCCCCGCTCTACTCAGGCACTGGCACTGCACTGCACTGAACTGCACTGCGCTCACTCACACAACCCTCTGCTTCTTTGTCTTGCTCTTGCCGCTGCCGCCGCCGCCATCTTCTTCTTCTTGTTCTTGTTGTCCGCCAGCGTCAGCGTGTTTCTGTCCCGCCAATAAATGTTTCATGGTGGGATCGGGTATAATGAACTCCCCTCCTGGTCCTAGTGGAGGGACAACAAGCTCATTATCTATACCTTCAGCAGCGCCGTACCCTTCATCCCGCTCGTTCTCGGCGGCGCAGGGCTCGCATTCTTGGTCGAATTCGTGCTCCTCGATTTGCACGCCAAAGGCGCATTGGCCAAAAACGCCCGTGTTCTTGGCTTCGAGACACGAGAGCTCTTGGGAGAGGTCTTCCCAGACAAAGTGCTCGGTGCAGTGGGGGCACGTGCCTGAGAAAACGATATGGCGGCACATGGTTGTGGGTTGTTTGTTTGTTTGTGTTGTGTGTTGTGTGTGTGAATGGATGGTAAAGGGAGAAGGGAATGGTCTGAGTGATGAATCCTATATATCTATCTTGTTCGTGTTGAAGAACAAAAGGGAAAAAAAGTCCGTTTCTCAAATGCCGACCGTGGACGGAGAACAAAAACTGAACTAGAGAAATATACAGTCCCTAAAGGACCAATCCATCGACAGATATGCCGTGGGCCCCAGTCGATGTCTCGTTCTTGGTCTCGATGAGAGATGCGGTTCGTCAAAGCTGGAGATTGAGGGATTCGGTCACTCCACTTGGCAACCAGGGGATGGAATATTGGGTAGCTTGGAAATTGGCACGAAACGGGAATCACGAAGGTCTTCTTCTTCGGGGTTCTGTAGCCGGACGAGAAGAAAAATGAAAAAAAGGGCAATGGGAGAAGCCGAAATCGATGATGGACTGGATGGACGAACGGATACCTAGCAAACCCCGGGCATCGGACATGTCTCCGGCATCTGACATGATTGGGCTCTTGAAATCGGAGATGATAGTCCGTGCACCATGATTGAGTGAACGGCAACCGTTGCAACGATGGTCAAATGCAAGGAAGCCATCACGGCCGGACCCTTGCAGGGCTGATTGATCACTGTTCGGTGACAGGCGAGGGCCATGCTCGCCATGCTTCCCGGTGGAGCTACCTCGGACCAAATCCCCACTTTGACTCCAAACGTCTCCAATAGAAGTAGCGATTCCAGCCGGTGCCGAGCCGTGGCCCGCTGATCCCCGCTTTCCCCGTTCCTCGTACAGCTGAAGCCTTCCCTGTTGCGGTTCGATTTGCCGAGTTTCTTCAGGCGGCCTTTCAGCGCATCTTAAGCGCTTGCACTAACAGTTCTGATGTCCATCATCTGACCAACCTCACTTCGCTTTCTCCCCTTCATCCTTTTTACGTACCAGTCAAGGAAAAGTCTGTCAATCATGATTGCTGAGTATCCAAAGTTGACGCGAACGTTCTCAATTTCGGTTCCACCTTGATCTTGATCTTGCAATAGGAATTTCGCTTGGCGTGGCCATCGATTAACGGAGGTTTCTTCCAGAAGATAAAGAAGAATGGTTTTTGCCTGTTCACGTATGATGCTGGAGAGGGCTTCGCATGGCCCAAGAAGTTGGTTGACGCGTAAAAGGCCACTTGGCGTCGTGTCAACAGGCGCAAGAAGGCGGAGGAGAGCATCGGTTGAGCATCCATGTACGATAATCGACGACAATTTGTTTTTTTCCCCGATGGGAGCATTGATAAGGAACTTCCCGCATCGAGGAAGGTGATACCCTGGGCAACAGCAGTCAACGAGAACCTTTCCTCTTCTATTAGCAACATCATCAGATAGCTGAACGAACAGATCTCTTGATCTACATCTAATCCCATGTATCACACTCTCTCATATCTTTTCTTCGAAAACGGCCTGACCGGGCCTGCCCGGAAACATTAGATTATGTACCCGGTAAATCTATATTAAAGTGACGCGATCTGTATGGACTCGAAAAACTAAGAACAAAGGAAAGATGTTGATCACAAATCAGTACACCTTCTCTACAAGATAGAAGAAGTTAAAATAACGTCATATCATTTTGAGGAATGGACAGAAGCCAAGCGCTCAAATAGGAGATTTTCGATTCTGAATCTCTCGAGTTTCTACGGTACGTCGGAGGCGGGAGATGGAAATATGGCTCCGGGGGTAACTTTGGGGGTCTCAAAAGAGACCGACCAGTCGATTTGAAATTTCGAGACGAACAAACTTGACATTAAGGGGGACAAAAAGCCAAAGAACTGTGAGATCGCCATAAAAAGGCTCTAGCATACAGGGAACTAAATGGGAAGGGATGCATATATGCAGCGACAGCCCATACAGGACGAAAGGAAGACGCAGAATGAAGGTAGGTAGGTAAAAATAAAACAAGAACCCCACAGAAATAACCTCGTGGTAGCAAATATTAGAGCTGCTCCTCTAGCTCGTGTTCTTCCATCTGAACTTCAAATCCCCATTTTTCGTCCCGTCCCTTTCTATAAATAAACAGCTTCTCGTTTATTTCGTCCCATTCGTAGGCAAACTTCTTCAATTTCCAGGCCGAAGCATCGTCCTTGGCTTTTGCCAAGACCCCGAGGATGTTTTGGGGGCTGTTAGGGCGATGAGCGACGGAATTAAGCAGCTCGATGGGGCTCATTGTGAAACCCCTTGGGAGCTCCCAGAAGCCCCAATGAGTCAAAATAACAATGAAGATTGCGGAAGCACTGGTGACTAGGGCCATCAAGAAACAAAATTGTGCCCTTTCATCGAGCCACTGCCGCTGAGCTTTTTCGCTCCAGTACTGCACAGGTTGGGTTTTCCCCGTGTCGACCGCCGCCAAGACCGAAATCCTCAGGGCCAGTTCCTGGTATGTTTCGATGATGTCGGTCATCGGAGACAGAAAACTCATTCTGCATGGGAGCACGCCTTGTTTCTGTATTTCAGGTTTGATAGCGTACCCAGCGGCGATATGGCTTCGATAGCTTGAACCCATGTCGATAACATCGTCACTAAACCGCCAGTGCCATTGGCGATGAATTGTGCCAAATTTTGTGTTATAGAGGTCTCGCACCATCTTTGTCAGAATCTCTAGACGTACGTCGTGTTGTACGACGTGGAACGGACGCGGCTCGAGGGGCAAGAAGAAAAGGTTTGGGAAAAACTCGTAAGAAAACCTCGACTGGCTGAACAAGGGGAAGTACTCGCTGCAAAATATGTTAGCCTCTTTCCTCATCCAAGACCATGATGCGCGGCAGGAGGTAGATTGAGAAAGATGTTTGGCCACCTACACAAGTTCTGCGCTCCTTCCTCGTTCGTAAAAAGTTGCATTGCCAGTTACGTTCAGGTTGTACCGGACAATGGCCGGTGCCAGTGAGCATCGCTGGTGGACATATCGTCCAGCACAGTCAGTCTCCAATTTGAAGGCCGTATTCACGGCCAAGGAATAACCTTTTGGTCCTGAATTGTCGGCAATATCGATGATGAAGAGGTCTTGGGCCCCCTCTACTGGTGATGTCGGGTTGAAGTGGTATGTCTCGCCCACCAAGTCCGCACATGTCACTCAACGGTCCGATACGATCGTCATGCTCTAGAATCTGCGGAACCCTTGCGTTGTCTCTAAGGACCAGTTATTCGACTAAGAGTTCTGACCGATCGAATCCTTGGGCGAGACGGTCTTGCGAACCACCTTGGCGGAAAACATGAAAAGACATGATGTAAACATGAAAAGATAGGATGTAAATATGAAAAGACATGATGTCGGGAGTGATATGCACATCTAACGTCCCGTTGTTACGAATCGTGACATCTCCCTGGTACATCGAGTGACTCCAGAACCAAGCATTGCCGCATGCCACCACACAAAAGATTATAGACACTAGGGCATCAAAGCATCAGTATTGAAGGCACAGGTAACCAAAACTCAAGTATCTAGGTACGGGATAAAGAAAGTGCATACTGGTTAGGTAGGTAACTTACTCCATGCGACCCATAGGGCCTTTCCGCGCTTCACAGCCTTCATGGCTTCAGCCATGCTCGTCGTGCTTTCTCGAACATAATGAACTTCGCTCAACTGAATAATAGATGCTTACCGTGTCAGCAGTTGCGCCTTTGTTTGTTTGAAAGAGGAAGAAAAAAAACTTACACTCATTCCTCTCCGTGCGCGAACCCAGAAGCCAATAATACCCCCATTTTTGAACCCAAAGGTGAGAGAGGCGACGCTGATCATGCTGATGCCGGAGACGAGCATTTGGGGTTCAAGAGGGTACGGCCATTCCGCGACCGGGTGGCCTACGGCCTTGGCCCGGAGAATGATGTTGGCTATGAAGCCTACAAGGTGAACAAGAAACCAGAGGTCAGCTGTGGAACAAGGCATGAGTGACTCCTTGTGACTGGACTAACAACTTACCAGCGATGCCCACCAAAATGGAGCAAAAGGACACCCACGGAAACAGCCGAAGCCAGTCGGGGACCCAGGCGGGCCAAGACAACTTCCAACCAGGGAAAAAGAACTTCATCCTGCACGGTGGATGGACGAAAGAAAGAAAAGGGAAGAGAGAGGAAGGAAAAGGCAAAGGAAAAAGCAAGAAGAGAAGTTGGAAAAGACACACGAAGAAAGAAGTTCGTCAAGATCAGCGAAGCAAGACACGGTACAAGTGCTCTCAAGGAGTGAAGAAGAAAAGGAGAACGACGGGCTGATCAGGTTTCATGGGCATCATTGAGATTTGAACGTGAGGCTAGAAAGTCGGAAGTGAGGATTGCCGGGTGGGCGAGCGACAGCGATTTGGCTACACAGGAACAAAAGAACCTATATTTAAGGCAATGTCAGTGAGTGTGGGTGGTTGATTCTGTGGTAAAGTGTTGACCGAAAATGAAAAATACTGGGTAGCTCCAGGTATCATCCGTTGAACGTCCTTTCCCACCAACAAAGCCACTTGGTTCGACCTCGCTCCATGACTGTGACGTTCCTGTTGCGGTTCCTTCCTTGCTCAGAAATACTAGTCTTACCCGTTCGTAGTATCCTTCAGCTCCGGGCTCTTTCCATTTCAGTGAGTTGCAAATGCCTTTCTGGACAGGTGTAGTTCATTTCTTCCCCTCGAAATGAGACCTGCGAAATGAATGTTCGGGGTGCTGGGAGAAAGCTTGATGCCAACAAACTGCTCGGAATTTGGTAGTCGTTATTGGCTCATGACTGAACTCTGTAACACTCCCTTGGCTGGACCGGGATATTCACCATCTTGAGCCGATGGTATGCCGGTGTGATTCCAAGTGATGAGCGATAGTAAGCAATAGTATTTCAATGCACAGATTGCGTCTTGACCCGGTTATTGAGGTACTGCATGACTGCATGCGGTGTTAGGAAAGCGATAGGGAAAGAACGATAAGGGAGGAGGGGGATGCAAGATGGCCTTGGATAAATTTGAACTGGCAAGCGTGAGTCCCACACATCCTGCAAGCGACTGCTGAAGATATCCATGCCCGACTGTGCTTGCATTATTTCTCATTGACCTCCAATTATTCCGAGAATTACAAGAAGCGGAACGATACATGCAATTCAGAAAAAGCCAGCGACAACCTGCATATCCTAGTTTACAACGAGTGTTAAATAGCAGGGACCATCCAACTTTCCTAGGTCCTTCCCTCTTTCCTCCTCCGTCCAACTTCAACCACCAAAGCCCCCGAGTCTTTTACATCAACCCCCATTATTTTCGAAGTTGCAGCCATGAAGTTTATTCTTACCGTGGCTGCCCTTACCGTGGCTGCCCTCACCGGCGCTGCCCTTGGCGGCCTCGTTGCTATCCCAGTTGACTTGTCCAAGTACAACCTCTCCAACTGTACCAAAGCTTACTTGCCTTATACTGCGAATAAAATGACCGGATTCGAGGTTAACGAGGAGCGAAAGTACGCGTACTGCGTCGTCACCACCCGCAATTCCACCTTCTTCGACTACAAATGCTTGTGTAGGGGGGGAGACGGCGAGGGGTCAGCAATCATCGATGCGGCTCTTCTAGACGGCGCTGTTTGGCTCGAGTGTGGGTGGGATTACTCCTTCAGTACGTATTACGTCGTGTCTTGGTATCTTCGTGCTTCGCAGGACACTTTGCGCAAAACATGAATCCAACCCTTACTATGTCCAGGTAAACTAACGTGCCTCATTTGAATAACTAAACAGATGTAGTCTTCCCCGAGACGAGAAACTTCTGCCGCACATTGCTGAACGAAGACGCCGCCACTGATCATGGGCAATTGTTGGAACGCTATGTCCCGACCTAGGCAAGACCCTCCTGCCATTTTTGACCCCGTTGTTACCGATGAAATGCCCGACCTTATCAACAAAGACCTCTCCACCGCCACTACTCGTCGGAATCGACAGGCTTGAAGCAAGTGGGACCACTCCCCCATCCGGAGATTGACCTCATTGTTGCCGAAGAATTGCCCGATAGAAGGGTGCAAGCCGAATGGCGTATCACGATGCGGTACGGAGAAGAATACGATGTCCATGCTGAAAAAATGTGTATGGATGGTTGGATATTTGACGGCTACTAGCTGCAAAAAGATTACTGATACCATGGCTGCCACCCGAGAACAATGGCGGCTGGGTAAAGGGATTGCTAAGGTTGGAACTCAGAATGAACTTGTTCCCATCATGTTGACGGCGCTGACCGTTTTCCTATTGTTATTCTTCTGCATCCTTTAGTAACCACCAAGTAGTATGCACAGAAAGAATTGATGAATGTTAGCAATCGCGTGGTCGGGGCCGATTTCCTGTGCGAAGACTAGGGAACGGGACAAGACGGAAATTGCAGACCATCACTTTGAAATTTGTACTTCTTTCGAAGTTGTTTGGTGTTGTATTTGGGAGTTTCTCAACTAGATGGTTGAGACCCGAGTAAAGGCATTTGCAAGTGCACACGCGGTCGCTTCGCACGACCAAAGCCAGGTTAGACCTGAAAGAGAACGTAAAAGACATTTCGCCAGCAGGGTAGAGCTTGCATTGCGCATCCTGAGGATGAAGCGACGGCATAACCTTCACTCATAGGCCAAGTGGCTTTGTGCCTCCTTCGTTCATTCGGAGACGGCTTCTATGGATTTTCAGCTACAAGTTGTACTCCAGGCAGAACCGGGAAGGAACCACCAAAGCTTCATCGGAGACGGCAACCCCTGAACGCTTGGGTACTTGGAATGGAAAGAAGAATCACACCAGCCCCTGCCCTCCTTCCCGACCTTCAGGTTTCCATGCTTTCCATGTTTTTGCGTAAGCGCCTCCGGTATCTTCACAATTAACCACCAACACTCTCCGAAGTCGCCTTTCCTCCTTGGTCAAACTTTTAACTTGCCAGAACCTCCGACGTCTCCGCCTGCTCGCCCGCCTGCGAAGTTTTCCTTCCTCGACTCGCGTTCAAGTCTCGTGACTCCAACCATACCCACTCCGTCTAGTCGCCGCGCAACGACACCCTCACAACGGCAGGTCGCTGGTTCCCATCTCTCGTGGGCTCTAGCTACGTCTCTGGCTCCAGTATATCGCTATTTTTGTGGCTGTAAATACGCAGTTGGGTCACATCGAACCCCCGTTGTTCACGTTCTTACACCTGCCCTCCAGTTTGGCCTTCGTTATTACGATAACTACTCGTCGTTTCGTTCACGTGAACAGAGAGGGCAGTCATCAAGTGGACATTTTACCATGTCGCCATTGGGCAAGTGGTGTCGATCTTTGCCTGCATGGTCGTTCTCGTTCTTATTTGGCTTCTGTGAGACGTCGTATGGGAGTGATGACACTAAGTCCTGGTCTTCACTTCATTTTTCAAAAACAGCTTTCTGACCATTCATCTTGCTATCTTTAGCCTATCTCTGGTTGCCACTCTTCATGCCCAGTGTCGATTGACATAGGTCTACTCCGATATTGAGATCCGATAAGTAACCAGATCAGATTCATTGACGCCTACCTATTTCGATGTCTTCAAGAGATAACTTCTGTCCTACCAGTGCTAGGTATCAACAAGTGATTGGATGCCTTTCTTGTACTAAATAATCGATTATAATTGCATCGCGACAGCTCAAAAGGCGTACCGCTCTGCATACAGCCACATCACTCCTTCTCTTATTGTCTTTTCATTTGTGGTTTCTTCACAATCTGAGCCTTCCCAAGCCCATTCCCTACACAATTTTTGCCGTCGTTTCGGCTCAAACTCAGCACCTCTATGACCTGAATAATAGAAGATCTGGCTGAGTTACACCATGCCTGATACTTGTGATTGTTGTGTAATCTAGTGGAAGGAGCACGTTCGCAAACTCCGAGGGGGTTATGGAGAAACTCCTGCCTAATCCCCAGCGGAGTTTTCCACGAGAACGAACAACAAGTCAGAGATTCAAGGAGAATGAAGCCGGCGACGATGGATCCATTCTCTTTTCAAACGTGACAGAACAACACCAGTCCGCAGTACGTGAAACACGCTTGCAAGTGTGACCGATCAAGTCATTCCACAGTTGGAGCTGGGTTTTGACGCTTAATACAGCTTGGAACGCACGTTACGCTTTGCTTTCCCCAGTCTTGTTTGGGCGAAGTGACAGCCACGAATGAGAAACACAACAGTTAGTGGTCGCCATGGCACATATTAGTGCGGTTATTTCCATCCCAACTTTGGTGTGTCTTTCCATCTCAACTTTACGTCCAACTTGGGGCTTTTATGGTTTTCGATCCCAACTTCTACTTCAAAATTAGTGCGAAGATACCATACCGCTTTCCCTGCGTGGAATAAATAGATGGGAGTGACACGTGGTAGGAGTTGAGCCTCAATCCGGGACCAAGATCATGGGTAAGGGTTAACAACATGAAGGGACTACACTCTCAACTGGAGAAAGCATAGGTGTAACCGACCTTACTCAAAACCTATGACACGATCCTACCTTGTCCCAGCCATCTCGGATTGTTGCCATAAAGAGCTATACCATCTTTCTTGAAGTCTGGAGGACTGGAGAATTTCCGATTTAGCTTCTTCTTTGTTTTAACCCTACTCGAATAAATACTGGGTATCAGATAACTACAGGACGCGGTTTGGGCTTTTGAGGAAACTGATGTGGTTTTTCCCGTCAATTGTTTTTCCAAGGACTATATATAAAGGTACGGTCTGGAGATAGAAGCCGGTTGAGAAGGGGGTTGTGCGACGGCTGGCACTAGCCATACCGTTACCCGCCTCATTCACGACTGACTTATTGCTGTGTTCACGAGTGTGGTCAAGTTCTGCATATTCCTAACTTCTTCCAGAGGTCGTAGGTAGATAACCCCGTTCTCCCCTTCCAGCCTTACAACCCTCTCCTTTCAGCCTTCACACTTCCAGTTCATATTCCACCCTTTCAACTTCCCAGTCCACATCATCCAGCAGTCTCCTTCTAGCCTTCTCATTCCATATTTCAAATCTTCCCCTTCCAGCCAATGCCCTTCCCTTCGTACTTCCAGTTCATTTTCTACCCTTTCAACTTTCCAGTCCATAGGTATTATCGAGCAGTCGCCTTCTAAGTAGCCTTCCCATTCCACCTTTCAAGTCCTTCCCTTCCAGCGACGGCCCTTCAAATCCCTCCTCTCCAGCCTTCCATGCAGTCATTTCGGAGCTTCGTTCCCCTTCTTCAACTCAACTCTTCTTCCTTCTGTAAGGTAGCCAAGTGGTACCTCATTACTTCCTTACCTTCATACGAACTTGCTACATCCAGTTCATATTCTACCCTTTCACCTTTTTAGTCCACATCATCCAGCAGTCGCCTTCTAGCCTTCCCATTTCACCTTTCAAGTCCTCCCCTTCCAGCCATCGCCTTCCACTTCCTCCTCTCCAGCCTTCCATGCAGAACCTTCCAGCCTTACAATACTCTCCTTTCAGCCTTCGCACTTCCAATCCACGTTCTCCCATTCCACCTTTCAAGTCTTCCCCTTCCAGCCATCGCCCTTCCAATTCCTCCTCTCCAGCCTTCCATGCAGTCCATTTCGGAGGTTCATTCTCTTTCTTCAACTCAACTCTTCCTTCTTCTGTAAAGTGGCCAAGTGGTACCTCATCACTTCCTTGCTTCCATACGAACTTGCTGCGTCGTAACACTTTTGACTTCCCTCGGGTTTTCCCATTCACTCGGACTCCTTAATGTGTACAGGTATTAAAGACAACACATTTCCATCTTCCCCCCAGATGTCCTCTTTTTCTTTTTTTCTTCTTTACCCTTCGTGAGCACTTGTACACCGTCCGTTGCCAGGTCTCAATCCAGTCTTCAACGCTGTGCTGTTTTCTTCTTGCCTCTTTTGTTCTTTCTTTTGTGCCGATCTCTCTTCTCTTTTTCTCTCTTCCCCTCCTCTCTTTCTCTCTTCCCCTTCTCTTTTCTTCTCGACTCTTCTCTCTGCCCCTCCCAACCACCACCACCACCATGCCGTTCTCCTGGGCTTGCCGGGTTCCCGATAGGGTCCGGCTGCTTCCGTGGTTGTCGTTGTTTCTCCCAGTGCTGCTGGGTATTGCTGGTGAGTTTGTGATTCAGTTTTATTCGTACCTCATTTCAAAACCAAACACTGACTTATTTTTAGGCCTCGCCGGCAACGTGACCATCCGCTCCCTGGCCATAGGCCACCCAGTCTCGAACTGGTCTTCCTGGGCTGACCCCCAAATGCTGGTGTCCGGGATTGGCACGGTGTGCGTGGCCGTTCTTACGTTCGGGTTTAAAGGGGGAGCCAAGACGTCGTTTTGGGTGCGCGCGCGCAAAGGCATGCCTGTAAGTTTCCTTTTCTTCAAGTTCAACACCAACGTAACTGCCATGCTCATACGGTACCTATATAGCTTAGCGATGTTCATTATGCCTGGGAGAGCACAACGAGCGTTGCAGAAGCCGCTAAGGCTATCTGGCGTGGAAAGTCCCTTTCGGTAGCGTGGTGTAAGTTATTTGTGCCCATTACATGTGCTTTACTCCATCTAGTTGAGCTCTTCCCGGCTTTTGGTGTATTGGTTTGCTGATGCTTCAATGCCCCAGTGACTATTCTTTTCGTTGTCGCAATCCCCGGGAACGCGTGGCTGTGGGCCCACTTCCTCTACCAGGACGATGTTGCCCTTAGCTACAACGGAACGGCAAATATCCATATCACCCCCAAGATCCTGCCTCCGTTTCCTTTGGCGTTAACTATTAATCGCCCCATCATGACGGCATACCGGGAGTACTTGGCAAACACAGCCGTTCAGTTCCCCTTTAACGTTTGTGACAAATGCTCGGTGGACACTCTTGTAAGTCTTTTTGACGATTCAAGATGGAAGCTTCTCGTGGGAGAAGATTAAACAACTAACATTGCTGTAGGGGTTCGGATGGCTAGAAATGTGCTCGGTCTCAGCTGGTGGACCATATAATCTCGACTCCGTTTCCCCAGGCGACGGCCCGCAATCAGTCCAGCTCTTTTCAACGAGTATCAGGAACCAGACGGGACCAAGCGGTCATTTCTTGACCATAAACTCTACATACAAACCGGGGACGGGCTGTACCGGGAACTATGTTACCCACTTCTGCGCGCTGGAGCCGTCGATCGTCCAATATCGGTTCAACATAACGGGGAACTCGATTACATTTACAACGGTTGTCACTAATACAGCGTATGTGTCCAACGTTCTATCAAAATCAACCCCTACCGCACATTGGCCTTGAGAGATGAATGAGGCTAATAAGTTCCGCAGCATGGACGACTTGATGTTCTCCCACTACCAGGATTTCCTGGGCAGTTCTTTCTTGCCTCTGCCGCGCCAACCCAATCTATATGAAGGCTGTTTGGAGCTATTTACCAAGTTGGGCCAAAGTCTGTATGGCACCAGATTTGGCGCCATGCGTGACAAGTATTGGTGGCACTATGAGGATGACGCTTTCGGTATGGGCTATCAAAGCCATATCGCAGCCGCTTACGCCCGGAGGCCCGATATCCAGTCTAGCAGTACCCGGGAACACCCATGCGATTTGGATTTTTTGTCGCCCATGGACGATATCCTCGACATGTACCGGCAGTTGGCAGTGAGGGTGTCGGTAATCGTGGCCGTGAATACCAACGAGACCCAATACGTCCCATTTATTGGGGAAAGAACCGAGCGCCAGTGGTTGGCGAACAAAGAGCGGGCACAGCTCTGTTACCATGCGGCTATGATCACACATATCGTTGGCATTTTGCTTGTTATTTTTATGCATTGGGGTTTCTGGAAGCTTGATAGGGGGTATTCAATGAGCCCACTGGAGCTCATGAATGCCGTGGCCCATTGTTCGGATGAAAGCGCCCGGAGTCTTCTGCATATCTTACGAGAGGCTGAGGACAATGCTTCGGTATCAAGACTGAAGGGGTTCGCTCACGAGTGGGACGTCGAGCACGAGCAACTCGTGGTTTATACGAAGGGAGGAGACGGTCATTGGGGTTTCAAAGTTAAGGCGGAGGAGTACGAGTTGGCAGAGCAGCAGTAACGGTTTCCACCTACTACCTAGGTATTCACCTACATGTGACGGCCGAGCTTAGTGGACGTCCATGGTACGATAACCGGCATTTGCATTTTAGGTCTCGTCAATTTCATTGATTACGTCCTGTAATGGACATCTTGTGGTGGTTGATTACCTTGAATTCTGGTCCAGATGCTTCTGTGAAGATCTTTATGGTGAATTTACTCTCTAGTTCGGTTCTATCCTCCCGTCTTGATCTTCAAACCAGGAGCAGCCATCTCCTCACCCGCCCACGTACTCATCCTCGCAACCCCTATCCCCCTCACCATCACGCCCCGCAACCTCACATCCACCCCTCCCCCTCCCAAAACCCCCTCACACAACTCCAATACCTCCCCGCATTCTCCTCCCCCCTCGCATGCCCAACATGTCCCGTCCCCGCAAACTTTTCTCCTCTAACCCCCTTAGCCCCCCTCCTCGCCCCCTCCATATGCGCCTCCACATCTCTATACCCCACCAACTCATCCTCCTCACTATAGAAATACATCCGTCCCCTTTCCCTTTCCGCCCTCCCCTTCCCAGGCGTCCTATCATTCTGCTCCCTTGCCGCTCTTTCAAGCGGAGACTCCAAAAAGCGTAGTTTCAACAGGCGGGAAAGGAAGTTGCTCGTCCAGAGGAGGGAGACCCACATGTGAAGAAGGGGAGAGATAATCAAGCGGCGAAGGGTATCCCAGAGAGAAGAGGACCCAGCGCGGGAAACAGGCGGGAGAAGAACGTGCGAGAGGGCGCGGTAGGTAGGGAAGTAAGCTATTTGTCCTGGCGCAGAGTCGAAGATAGTTAGGTGTGGTGGGAGACGGAGACGGGACTCGGACTGGAGGAGGTAGTGGTGCAGAGATAGAAGCTGGGCGGAACCGCCGTTGGAGAAGAGGTGGATTAGGAGGGTGGGTTGGTCTTCTTCATCGTTAAGTGGTGTTGATGGAGATGAGGAAGTAAGAGCGGTGGTGGAGGAGCCAAAATTGTCGGAACCAGGTTGGAGCATTTCGGAACCGAAAATCTCTCGCAGGACGGGCACGGTAACTTGCATGTCGGGCCAGGAGCTCTTGGGCTGGAAGACGTGCTGCATCTCGGATTTGATGAGGAGGATGGGGGTGCTGGGGAATAGAGCCTGGTAGGGCGTGATGTATTTGGCGATGTGGGGGTCGCGGGCGCCCATCCAGGAGCAGAGGAGGATGAGTTTTGGGGGTGGACGGTTGCCGGGTGTGGTGGTGGTGGTGGTGGTGGTGGTTGTTGTTGTTGGAGACAAGGTGGTGGATGAGGAGGGTCGGTAGAGGTAGACGTGTTGTGAGAGGCGGGTCATGAAGGAGAGGGGGGAGGAGTCTTTGGTGACTGTTTTGATGGTGGATGCCATTTTGTCGATGGGTTGGTGCCTTTTGGGCGAGAAACTAGTGTGTTGTGTTGTGTTCTGATGTGTTGAGAGGGAGGTGAGAAAAGAGTTGAAGACTGGTGATGACGTTGATGCGGTACTTCGGGAACGCGGAATTGGTGGAGCGGGGTGATCCGGCGGAACCCACCAAGTTTTGCGGGGGACCAGCTGGACTTTACCCCGTACTGTACTAACAATTATATGCCAAGCCCAACTGCCCGCCAGGACCACCAACCTTCAGCTACTGGAAGAGCCAGGCGGCCTGATCCTCTCCCAATTCCACGTCCACGATGCACCATTTCCGAGGTCATGACGGGCAAGACACTCCACCGGCATTCAGTCAACCCAGCTTTCCGGAAAGACCGAACACTTCCATCAGGATAAATTCTGATTATTATTGTAGACTACGTCAATTTACACTCGCTCACTTGCGATCGCGTTACTGCCCATTCGCTCGTACCTGGTCCGGAATGGGCGCCGCCGAAGCAGGGGGCCGACGGCCCATAGCAGGATCACAGACCCGGCCCAACACCGACGGCAATCCGGAACTAGGCCCGGGAGGGAAGCCGCTATTTCTCAGTTATTTCTACGATGAGCACGGAAGAAGTCAGCACGAAGGTACAAAGTTCACTTCTCTGAGAGCACAAGGAAACACAAGTGTGTTGGAGAAAGAAAAACAAAAGTTTGTAATTAACGCAGCCTACCTCTGGTAGATTCAGTCCGCGGCCACCGGGAGTATCGAGGGGTATAACGGCCCTCAGACCGCTCATCTGAGAGGGTACATTGACGTATTCTACCGAAGACAGGAGACCTGACTCTGCCCTCGGGGCAAGTGAAGGAAACGATGTCCAAGTTCATTCCACTTGAGCACTTAATCAAGGCACTCGAGACTGTCGCAACGACCGCCAATGATGCAGACTTCGTCCCTCATTACCGGCATGAACAAGGTTTCTTTTTTTTTTTTTTTTTTTTTTTTTTTTTTTCCCCTGGATTCCGGACTCCGAACTGGTTTAAAAATAATGTTTCGCGCAGATGTATGCAATGCTGATCCCCGAATCAGTCGGGCGCATGCTCACCCCCCCTTCTTATTTTCCCCTTTTCTGGAGTTCTCTTTCCCTACCTCTATCTGATCGATATCATGTCCACAGATCTGATCATCCGAAGCCGTATGCGGTAAATGCTCAAAATACCTCGGCGGCGGGGAGAGTGTTATTGCCCTTGCGGGCCGGTTCGTTGAAAGAATCGCCGATTGGGCGATTGGTTGTTGGCAGAAGACAGAGTTCTTGCTTCTTGCCCCTAGGGGCACGAGAGGGTGCCGTGGATGGGGCACGGGTAGCCCCCGTGGACGCCGAACTGTGTCAAGGAGGCCTGCTTGGGACCATCAGGCGCGGGCAGGGCGGCCGGGCGCGGCGGCACGTCGGCGGGCCGAGAAGCGTGCACGACAGCCGGGCGCGGAGGAGACGTGAGGACCTGGGCGAACAAAGGTCCGCCAGACACGTATCGAGCCGCCGGGGTGGCAGCCGGAACCGAAACCGGAAGGTACGCAGCGAGCTAGACGGTTCTGCTTCACCACTGGCTACCATAGGTAGGTAGCCATAGTCTTTCCAGAAGTCCCAATCATCCACGCACCAACGAGCGCATGTGGTTCACAAGCTCACCAAGATACCTACCAAGGAACTATTCTGTCTCCATCATTGACTTCAGTGGGTAGGTTGAGTGGGACATGGCATTGGTGGTCAAGCGATCGAGCTGTCCCGATCGCTCTAGTCTGTCACATACAGTGAGGACACTTAGTAATCAGACCGCCTTCCAGCTATTTCCGTCTCACAAGTTTGATGACAATGACGGTTCGCCCGTGGATTGATATTATTGGCAATTCGGTTGCTCAAGTGGCTTTATACCTGCCTCTATAGTTGTCCCGAAAGAGACACCCGACTGCATCGTTGAAAAAAAAGTTGTGGCGGCCAGTGTTATGTGGCTTTGTAATTGTGGCTGTGCGGCAAACTCCGATGACACATTTTCACAAAGCGCGACTTTCCACAGCCCTTTCTCAATCACATCCGTCAGGACGTAATGGCAGAGCCTGTCGGATCGGCCTCAGTCAAAGACTATCAAGACAATTCCATTGGGAAAGGCCTTGATGTCTTCCGCGCTTCGTTCAATTACCTAGTCTTGTACGCCAGACGTGCTAGATCAGCTCAGTTATAGAGCTAAACGGTCCAGTTTCACTGCAGGTGCTCGGCCAACTTGTCATAAAGATCTTCTTGACGGCCTGGACGGCGCCTCTTTAGGGGGGATGATTGTATACGATCTGCTTCTCGGCGCTGAGCTGTTTCGCGTGCGCCTTATCGAAGTGGTCGCACATCACAGTAGGTCGACAGTAAACAAACGTCCTTCCCCGATACAGCGCGGCCATATCATTCTTTCCATCGAAAGCGAAAAAGGGTTCGGCCCGGGAGATTTCTCCCTGACCATCACATTGGCGTGCGCGCTCTGACACTTGTCCTTGAGGCTCTTCTTCTCGCCGTCAACATTGAAACTCGACTGTCCGCACCCCCGTGAAGGCAAGGCCGAGGTAGCACCCGGACAAGCTGGTTTACGCGATGCCCCTCCCAAGGGACGACGCCGGTGTCGTACGCAATATTAAAGGTCGGGAGGGCCGCGACATCCACTCCGCCCGCCGTTGGGAGCCTGAAGGGTGGTTGAAGCGGGGGACCAAGGTGGCATCATGCCACTTGCTGATCACTGATGCGGCCTTTAATCTCTTCAACGTCTTCAAGATGTAAACATCAGACGTGAGGTGTTGCATATGTGACCACACCTCTGCGATGATTGGTGCGATACATTGCGCCATATATATCTCAATATTCTCGCTTAAGTACGGCCGAGATGCGCCGGCTGGCTGCGGAAACACCGGGGACAAAAGGTCAGTATGCCGAGAAGTATGCCGAGATCTTTTGAGAAAGAGTGAGTCAAGACACGGGGGGAATCGGATGGCGACCCCGCTCGTCTGTATTGGCAATGGCGTCATGCAAATCACTCATTACCCGATATCGGGGGTAGGATGGAAGAGGTATATAACTCAAGCACCCGCATATTGAGGGGTAACCTTGCCTTTTGCTCCCAAACAACAACTCGACATCTCGCTCTTGACTTGAATCAACAATCTGCTATACCTTTGGTACGCGACCAGCGTCCGAAGAGCCATGACATCTATCACAATGGGAACTCCAAGATCGAGGTAAAGTAAACAAGACAGCTACCGGGTGTCCATGTTGGTACTGCCACAGTTGGTTCACCCTTATCGCTCTTCCATGCCTTCTGTGACAAGGTCTTTGGAATGAGTTTGATACGATGGGCCAACTGCGGCGGTACCACGTTGGTCTGAGAAATACCGGCGAACTTGATCTGGATAATACCAGCGAAAGGATTGGCTTCTTGGGACCCCTTCCCCTCCCCTTATCGGAGATCAACTAACTCTAGGTTCGCAGCTCTGCTCGTGTTGCGCCAACATGTCTACCGACAAGATAACTTTCCTCGCCAACTGGTAAAGACTGATGTATGCCGTAGCTTGTCGTATCAACCGCTGACGCAACACAGGCACGCTACGCCGTACCATGCACCGCTTTACCTTGCCCAGGCCAAAGGCTTCTTCAAAGAACAGGGCATCCAGGTGGCTCTTCTGGAGCCCAACGACCCCAGCGTACGTAATTCATGCCGTTTCAATGTGCCAGTTCCCGGCTAACAGAGCATGGCAGGACGTAACCGAAATCATCGGCAGCGGTAAAGTTGACCTCGGTTTCAAGGCCATGATTCACACTCTTGCTGTAAGATTCGCCGTTCTCAGCCCTCACAAGATGGTCAAGTGCTGATCCTTCACCAACAGGCCAAAGCCCGTAACTACCCTGTCCTCTCGATTGGCAGCCTTCTGGACGAACCCTTCACCGGCGTCGTCTACCTCAAGGAGTCCGGAATCACGACCGACTTTAGGTCCCTCAAGGGCAAGCGTATCGGCTACGTCGGCGAGTTTGGCAAGATTCAGATCGATGAGCTCACTTCGCACTACGGCCTGACTCCTGCCGATTACACGGCCGTCCGCTGCGGCATGAACGTCTCCAAGGCCATTATCAAGGGGGAGATTGACGCCGGTATCGGCCTCGAGAACGTGCAGATGGTTGAGCTGGAGGAGTGGCTTGCTTCCCAGGGCCGAGACAAGGCCGACGTCCAGATGCTTCGCATTGACGAGCTCGCGGAACTCGGATGCTGCTGCTTCTGCTCGATTCTCTACATTGGCAACGAGTCCTTCATCGCGCAGAACCCGGAAAAGGTTCGGGCCTTTATGCGCGCCGTCAAGAAGGCGACTGACTTTGTCCTGGCCAACCCGGACGCTGCGTGGAAGGAGTATGTTGACTTCAAGCCTGTCATGGGCACTGAGCTCAACAGAAAGATCTTTGAGCGCAGCTACGCATACTTCTCCGAGGACCTCAAGAACGTCGAGCGCGACTGGTCCAAGGTCACCAAGTATGGTCAACGGCTTGGGGTCCTGAGCCCAGACTTCACCCCCAACTACACCAACGAGTTTCTTGACTGGGCTCTGCAGCCGGAATCCAGTGACCCTACTGGCGACCAGAAGCGAATGGTTGAGCTCCAGAAGAATGTGGCTTGCTGCGGTGGCTTCCACCGCTTGCCCCTTGGGATCAAGGCTTGATTGGTGGGACAGGGTCGTCTTTGCTGCGGATGGCGGCAAGAGTTTACTTCCAAGCTTGGCTGCTATAGTCTGGGATCTTTTTGCGCAACCATTAGTTTTTGGTGGAACAAAGAGGCTCGTATCTTGATGGCTTAACCGACTCGGTTCCAGATGAGTATCGTGTGGACGATCGATGAGGGCCTCGAAAGTGTAGCTAGCGAAGGCATCTGCAACATTCATTAGTAAATGCCTATTTCTCTAGTCTAATTGAACTGCGCTCCTACACCGTGTAAAATGTGATCTGATATTCACCATTCGTTTGTCTTTATTTGAAATGGTGTTGTTGAGGCGATGGCGAGTGTGTACCTTTTCACCGAGCGTCATTTCTTCTTGTTAATGATATCTCCTAATGGCATCGAGCAACGACGACATACACTGCATCTTCCGGTGATTGAAGAGCAGGGAAAACGCCCAGCAAGCTGCCGGTTGCAGACAGTCAGTCCCCCGTCTCGTGCTGAAGGGGCCGTCCGCTTGTTTTACCGGTCGAGACGTCTATCACCCATGCTAACAAGGACTTATCAGGCCAAGCTCAGGCACGTTTCACGGATTGCTTTCATGGCTGGCACACATCAATGGCTGGACTGTTCTTTGAGGCTTGAGGCGAAAGCAGTCTATGTGTATCAACAGTCCTGGCCTGGCTATTGTAACGGCGGTAGCAGACCACTATGGTACGCCGTGTCCCCGCAAAGGGGTAGGTACAAGTACCCGAAGCTGCCCAGCAAACATCATTCCATTCCATTCCATATCATGTTGACTACCTGGGGTATCATTCCTACCTAGGCGAGAATCCAGGGGGGGACTGACTGATGGAGATGGGTTACAACAACAGCTTCTTAGAACAACCTGTACAAGGCGCGACCGTCAATGTTTTGGGCTGGGAATAGGTAAGGTAGGTAGGTAGCGTCACTTTATTTACCTGGGGGTAGGTATGAGGGCATTAGGTATGAGAGCAACCAAGGTAACTCAATCTCGTGTGGATTGTGGAAGAGCACTATACTGGTGTAAACTGATTCACAAGGACCTGGATGACATTAAAGTCAAATAAGTGAAGAGAAAGAAGTGCAGAAAGAGAGGAAGCGGGAAAAGTATTGATTCAATTCATCAGCTGGTCTACATATACATCCACTGGGGGAGGGGGTTCGAGACGACGTGGAAGCGCCGTGAAAATTCGGAATGACCATAACTACCTACTTCTACCCATTTCGATGAGAGGTGTCCTTTGATGATGATGTAGATGTGTACCTTTGTTCCTGGGTAGGTACTTACCTTCACCTACAATGCAAGTCATGTCATGCATCCAGATGAGTTCGTCTCGTCTCAGACATCCTCCTTCCTTGTCTCCTATAAAGGGACTACACTACGCTCACCTAACCCGCTTTTTAACACAGAAAGACAGACAACGCAGTTCATAACCACTGCACGCGTCATTGTTGACATGAGAAGATGCCAAAGGAGTTAAAAATATAAGGACCAAATTCCTTTGCAGGTGTCTTGGTAGGTATTGAACGGGTGATCCGGATGGTTCTTGAGCTTGCGATGCCTTCCCCCTTTCGGGATTTCATCCCATCTCTCGTTCCAACAGCCAAGCCAAGGCGCGCAGTTGACTGACTGCCTGGGTCCATTCGAGGTCCTTCCACATTCACAGAGATGTAAACTAGAACCTTAGTCCAATGAGTAATGACGCGTAATCGTCAAATGTCAAGTTGTGTTGTTGTCCTGGCGACAGCTGGCAGCCTGCCCGGGCTCCGGCGGGCCGCCAGTATTTGACGTCTCTCTCCCAGGTTGTGTCAATGACCGACCCTTCACCTTCACCTTCACCTCGCTGTGCCTTCACTTCTGCCATTCACCAGCAATCTGTTCCCGTCGTTAGCGTATTGTCCATACTGCTCCTCTTCTTATTTGACCTTCCCTCCATCTTAAACTTTCTCTACCTGACAACAAAACACACAATCGTCAAACAAAACAATCGCTCATCACATTTCGCAACCCCATCGCGTTGCCTCTTACTTACCTTTATTTCTACTCACCAGACTAGAACCATCCCGAACTCTCGACAACAGACAACGAACGGGCAAAGCTGATCAAAGTCTGTTAACAATATGTCGCTCTCCAAATCGTCAAAAGAACCAACTCCCCCGCCGACGCCCCCCAACGAGCCTCAGGCGACCGACATCCCGCTTCCCGAGTCGCCCATGGTTCTTCCGCCTGCTGAGTCTCCGTTCTGGACTGTTGTAGCTCAGGAGGCTCGTGACCTTGCTCGTACACTTCGTGCCATCAACAACGACGACGATAAGATCCGGGAGAATCCCGACTCCGTCAGCGAGATGGACGCCGACAACACAAGCATCCCCAAGCGTGATTCAGCCACCGAAAAGCGCAGCGTGACTCCCTTGTCCGAAGCCAGTGAAGAGGATCAAACTGTCGAGCTCGGCGACGGCACGATTCAAGGCAACCTTGATTCCGTGAGCGACACAGGCCATACCAACAGCCTCAAGCGCAACCCCACGTCCACAAGTGAAGAGCGCAGCATCACCCCTCTACCCGACCAAACTATGGACGAACAAGGCGAACCATCAGAGCTGCCCGAACCTCTGCGACAACTTCCGAAGATCCCGGAAATGCTAGCAAAACTGAGCCAAAGAATCACTGACTTCGAAGCCGCTGAAGAAGCCGAGAATAATGGCACTTGCTCTACACTTCTGGAGAGACAACAAAAGCTTCATGACGCTACTTCTTCTCTTCTTCTGGATGCACTGGCTGTTGCTCCTGTTGTCATGGCTGAAGGACACTCGGACTCATCGATCGATCCATCCCTGATCCCGCTCCCGTCTGATGATGAGGATGAAGACGATCTTGAGTCGGAGGAGTCGGACGACTATACCCCGAGTCTGTCGCTGCTATCCTTTACGAGAGGAATTGGAGGTGGGGTTGGCGCCGGCCAACACCAGGATGACGTCCACGAAGATGATGCGCTTCTGGGTCTGGGCCCGACTGACATTCCTTTCCCGCCGTCGCTGACTGTGTCGGAATACGATTCGGAACTTGAAGAGCAGGAAACCCCCAGCCTGGTCCCTCAGTTCATCGCCGACAATCTCAAGGCCCAGGGCAAAGACCACCACCTCCCTGACACAATCCCCACGTGTACTGCCTACGACGACATCGACTGGACCGACCTCCTTCCCGCTCCCGTTCCTCAAGACAGCTCATCGACCAAGGCGGTACCATCTTCAAACTCAGACACCAAATCCTCGCTTGCCGTCCAAGTCGACCCGGCTGACGTCCCGCTGCCCGAGGACGATCCCTTTGACGTCCCGTTGAGTGTGAATGAAGATGATGGCTCTGGACTTCCGGATTACTCGAACTTTGAAGCGCTTGGCGACCATGGATATGATAATCATGGAGACCAGGAAAATGAAAGTGACAGTTCGCAGTTGTTCGTTGAGAATAGAAGCCCGCTGTTTGATCGGAGGCAGCTTGTAATCTCTACTTCGTCTGAAGATGAGAGGGAGGCAAATCTGGAGGAGTCACAGCCGAAGGGTGACGCCGAGGCCGATGCTGATGACATTCAGCCTGAATCCTTGTTAGAAGAGACTGTGGTCGCAGAAGAGAAGAGGCCAAGCAAGGAGGAGAAAGGCAAGGGAAAAGCTTTACCCCCGACACACAACTTGTCCCAACAGCTTGTCAACACCAGCAACGAGGTTCAAAAGCAGCATGAGCAGCAGCCGGAGCAGATGCTGTCCCCGCGTTCGCCAGTGTCGCCGTATTCTTCGGTCGAGCATCCTGTCGCTTTGGCGCCGCCTATCGCACCGGTGGCGCCAATGGTATCAGTTGCACCTTTTTCGCGGGATCAGCATATGAGAGCTGATCAGCTCTCACCAAGCCAGTCAGTGGTAATCCCCGAACAACAACCCGAACCCGCCCCTTTCCCTCGAGGTACCCAAGGCCAGCCGACCACCCCGCCGACTGCACATGTCCCTGTCTACGTCGGCAAAGCGACAGAACCCAGAGTGGATCGTTACTCCCCACTGCCCGCCCCTTCATCCCCTTTACTCTCCCGCTCATCCCCATACAGAGCATACAAATCCTCGCAGCCGCGCCCGCGCGAGTCACTGCTGCACTCGGTTCCTTATACCCCAGCTGTAGTGCCTTGGGATGAACAGAAGGATCTTCGTGGGCTTCCTCCGCTTCCCGATCCTGAGCGTCTACCGACGTACACGCGGATCTCGAAAACGACTGATAACTCGAGAGTTATGCCAATGTGGTTTGAGGGGTTTAATGCTGTAAGCTTCTCCCTACTCCCCCTTCCTAATCAGCAGACGCCCACAACTAACCCATTTCCTCCGAAATAGCAAGAATGGCTCCTCATCGAGCCCTCCGCCAACATCATGTACCACCGCATCCGGAACCAGTGGCACCCCTCCCTCCCACAATGGCCGCCATGCATCATCGGTCCCACTCCCTTGATCATGGAACTCTCTCAAATCGGCAAAGACGGTCTAGCCGGCGAAATCAACATCCTCCTCCACTGCGAGCGGTACTCCCCTCCGGGCTTCCTGCCCTGTCCACAACTCCGATCCTTCACCAACTTCATCCGCGACTGCTTGGCCTTGCAAAATATCCGCGGCATCACGGTCCCCGACTTCCAGACTGTGCATGAGTGCAAGACCTGGCTTGAAACAGTCACCAAGAACGGCAGGATGCTATCCTTTATGGCTCTGCACTGCCACGTCGAGCGCCTGCGGTCTGGTGTCTTGCCCGGTACGCACGAGTTTCTGGATGCGATCCGGGACATGGGATGCCAACTGGGCTGGAACGAAAACGTATATTTCTCCAAGACTTTGGTGTTGCAGGAGTTTCGACATGTGCCAAAGTACGACTCGACGTCGACGCCGTTTAGTCTGAGGGGGAATCAACAAACTCAGAATCTGGGCCAATACTTCGGCTACGGCCAAGGCAAGGCCACGGATTATTGCATTGCGCTGAGGGATGACCACCCTCACCTCAATATCAGAGTGACGCTTGCGGCGTTGAATACCCTTAACTTTGAGTGGCTGAAGTGGGTAGGCCCGCCGGACGCCTGGGTCAAGACTTGGGATCCTTGCGATGAGGTGGTTGGGCCGCAAAGCAGGACGCGTCTTGCCCAAATAAGACTGAGGAGAAAGGATTTGTACGATGAGTTCACGGCCCTAAACGGACGGGTCGACGGGTGGTTTGAGGATCACCCTGAGCCGCCGAGGACTGCGCTTATTGCGGGAGGTATGGCATCAAGACTTTGCGCTTGTCGTCAGTGCCATTATGCAATCTGTCATCAGCAGCACCATGATGATGAGAGTGTGTGTGAGTGTGATGATGAGACACCCAGTTCATCGGGTAATTCTTCTCCAGGGAGGACTAGGCCGGGTGGTGATGGGCTGCAACCGTTTCCCAAATCGAGACCGCTTCCGGATCCGCCCAGGCCAGGGTTCAGTAGCCTGGCATATGCGGATGGAGAGAGTCTGTTGACAAAAGAGGAACTGACAAGTGTGCGTCGGGCCGAAGAAATGATGGACCGGATGGACAGGAAATTCGACAAAAACCTCTCGCATTTGAACCCTCCCAAACGGCGAAAGACCGAGGCCGCTGCCGAAAGGGCTGAGGCAATAGATGCCGAGGCGGAGGAAGCGAATAAGAAGACCGCAGAGCCTGACACGAGGACCGAGGCGCAGAAGGAAAGGCAGCGCCGAAGGAACAAAAAGAAGAAGGAACAAGAAAAGGAGGCCAAGAAAAAGAAGGCCGCCAGGACCGAAGTGGTTGCCGAATCGAAGGCTCAGATTCTTGAATCCCTCAAGACCGGCGGGTTTGATCGAGAGGCAATTAAGAATGTGGTCAATGAGACTATGGCAAAGATTGGGCCGAAGCCAGGTGCTCCCGAGGACAAGTCCAGAGGTCAGGCCCTTGCGAATAAAGGCAATCTGAGCACAGAGGAGGTGGCTCACTATCGTAATTATACAAAGTCTCTTTATGCCGACCATCTCAAGCGCAAGGAGGCAGGTGAGAGTACCAAGCTTTTTGGCAAGTTTGAGGTCCCGGCCGATATTTCCGAAGAGGGTTTCTTCGATTTCTTCCTCAATAATCTCGGCATTGTTGAAACCGACGACAGGGGTGCTTTTGCGATTATAGAAGAGGGCACTGGAGGTCAAGACTTGCTTGACAGCAAGTGTGGCGGATGCATCCCCGAAGACGCACACCAAGATGCTGTTGACAATGAGCTCGGACAAGCTAGCATCAAACCCTCGCCAGTCACCGAGCAGGAAGTGCCTGCAGAAACAGTCAAGCATCAGCCAAAGAACGTTCACTTAACAGCAGGCCCTTCCACACACGATGTTCCGGATCACGATACCGACGGCATTGTTCAACCAAAGCAACTCGACAACATCGCCTCAGCAGATATCACACAACCTTCTCCAGAGCAGCCCGCCAGTCCTGAAGCTACTCCCAAAGCCGCCCCTAACGATACAACCGACGCCACTCCCACTATCGCCCCTACTGATACTTCCACCCCTTCCCACGACTTACCTAACCATGACACTGACTGCACCCCCCACCCGCCTCCCCTCGACAGATCTAAAGAAGCCTCCAAAGCCAAGAAGGAGCGCCGCAAGCTCCGCAAGCGTCTCGACCGCGAAAAGGAAGAAGCCCGCCTTCGCGAACAAGCAGCGGCGCGCGAAGAGCTCCGTCGCCAAGCCGAAGCCCGCCACCAAGCCGAACTCGACCAGAAAGTAGCTGAAGCCCAAAGGAAGCTCGATGAAGAGAAGGCTCGGCGTTTAGAGCAGCATCAGAAAGAGGAGATTGCTCGGTTGCAACGGGTCAAGGAAGAGGAGGCTCATTTGCAGAAGGTCAAGGAGGAAGAGGCGAATAGGAAGGAAGAAGATATGAGAAAGAGGGAGGAGGAGGAGCGGTTGGCTGAAGAGGAGAAGAAGAGGCAGGAGGAAGAGAGGAGGAAAGATGAGGAGAGGCAGAAAGAGGAGGAACGGATTGCTGAGGAAAAGAGAAGGCAGTTTGAGGAGGAGGCTAGGCTGCAAGCGGAGAAGGAGTGGTATGCCAAGGAGGAGCAGAGGAAGCTCAAGGAGGCCAACCAGAAAGAGGAAGCCAGACGGATCGCCTTGGAAGCCAAGCAGAAGGCGGAACTTGAAGCCAGGCAAAAGGCTAAGCTAGAAGCTATACGGTTGGCTGAGATGGAGGCCAAACGTAAAGCTGAAGAAGAGCGAGAAGCTGAGCAGAAGCGGAAGGCCGCCGAGGCCAAGCGCAAGGCCGACGAGGCAAAGAAGGCCGCCGAGGAGGTCAAGAAAAAGGCCGAGGAAGTTCGTCGTCAGGCGGAAGAGGAAGTCAGGCTTAAGCAAGAGGAGGAAGCCAAGCGCAAAGCCGAGGAAAAGAAACGCCAAGCTGAAGTGAAACGACTGGCTGAGGAAAAGCGGAAGGCCGAAGCCGCTCGCCAGGCCGAAGAACAGCAGAAGGCGGAGCTCAAGCGACAAGCCGAAGTGAAACGCCTTGCCGAAAAGAAACGGAAAGCGGATGAAGCCGCTCGACAAGCTGAGGCCGAACTGCACGCCGAACTGCAACGCCAAGCAGATGAAGCCGAACGTAGAGCCCAAGAAGCTGCACAAAAAGCTAGAGCCGCTCTCCAGGCCGAACTTCAACGTAAAGCCGAGCTCAAACGTCAGGCTGAAGAGAAACGAGCCGCCGAAGCCAAACTCAAAGCGGAAGCGGAAGCCAAAGCCGCAGCAGAAGCCAAGCGCAAAGCCGACCTCGCCAAACGGCAGCAAGCGGAATAGGAATCCAAGCGCCGGGCAGAGGAAGCTAGGCAGCGCAAAGCCGCGGAAGCTAAGAAACGCGCGGCCGAGGCAAAGAAGAAGGCCGTTGAGGAAGTTGAGCGTCGTCGTCAGGCTGATCTGGAAGCTGCTGCTCGTCGAGCCAAGGAGGAGGAGCAGCGTCGGCTCAGAGAGGAGGCTGAGCGGTTGAAGAGAGAAGCTCAAGCCGTCCGCAAAGCGGAAGAGGAGGCCATTCGTAGGGCGATGGAGGAGGCGAGGGTTAGACGGGAGGAGGAGGCTAGGATTCGGCGTGAAAAGGAAGAGGCTGCGCGCTTGAAGGAGGAAGCTGGACAGGAGAAGAAGGAAGCTGAGCAGCTGAAGAAAGAAGTAGAGGAAGCTAGGGAGAGGGCCGAGAGGGAAGAGGCAATGAAGAAAGCTGCCAATGAGGTCAAACGCCGGAAGAAAGCTCAACGCAAGGCGGAGGCAGAGGCCAAGCGGAAGGCCGAAGCTGAAGCTGCTCAGGTCAAAGCTGAAGGAGAGGCAAAACTTCGACAGATGTTGGGGATTCAGCAGGTTGACAACTCCCTGACTCTTGCTGAGCAAGAGGCCACTCCCTTTCACGAACAGCAGATCTTTCTCCAAGAAGCCTGGCACCAGATCGACGAATCCCTCATTCTCTCCCAACAGGCTCATAACTCCCTTCTTCGTGCGCAGCACCACAACTCTGAGGCCTTTCGTCAACTCGGAGAAGCCGATCTTCTTCTCTCACTCTCGCAGGACGTCTTGCAGATCTGTCAAAATACCCAAGATAGTCCAAATCTGATCTTGGCCCGGCTTCGCTTCGACGAAGCCATCCTTCAAGCCCAAGAAGGCTACCGTCTCCTTCAAGAAGCATGGGACTACCACGATTCTTCAACTCGCACCGCCGAGCAAGGCCATCGTTTGCTAGTGGAAGTCAGCCACGATGGAGAATACGAACGGTCAGCCGCGCAGTACTCTTTAGTGGAGGCACGCCATCAAAATGACGAGGCATTTCGGAGGGCGGAGGAAGGTCGAAGCGTACTCGAGAAGGTGTTTGCGGAGATGGGGATTCCTCTTCACCATGATAAGAAGGAGGGCCAGCCACATGCCGATTGTGGCACCCATATTCCCGAGCAAGAACCTGACACCATCCCCATCACCGCCCCTCCCGCCACTCACCACCAGCTGTCTGACCCGGAAGCAGACGCTGATACCGAGACTGTGTCCTCCAGCTTCGAGAGCATGTCTACCACCACAAGCGGTGACCAGTCGGAAGCTCCAACCGACAACCGTCCCTACGAAGAGCGCCTAGCGGCCTTCATCAATAATCAACTCCTCACCTATGGCGTTTGGGACCCGAAGTCATTTTATGTTCGGTATGACCCGCGCAACCCAAATGGTCCGCGGGCGCATGAGATGCCAGTGATGAGTGAGAGAGAGCGCCTTGGGGATGCTGCTGGCAGCGGCGCAATGCGTGCGAAGGAGGCGTGGTGGTGAGTTTAGGTATTGTTGTCGCTGAGCGAGCCAGGGACGAGCAATGTTGGCGAGATTGTGGTGTGCCAACTTCAGGTTGCAGCTTTCATGGCGAGCATGTCGGGTTATAGATGACTTGGAGGTAATATGGTAGCGAATATCACGGCGCTCATTGTATTTAGAGAGCCGGTTATATTGATAGAGTTAGATCATGAGCAGATTTTCCAAGTTCAAAGGTTGAAGTTGAGGGCGTTCACAACACTGTAGACATTGTGAGGTGATTGCGGTGAGTGTGGCATTGCGTGAGAGATCAAAATAATGATGGTCACTAATCCAGGTGAGTGAGCGTTTATATCAGCGTTTGTAGGTTGGTTCAGTTTGCTTGGATGGTGTCGTGATTGATCCATCCCATACTGAAAAAGATAACGGGAGGTGATGAAAGGGAACAAGGGAAAGTTGGGTTGGGTCGGATGATGAGAATTGCAAGCTTGCTCACGATGCACTAAAAAATTGTTAGTACATGCCATAAAATGCACCAGCACCGAGCACCCGAAAACGAGGCACATACCCTGACCCTACAATATGTCCTAAATAATCGGGAGTCAAGAGCGATCGCAAAGGATTAGAACTTTGAAATAAGCGTCGGACGGAAGAATGTTTTCTTTTGACGGGCAGACAATGGAAAAGAAGTGAGAGCAGGAAGAATGGGGGAAATGTTTGATTGACGGCTTGTTTAGGTAGATGAAGACCAAGGAGTGGGTTCAGTTGCCAGCCCATGTCCAGATACCACCGGGGAATGGAAATTCGAGGTGGGATACACCTTCCACACCTTACAACCCGAGAAATGACTGCCTCCTGCTGTCCAAAGCCCGCCGACCAATTTTCTGATGTCTCAACCTCGTTCTTGCCCTCGTAGTTAAATGGGACGTTTCTCGGCTGAGAACCATTTCCTCATCCCTCCTGTTTCTCGTCCTGCCCCTTCTTCTCCTATCTCTACAAGAACTGAACCATGTTGACCGACACATGCTGATCCAGTTCCAGGTCAGCAAGTATCATGATCCTTCTAACCTCAGGTTAAAACTCAATAGTACCGGGAAGTTCGTTAGCTGGATACCTCGAGGGTCACTCTCTATGATCCTCGGGATGTTCTTGTAACTTGTAAAGTACCATCATGGTCCTAAACCCCTTTCTAAGACTGAATAAAATATTCCATCCGGGTAGATTCGCCTATTTCGAGGATGATCCTGTATGAAAGTCCCATAAATACAACGTATTTTTTTAGGGAATTGTTTTATGGAAAGGATCATCAATAAGGTCGTTTTACTAGAGAAGGTCTCTAGGCCAGGCGTTGGTATTTCAGTTAGGAACTTAGGTAACCATGGGTCAATGTCAAAACAAATCCATACACACTCCGTTGGAGCTTTTACAATTACTGGATCATCCTGGACATCCTTTTCTACCATATAGTCTAGGTGGCGCGCCACGTCATCAAGAGGGGGGAGGGGGGGGGGGGGGGGGCATCACGGGATAAACATCAGAACGGCAAAAGGCAAGTACTGAGAGTGTCTTTTCGTTCGTTATGCTAGTACTATCTCGCTAATGGTCAAGTCAACCAAAACTCGTTCTTGCCTGTCACACATACCGCTACACATACTGCAACAACACATCATTCGGAATAGTCAAACTGATAAAAGAATTCCAATCCCAAGCCACACCTAAAAGAACTCCAACCGGCCCAGGCCCAGCCGCGACCGCAACCCACTCCGTCTCTCTTTTGTTGATTCCGCGCGCTGCTTTTTTGTGCCGCCGTCGCTCGAAAAGAAATCGACAAGACAAGACCAAACCAAACCCTTCTGTGGTGCCAAATGTTTTCCCAACGTCTGTAGAAAGAACCCGCAACTTCGTATTGTAGTGCAGCGTGGTATATGGTAGTAGTAATAAGGGGTATTATATATCAACGTCCTTGTGTATGTGTATGTAGTCGTTCTTTTATCCTCCTTCGTTTTTCCGTCTCCTAGTGAGTCTGGAAAAGACTCTTTTCGGGACTAGGGTCCTCGTGCTTTGCCGTGCTTCCCTTCCCTCTCCACGTGCTAACAGCCTGGATGTTGGCCTTGTAAGTCTGCACCTCGGTCCCATACGCCCTCGGTGTCAGCTTTATCAGCGTGTGCAACGGCACGGGAACCCAGGGGCTTTCTTCTTGCGGTTTTTGCATAAAGTATGCATATATGCAGCGGATGACGGCCTGATGCGAGATGATGAGAATGTCCTCACTACGCTCCAGCTCCATGATGATGGGCTCCAGTCGGATCACAACATCGCGGTAGCTTTCGCCTCCGCGATACCGGTAGTTGTACTTGTCTTCGTCGCGCGCTTGGAAGTCATCTGGGTACATGTCCGCAATCTCTTGGTACGTCATGCCGTCGCACACGCCGGCGTCGAGCTCGTCCAGGGCCTTCCATTGTAGCTGGTTGTAATGTTTTGGTAGGTGGCGCGCCGTGGCAATGGTGCGCTTTAGTGTTGATGTCCATACTGTCAAAGGGCGGTCGCTCTGCGGAAGAATGTTAGACTGAGTCGTGCAACAACAAAGAGTGCGGGGCAGGGAGTAACGTACACCAACGGATTCTCTTACTAGCTCGGGGAGCTTCCGCGCGTACTCTTCACCTCTGTGCGATAGCTCGGCATCGCCACCAATACGGCCTTCGAGATTGAGCATGGACTCGCCGTGCTACAAATCGTTAGCATCCCGCCAAACTGATAGGGACAAGCGGAAATACGTACCCTTGACAGCCATACTGTTCGAGGGCGAATGTGCAAGTTCATGAGGTAGTACACAATACGACTCTGCAGGTAGTCGCGAATGCGGTTGATGATGACTTGCTTCCCCACGTTCATAATCTTGAGGAAAGTCAAATCCTCCTCGTCGCCGTCTTGGTTAAGCGATTTGTACACCTTTTCGTAGTTGCGTATGCGATTGCGGAAGTCGAGCGCCGCGGTTTCGGGATCTTGGCCCTGGTAATCGGGACTGGTGGTCTTGACGTCGCGGATGTTGGCCATAATCATGTTCTCGTCATCGCACTTGGACTCGACAAAGATGACCTCAATGTTGTTTTGGGTCATGAGATCGAGGACCCATTTGCGCCTCTCTTTTGTGCTATTGGTGGCATCGAGGATGCCGACAACTCCTCCCTTCTTGAACCACCTGAGCATGTCGGCTACCGCAGCCTCGGCAGCAGCGCGACGCTTGCGCTCTCCCTCCGGGTTGTTGGGTTCGAAGAAGTCGGCGGACGGTTGGGGGGCATCTGTGCGTCTGTAGTTGCCGACATTGAATGTAGCGGCGGGGATCGAGAGCCAGGCAAGATAGCGTTGCGCTGGGAGAGGGACTGGAGTTAGCAACTGGACCCTATGGAACAAGAAAGCAAGCTGGATGATATGGCATAGTACCTTTCTGTGCGATGTAGCTCTTTCCACGGGCCGGGAGACCCACCATCACCACGCAGATGCGGGTGTTCTCAACTTGCACACCAATGCCGTTTGTCCTAGGGGCCATGGTTGCCGATGTGCTTGTGTACTGGGAAAAAGGTCGAGGTCAGGGAAGGGCAGGAAACGCTGCGAGTACATGTAGCCACCGAATTGGGCGCGCAGTCGTCGAGTTCTTGTAGTCCTGATCAAGTGTCGTTGACAAGTACGGTGAAGTAGTTGATCGCGTGAGGCAAGTCGAGTTGGGGTAGTGCCAGTGTCCGGGGACTTCTTGGCTGACAACAAGGGCAGTTGGTAGGCCGGTTTTGCGCAAAGGCTTTCCAGGTACCTGTTCGTCGACGTAGCAGGGCGTTGCCGGTGGAAACGTGGGGATGGCAAGTCTGGACGTCGTTGGCGGATGCGATGGCAGCGGCGGCGAGACTAGAACCGAACGGGGATCGGGGACGATCTCTGGCGAGCAACAGCAATGGCAGCGGCGAAAAATGCTGTGGAAGGAGAAGAATGAAGACGAAGAAGAAGATGGGAGGGAAGAAGAAGTAGTAGTAAAGGGGAAGAAAAGTAAGTAATAGGTGAAGAGGAGAAGTGAAGGATGTTGAAGAATGGAAACGGGAATATGACAGTAGGTAGGTATTGATCGATAAGGATAAGGTAATGGTAACGGATGGATGGATGTACCTGTTTAGCAAGAGCTGCCCTGCGCCATGGCCGGTTCCTGTTGCCGCAGTACGTACCAGTCCATGTACATACTACGGTACTACGAAATCCAAACTCTCATCCTCTTTGAGGATCCACAAGCACAGCTGAACACCTTCCCTTTGGTTGTTGTAATTACTAACTATGGAAGTCCAAAATAGAAACAGTCACCCCCAAAAGATTCTTGAACTTTTTTTTTTTTAAACACGATACCGGGCACGAGGACATGGCCTTTGGGCACCTTGTCCCTGGCGGTTCCGTCACCATCGGAATTCTCAGGGAAGACGGGAATTGCGGTGGAATTACCTGGCCTGAAGCGGGCAAGCATGGGATGCTAGTGGGTGCAAATGGGCTGCATTGGTAGGGCAGGCAAGGCACAGGGCACAGGGAAGCCAGCGGGAGTCCACCGAGACACCCACTGGAAGCCCACCCGCTGGAATGGGTCAACCCGGGTTAGTTGCCTCTGCCCTGTAGTGTACCTTTTTTTTTCCTTTCTTCGTGGCGGTTCGGCCGTTACGTACAAAACCGTCAGAGTGTAACATTCCATCATTCACGATCCAACTCTTCACCACCTATGACTCCCGTCTGCTCTCAACACATGACAATCCTTTTACGTTTTGGATTGATCACAAACAGCAGACAACCCCCCAAGATGGCATCATTTGGCTAAACATCGGAAGGAAGACTTGACTCTGAAGCGAAGGAAAAATAGAAAGATGGAAAGACTCACAGCCCAATTCACGCCAAGCATCACCGGGCCAAGGCCAGGGCCAAAAAGGTTCCAGCCTTCTACCTACGTACCTAGACACTGCAGTGTTCCAAGTTCCAGTCAGCAACCACCAGTCTCACCAGTCCCGTCGTTTCAACTCCCGACGGGACCCCACCCTTGACGAGATGGAGAGAGACGGGACTCACAAAGAACCTTGCCAAGACTGGAGATGGCTGCTTCTCCATGTCATGGCTGTTTTCCGTCTGCGATACAGCTCACGCAAGGCAGGCGACAACCGCTCGGTTCGGTGTTTGACACTTTGGACGACGAACCGTGAGCTGGTGTTCTAGCAGAAGTAGTCCCGCCTGACCATCTGATGACTGTGTAACTTGCCCCTCCATTCGCTATTGAACTGTGCGTTAAAACTCCAGGTCCGGGTTGCCAATAAGAAAAAAAGTCCGAATACATACATCTTTCAGCTTTCCGTCTGGAGCATGCCAAAATAGGTAGGAAATCGTAAACATCAAATCTGTAGTACACGTGAACGAAAAGTTGAGAAGCTCTGCAGGTTCCACCGACAGACCGCCATGTTGAACCCTTCCCTTCTCTCCTCGGGAGAAAGCAAACCGCGATCACAGGGACCATGGTGGGGGTTCAGGGCGGTATGCTAAAAGAAAGTCCTTCCCTAGCTTTATACAGTTAGACGGCAGCGCTTAGCGCGTTAATGCGAGACTTGAAAGTAGAGCTCGGCAACACCGATCTCGGGGTCTCTTCCCGCTCGCCCGTTGACGTGCGGCTTAGTTATCACGGTCTGCACGGCAACAACGACAACGACCCCAAACGGCAGAAGCGCACATGCACTGATGTACCGTAGGATCATCTCATCCCAGGCATCTTTCCCAACAACTCACTGAACATGAGGTGGTGGTGGCCAAAGAAGCAATATGAATGTTCGGGATCATCAATCAATTAACTGGGAAAGAAAAAAATTACAGTTTTTGGGCGAGAAATTCCCAGCCCAGTCATTGAACTCGGAACACCCGAAAAGCAATCATGACGTGCATTTGCCCCTCAAGCGGAGGCCGCGGAGTTTGGTGTAACGCTACTGTACGTGTAATGACAGCGACAGAAATTCGTGGGGGAAACCATATCAAACCTTCAAGACTGGAGGTGAAGACCATATAAGAGACAACTGAATAACATCGACTTATCATTGCGTCTACTTTCATCTTCCACCTGTTCTACTTGCCTTTGTTTGCCCACTTGTGCTTCTGCAGGAACCTGTCCTGTCCGTTGTGCACAGTCGAGTTCCATGGGAAAGGTAAAAGGTTGAAAAAGAGAAAAATGTGGGGTACACGAACACGGCCGGATCGAACCATGTAACGAAACACTGCCAGGAACCATCGATCGCATCGAAAAGAAGCCGACTTAAGAAGAAGACATCCCGCTATCAGCTGAGAATACAAGCGGGAGTGAAGCCATTACGGTTCTCAAGCATCGATTTCGCCCGAAATATGAGCGGGGGCAGGCAGGCAGGCAGGCAGGCAGGCAGGCAGGTTAGGAAAGAGGTGCCCGCCTGAAGATTAATTCTCCGACATAAGCAGCATTCAACCCCGCGGAAAGGTGAAAGATGGCGGTGCAGTTCCTCCTGCCTGCACTTCTGAAACTTTGAACCCCCAAGTGTTCAGTTCACATGACTCTCTCTCCCTCAAATAGGCGGGAACGATGACACGGTCATATGACCGAAACCCCGAATTCGCCAAATTCTTTTTTGTCGACGGACCCTGAAGAGTGTTTTTGGGATTTCATTTCTTTTTTGGGAAGGCATCAGGGCGGTGTAAAAGAAATGCTGTGCGCTGAATCCACCCAGCTGTCAGGGGGAAATAGTCTGGTGGAGACAACATCCCGCGCCCAGTTCATTCATTCCCAAACGAGAATTACACGTACGCGTGGACGACTTGTACACGCAAGAGCCCAGACCAAAGACGAATCAATACCAGAAATGACGACAGCATGGAAACAAGTTCACGAAGAGAATTTGAGCTGAGATGTTCAGTTGTCTGTCAGTTCTGTTAATTGAGGGCTTGGATTCAGTTTCAACAGGACTAATCACCTTCAACGTGTAAACTGAATCGCAACAGGAAGTACCTACCTCTACTTAACAATAAGGGACCCGTTACCCTTTCCCTACTTACCTACCTTACGTACTTAACCAAATCTCCCGTCTTCGTTTCTTACTGCTCCTCTTCCGCCGTCGGTTCATTGGAAAACACACATGTGCTCATAATGTTTTCCACTTCTTATTTGAGGCTGAATCAATCAGGCAACGAGCCTTCAAAGTGGAGATATCACGAAAAGTAAAAACGCTGCCCTACCCGCGCAGGCCCCGGCTATTGTAGGTATGTTTGGATTGTTGATACGAAGTCGATCAACACGATTATGTTCTTGTCTGGAGATTGTCCCCATCTGCTCCAACTGAAACAAATTTTCAGCAACATGCCGCGGGTACCTGGAATGACGGACCCCTATTTTTTTTCCTCGGGTCAAGTGACGCCTAGCAATTTACACCTTCCCAAGCCAAGGGGGGTGGGTGATCTTCCAACCGACGAACCGACGAACCGACGACGTCCGTTCGGGTTCGGATCGTTCCTTTAACCCTGGGCATGCCAAGCTTAGTTCGACGCCAAGCCGGTTAACTATTCGGGTGTGCCAGGACTACTTGTACAAAATCATGGGGGAAGCTTACCTACCTAGGTGCTTACAGGGCTGGCTGACAACACAACAGTGGCGAGAAAGAAAGAATGGATGGTTCTTTTCTTGTTGGTTGTTCACTTCTGGCCTAACTATCCAGTAGGAGTACCATGCAATTGTTTCCAGGTTCATGCTGTGAAAGCTTACGGGTTTAGTTAGTGTTTGTGTAGTGTATTATCTACCTACGTACACTACTAGGAGATGCTCGTATGACCAGGCAAGATCGACCAAGTATTGATGTTAGGTGTTGATGAGTTCCATCGAACGAAACCCTTTACAGACGAAAAGTCTTATGGTCTACCTATCGGTTGTTATGGCATACAAGGAACGATCCAACGGTATCTCCCGTTACTTCTTCCATCCATGTCCTCTGCTCCCACAGTCCAGCCCTACAAGCAAGGCTCATAGTGTACGTAGCTCGAGACCCCATGCCTTGTTTACTAGCCAAAGTCAATCGCAAGGGGCAAGCGGGAGCTAGTCTGGTCAATTCGAAGCCAAATTACCAGCCCGATCGGCTTGAGCCGTGTCTACGCCTCCTGGGGCACCACTTGGCAGCAGAAAGACGGGGAAGTGAGATACAGCGTGCATCGAGATTTGACATAAACGTGGTTTCGATTCAAGAACCGGAAGTTCTTGTCCGAGTTTATGTTATGAAATGCCTTCTGGATTGTTTCCGTGGTGTCTGCCCGTGGTGTTGAGCGAGTGTTGAAGAATAAGGCCATGGGACCAGATTATATGATGGAAATCAACTTCCGTGCTGATACCTCCTATTGGAACCATTCTCGGCTTTAGGCCATGGAATGATGCGACCCAAGGCAGCAGTGAGCCAAAGACCGAACCAAACTTGTGACTCGGCCAACTCCATGAAAAATGATCATGTTTTTATGTAATGAAGGTGTTGTTACTTCCGACGTGACCAAGATAGCATCCCGTCAGCCTTGAGAATATGAAGGAATTGGGAGGGGTTCATGAAACTTCACTCAGCCAATGTAATGATGCGAAGATATTTATCTGCCATGTATACTGTCATGTATCGACCCAGGAGCCTGTCGGCGAGTGACACTTCCAACCCAGGGACCTGGATTCGAAGCTGGCTGGTACGTTCCAATCTCGCGCCCTGTGTCCCACAGCCTGGAATTTTTTACGGATGACCCGAATCATTTATTGTTGATCAAGGCAACCCGTAGTCTGACTTTGGACTTTTGTCAATACCTTCGAAGTCGTCCACTGGACAGGAACTGCAAAGTCCACCAGGCCATTGACTGGTCTGTTTCAATCCACTAAACCTTTGTAATGAAACTGTAACATAAGAAGAACACTGCAATGCCAGGATCTTAGAGGTACTGTACAGCGTTTGCATGTCCGCAGTGTAGAGCAATGCCATCATGGATGACATTCAGAGCCTCATTCCGGGAGAGGGACTTCAAATTCGAAAGACTGAGAAAGTGTGGTTATACTGAGTTATATCGTAGTTACGACAGGTGGACTGATCACGAGAGAGGTGGAAAGCGTTAAGATGTTGAAAGAATCCGAAAAAGGGAACAGCATGATCTAGATTTGAAAATAAGAGGAAATGAAGTTCTCGACGCTCACAAGCAATTGGGTTCTGGGGTTCGGCTGATCTGCAGTCAAAAGTGGAGCCGGCAATGGGACGGCTGTAGCGCACAGACCAGGTTTTCACCAGGAGAAGAGGGCAGAATTGGCAAAATTTTCACCGCCTGGTGTAATCCCTGGTTATCGAACAAGCGATAAGAAAAAAATCCCCAGCGAAAGAGAAGGCAGAGGAAGGATAACAGATTCGACTCGCTGGGAATTTGAACGGAACCATTGCGACGCCCTTTTCCCAGAGTATCGCAACCACCCACCGACAGCACCACCCCCCCACGCCATCACGATGGCTTCCGAACTCAGCAAGAAGCGCAAGCTCAAGGACGCCAAGATTGCGACCGAAGATGGTGCCGCCACCGACAAGAAGACCAAGAAGGTGAAGAAGGACAAGAAGGAGAAGAAGGCCGCCGAAGAGGTCGTCGAGGACACCACCCCCGAGGAGGAGAACGATGCCCAAAAGGCGGAGGAACAACAAGATGGCGACGAGGTCATCCCCACCGGCAACGAGGACAAGGAGGACAGCGACGACAAGGACGCTGAGGCCGGCGACGAACTTACAAAGACCAACGACTCCCTCATCGCCCCGTCCATCGCGACCAATGCCACCGACTTCTCCGAGCTCAACCTGTCCGACAAGACCATGAAGGCCATTGCTGAGATGGGCTTCACCAAGATGACCGAGATCCAGAGGAGAGGTATCCCGCCTCTGCTCGCCGGCAAGGACGTCCTCGGTGCGGCCAAGACCGGTTCCGGCAAGACCCTCGCTTTCCTCATTCCCGCCATCGAGATGCTCAGCTCCCTGCGCTTCAAGCCGAGAAACGGTACCGGCGCCATCGTTGTTACGCCTACCCGCGAATTGGCCCTCCAGATCTTCGGCGTCGCCCGCGAGCTCATGAAGAACCACTCCCAAACATACGGCGTCGTCATTGGTGGTGCCAACCGTCGTGCTGAGGCCGAGAAGCTGGGCAAGGGCGTCAACCTGCTCATTGCTACCCCCGGTCGTCTGCTCGATCACCTGCAAAACACTCCCTTTGTGTTCAAGAACATGCGATCGCTCATCATCGACGAGGCCGACCGTATTCTCGAGATTGGTTTCGAGGACGAAATGCGCCAGATTATCAAGATTCTGCCCAAGGAGGACCGTCAGACCATGCTCTTCTCCGCCACACAAACCACCAAGGTCGAGGATCTCGCCCGTATCTCGCTCCGTCCCGGTCCTCTTTACGTCAACGTCGATGAGGAGAAGCAGTTCAGCACGGTCGAGGGTCTGGACCAAGGCTACGTTGTTGTCGACGCCGACAAGCGCTTCCTGCTCCTCTTCTCTTTCCTCAAGAAGATGCAGAAGAAGAAGGTCATTGTCTTCTTCTCGTCCTGCAACTCGGTCAAGTACTACTCCGAACTGCTCCAGTACATCGATCTCCAGGTTCTCGATCTCCACGGCAAGCAGAAGCAGCAGAAGCGCACAAACACCTTTTTCGAATTCTGCAACGCCAAGCAGGGCACCCTCATCTGCACGGACGTTGCCGCTCGTGGTCTCGATATCCCGGCCGTTGACTGGATCGTCCAGTTCGATCCTCCTGATGACCCGCGCGACTACATTCACCGCGTCGGTCGTACCGCCCGTGGTAACAACACCAAGGGCCGTTCGCTGCTCTTCCTCCAGCCCAACGAGTTGGGTTTCCTCGCCCATCTCAAGGCCGCCAAGGTCCCCGTGGTGGAATACGACTTCCCCAAGAGCAAGATTCTCAACGTTCAGTCCCAGCTGGAGAAGCTGATCGGCCAGAACTACTACCTTAACCAGAGTGCCAAGGATGGTTACAGGTCGTATCTCCACGCCTACGCTTCGCACAGTTTGCGGTCGGTGTTTGATATCCATAAGCTTGACTTGGTCAAGGTGGCCAAGGTATGTTTTCTCTTCTCTTCCTTTCTTTCTCCATAGCAGAACAGTCACTAACAAACCAAAAACAGTCCTTCGGCTTCTCCACTCCTCCCAGGGTAGACATCACCCTGGCCTCCAGCATGTCGCGTGACAAGAAGCAGACGAGCAGGAGAGCGTATGGTAGCCAACCGAAGCAGAACCGCCACTAAGCGAGGCGGGATTCGGTGTTCGTCTTGTTGTTGTTGTTGTTGGTTAGAATACGAAAAGGGGATGATTTGTCAATGTTCTCTCTTAGATATCCATCGGGCATTCGGTGTGGAGCATAGTGGTGTTTTCTTTTGTGTTGCTCACTTGCTGTTGTTTCTTGTTGTTGTTTGCGCAAGCTTCCAAGGCGTTTTTGGTTGAAAAGTAAAACTGGGGGGCTTCAAATCAACAATTAATTCTTACTTTACGTTGCTTTCCGTTGGTGTGATGTTTTCCACGCTGTGCCGTTAAGGTTAACCTTGGGCGTCTTTCCATCCGAGGATACAGAGTAGTTTCTTGCTGACAGTTTCCATTTGATGAACGATAGAGAAAATACCTTGAACTGGCAACAGCATATCCATTTTACTACAAACTGGAAACATCATTACGTTGACATAGCAGACGGAAAGCATGGAGGTCCTGAGTGTCACACTCAATCAAGGTTCCTTTGTAGGGATACAAAGTCAATAAGTACCCAGATCAGCTAGATATCGGTACCAACTCAACACTAACCTCCAACAACAAAGCCTGAGACAACCAACTGATGACAGTCTACTATTTCGAACGACCTACATCAGGACCTATTCTATCTGCAGCCCCAATCGACCCCCGAACCTGAACTACATAAGAGACGGAAACTCCCCGAAACGAACCAACCCAACAACTTTAACAATTTCACCTCGTCCCCAATTCCCCCCCTTTCCTTTCCCCTCCCTTCCCTTCACCTCCCATCACTTCCCTTCCCCTCCCTCATATCCCCCCGTTGACAAACAAACTCAATAAAACTCCCTCCCCAAAAACCTCATCTTCCCCCTCCCCACATCGAAAACCGTCAACGCATTCTGCATAAACACATCCCCCAAGATATACGGCCCCGCGCCCCCGTCCGCAATGGCCGTCATGCACAGCCCCGTCAACGGATCGACCATGTCCTGATTGATCAAGTCGACAGGATTCAAGTAAAACGTCTTCCCGCCCAAGATCACACCCACGCGCGGCACGATGGCGTCGCAGGAGGTGAAGTAGGCGCCGTACATCCAGAGGTAGATGGCGGGGGGGTTGAATGCCGTGTTGATTTGTTGGGCTTCGGCTGTACGAAAAGGGGGGGGGCGGGGGTTAGTATTGGATGGAAGAGGAGGGACAAGAGGAAGGGGGAAAAGGGGGGGGGGGGAAGAAAAGGAGGAAGAGGTGGGGGGGGGAGGGAGAAAAGAGGAGAAAAGGAGAGAAAAGGAGGTTAAAAGGGGGAAAAAGGAGATTAAGAGGGGGAGAGGGGGGAAAGGAGGTTAAAAGAGACATACCAGACGGGAGGTAGCAGAGGGTCGTTCCGCTGTCGACGATATAAGGGAATTTTCTCGTGTTGGTGTTGGGGCCGAATTGCCACCCGTCCGGAATGACGGTGTAGAAGGAGTAGTCGTAGGCGGTCTCGGGGACGTCGATTAGGTTTGTCTGTTTTGATCCTTGGTCAGTTATCATCACAGCCTCTTTCCCCAAAGTTCTTCTCTTCTTTATCTCTGTTCTGGGGCCAGTCACTGCCAGGACAGGGATAATAAAAACTCACAATAATCATATCCAACTCCACATCCTTCCCCTTCTCCAGCCCCGTAGCAGGCGGCAACCCACCCCAAGCCAACAACCCCGAGCTAGCATTCCGATCAATCGTGATACTAAACAGCGGCGGTACCGACCCCTGGTTGACCATACTCGTGAACAACGGCGGGTAGTAAAGCTGGTTGTAGGATTCATGCCCATCACCACCGCCTAGTCCACTTCCACTTCCATCACCTCCTTCTCCCCCCCTCTCCTCCCCTCTCCCCCCCTCACCACTCCCAGACCCAGACCCAGACCCAGACCCGGTGGGCATCCCCCCTAAATACGCATTCGTCAAACTCGGAAACGCCAACCCCATCAACCCACTCGTCAAATTATTCCCAAACCAAAACGTCCTTTCCGCCAACGCCACCTGCTGTTTCCTCACAGTGATGTTCCCGACCGTGATATCCGCAAAGCCCATCGGACCCGTGACGATCTCCCCGTCGCCGTACTGAATGAACATGTGCGTCTGCGGGTCCGTAGGGCCATATGGGTTCCAGAGGTCTGGTTCTTCTGCCTTTGCCGGCCCCGACGGCGAAGAAGGAGAAGAAGAAGAATTGGTGGCATTGCTACCAGGGATGATAGGAATAGGAACAGGAGAAGTGTGTGTAGGGGGAGGAGGTAAACTGTAAGCGGGACCGAACCCGCACGTCTTTTGCGGGACGTCGTTCCCAAGGTAATCGAGACAGGAAAAGTTGTGGGTGATGGCCCACGTGTCGGAGGAGCCCGTGTCGAGAAGCAGTAAGAGGGGGACGGAGTTCCAGTGTACTTCGGCGGCGTATTGGGTGCCGTAGGCGGTGGTGACTGTGACGTTTTCGTAGCCGTAGGCGGAGCCTTCTTCTCCCTCGTCGTCGCCGCCGCTACCGCCGCCACCGCCGCCACCATGGCTACCGTGGGTGTGGACGGAGTTTTGGCGCAGACGGCGTTGGTGTTGGCCGAGGATGGAGGCGGCGGAGCGGCGGTTCACGGCGCGGGGGGTGGTGCCGCTGCTGGAGCCGCCGATGGAGTGGGAGACGCCTTGGAGGGTTTGGAAGGAATGGGCGACTTCGAGCTTGCGGGTGTTGGGATGCGATCCGAGGACGGCCTTGGGGACGGTGTATTTGATACCGGCCAACTTGGGGGCCGAGTCTTGAAGGTAGCGTTCGGTGGGAGTGAGGTTTATGGAGGCGGCACCAACGAGGATGGTGGAGGTTAGGAGGAGGCTGTAGAGGCCGTAGGCCATGGTGCCTAGGGTGGGTAACATGCTGCCGGTTTTTTCCCTTCGACTGTTTCCAGAGACAAAGAGAGGCCGGATAGATGGGAAAAGAATGAAGAAACTGGACTTGGAATAGAGGGGGAAAAGGAGGGACTGTGCCAGTTGCGTTTGGAAAAGAGAGGGAGAGAAGAAAAAAACAAGTGGATGTTGTCCCGGGGCGACCACAAAGATAAGGAGCAGGTCCCGAATGCTACTTCTGGGAAAGAAGAAGGATACGACCGGCCGGTGATAGGTTTGACGTCTGCAGTGCTGCTCTGCCCAGTAGTGTCCAGTCCTTGGCCCTCGGTGGTGCAACTGTGAACAAGCGGAACAGGACGTTGAGAAGCAAGGTGCCGTGAGTTTGAGTAGGTCAGTCAGTCAGCCTGCCAAATGAAGGGCTGTGTGACTGCAACACTCGGCGGAGCTGACGGGTAAACAAACAGATGTTTGTGTGTGTTCCTGGGAGAGGTGGCGACGACGAGGGTAGGAATAAGTAATGGGTGCTAATTACAGATCAATTTCGAGCTAGAAACATGGCGGACGTTTGGTGGACGGAGATATCTGAGCTCAAGCCACAAGTCACGACGATAGGTAATGCCGGTGCTGTTATGTTCTTGAGTGTTTGGAAGAGGAAGAAGAAGGCTGAGCCGCAAGCGTTAGTCTGTCTTGCTTAGAAACATGCTGGTATCCTAGGGAAAACTGAGAAGGGACAGCTTTAGTGTGGCCTGGCACAAAATCCTTCTGTCTCGGATGTCAGAAAGCACTGCAACACCGTGTTTTCGAGACCTTGCTCGGTTAGATGTTTGCGAGGAAAGCGGCATCCGCAGCCGGGATTCGTAGATCCTCGAAGGCGATGAACAGTGCTGTATTCCCAGATTTATCAATGATTTCCATATTGAAGGATCAAAGAATTGGGTTTGTATGGGTGGTCGCACCGAATCAAATACGAAGCTCAGCAACCTGACAGAAATCACCGAGAGGTCATATCTGCTTCTCTTGTTATTTTCATTGCCTGTCTCGGCATGTTGGAACCCCAGATAAACAGACAGTCAGTCGCGAGTGTTGTCTTGTCGCCACAAACACGGGCATGAAACGTTTCCCTCTGATGGTACACCGAGATACGGACCACGACGATTTTGGTCGTCAGTCCGCTTCGTCAGTTGCGTGAGCACCTGACAGTGTATTTTGGGTCTTGGCAGGAAGAAACATGACAATGCACAGTACCTTTCTGTCCACATAAAGTTCGTTTGCCCCTCACTCAGATCTCTCAGATCTCGCCCAGGAAGATGTGAAAGCGAACAATGAAGTCATTGTCCACTGGGACGTTGTGCTTGGCAATGGTCAAGTCGGCATGGATGAAGGGCCCTGACGTGGGTACCTGCATACGGTGGTTCGACGAAACGGCCGCAATAACTGTTGAAGGGGGAGGTTGTGCGTGGTCAGCGAGGAGTCGGATTCGAGAGATGGGCAGTTTCCTCCGCTTCCGCTGTCAAACACGGCAGTTTTTTGACAGATGCAAATGTGGTGGCGTAACTGGCTATGAAGAGCAGCCGCCTGATATATCAAGCCGAAGCCCATTCTGCGATGATCCTGGAGCTGTGTAGTTGTCTCGTCGCCGTGGTTGATTTGGAAAGCTTCTAGGACCAGCTTTCAGTCAGGGCCAATTTCCCCATGTTGTTCACGGTGTCTCATGTAAATGCCCTGGCCTTTCCACAGTGGCCAGCCGTGATGATGACTGGAACTTGACACAGGTAGATTGTGATACGGTCGAGAGGTGAGCAGGGTGAGACAGACAAGGAACCTTGTCGTCTGCTTGATCTTGCATCCGGATGCATAGGGTTACATGTAGATGAGTGTTTCCCACTTGGTGACTCTTGTGCGATGTCGCAATTCCCCATCTGCCGTTTGGGTGCTCTGGCTTCTCCTGTTCTGGTAATGAGGTGAGTCTTGAGAGATGATGGTTTGTGAATACCTTTTTGCAGAAAGAACCGAAAGAGTTTTCATGGCTCGCGTGAGTGTAGGAATCTTTCGTTCAGTAGGATCGGCGTCTGAGTTTGATCAGGATTTAAGCCAAAAGGATGTTCGTGGAAGCGTAGGAGCATGTAGCCTTCCATAGCCGTGTATCGTCGGCCTCAGTAGTAAAATAATGAAGGCTGCTCCCAGAGAGCTACTGGAGGGCCGTTTGTGCCAAGCATATTCTCGAGGTGTCCAAGGGTATTCCATTTTGCGTGGCCGAGGCAAGGGATCCAATGTCGTTCACTGGCAGTTGTCCCAGGCTGGAGCGGCGTCGGTCTACGGGAATGGATAGATAAGCAACGTTTGGGGAAGATTGAAACAGATAATCCAGAAAACTAGTTCCAGATTGTTGAAGTCAGATTGGAGCCATTGTGCGCGAGTGTCGAAAGTGCCAGAGATGATGACGTTGAGAGTTGGGGGCATCACGTGAAGAGACATGCTCCCTTGGTGTACATTGCAGTTTGATGCAGGTACAGACAGCTATGCACCTGGCCGCCAGGTGGAGATGTTTTCCGGCCGGCAATTGCTGCTTTGTCTTCCCGTCTGTAGCGGGCAGGCACCAAGATTAGAGGGTCAAAGCTCAGAGGGTCTTGGCTTTGTCATTCTGCAAGCGACACGGGAACTTCCACTTGTTGAAGAGAACAGCCGACTCACTGCAGTGAACTCTCTTTCGACCCCTTTCAACTTCCACCCAACAACTTCCAATTTGTCACCATAAATCACTCATCTTCTCAACAACCATCAAATTCCTCCCTTTTCTCTGCCATCCTCAACGAACGTGTTCGCGCGCGAGCTATAACTGCTGTCGTGTGGAATTACCTATTGAATCAACCTGATAAAACGCGCGACCTCTTCTGTTCGAGCCACTCACTGGTGATCTGCTCTGCTCTGATCTGTGACCGTTCAGTTGTTTGACTGTCAGACTTCATTTCAGGTTCAAGTTGGGCTGCGTGCTCAGCTCCGGCCACGCTCGTCAAAGGCCTTCTTCCTCTACTCCCGTCTACAACATACCTACTCTCTTCCATCCCGCCCTGCGGACGTGATACGTACGGTGATCGCTCTGACTGCACTGCATCGTTGTATCGAACTGTTGATTGAACCTAGTGCGCTCTTGAACAGTTCCGTTGTCGTCTCTTGATTCTTGATCGCCTTGGGTCAATCGGTAGAGGTATTCCAGTTTGTCATCGTCATTGCCCGCCAACACTGTCTGCCTGCCTGCCGGGCCGTCTTGAGGAACATTGCAACTGAACAGTCCACTGAAGCCTTCAGGTACAAGGCCCCTGGTCCGACCCTGAAAACTGCCATATCCTCAGCTAAGCACATCTGCCCTAGGCGGTCTGCCAAGCCGGTCTCTCCGCCTGCCGCTTACACCCACCAGAGGTACCTGTTTTTCACAAAAAGGCCCCGCTATTATTTTTTCGCAATCCTCTCTCCAATCCAGAGACTCCGACCGACTTCGCCTTTTGAAAATCCGGTCCAAATTTGTCAGGCGGCTGCTCTCTCTCCCCGTCGCATCTTCTCTCCCCGCCGCCCTCATCCTTCAGAGTCCAACATCCATTCAACAATCCTTTCCGCTGGTCGCTTGATATTGTTTGTTGCGCGCTTGTTTTTTCCCGTCCAGCAGCATTTTCACCGCTTGTCTGGATCTGCCTTATCACCAACATCACCACCCAGTATCACCAAGCACATCGCCGCAAGTCACAGCCAAATCGCAACCACAATGGCGGCCCCTCAGCAACCCGATATCAATTCGATATTGCAGCTTCTAAGTATGTCTCCTCTCTCTCTGTTCCTTGAATAGCTTTCTCGCCGCGCCCGCGATTCACAGTGTTCTGACCGTATTCTCAGATGCCACTCAGCGTCCTGCTTCTTCGACCCCTACCCAGAGCCAACCTGGCCTCCCAGCTCCGGCCCAGCCTCCTATGCCGCCGGCTGCCTACGCCCATCCTCCCCAGCAACCTCCCGCCTACCCTCCTCAACAGCCGCCATACCAGCAGGCTCCCGGATACTACCCTCCGCCCGCCGCGAGCGGAGGCATCGACCTGAGCGCGGTGCGCCCCGTGAACTCTGGCACCGTTGACATCCAGGATGCCGTAGCCAAGGCCAGGGCTATGGCCGCTGAGAACGGTCTCGTCCCCTACGAACAATCCTCTAGACCCTACCCTCCTCACGACTCGCGCCCCCACGATTCCCGGGCTCCCGACAACCGCCCCTACCAGCGCGCCCGCTCCAGGAGCCCCCGCGGCCGCGAATCCTACCGCGACAACGTCAACCCTTACCGCGACGAGAGAAGAGGCGGCGATCACGGCCACCACGGTGGTCAGTCGCGTGACTATGGACGTGAACGCTCCTTCTCTCCTGGCCGCGGACGCCAAGGCTTTTCGCCCCGTGGAGGCCATGGTGGTGGTCGCGATCGCTCACCGCTTAGGGGCAAGGAGGGAGACACCGAGACCATTCAGATTGAATCTAGCCTGGTTGGCCTCATCATCGGCCGTCAGGGCGAGAACCTTCGTCGCGTCGAAGGCGAGAGTCGCTGCAGGGTTCAGTTCGTGCCCCCGTCGAGCCCCACCGAACAGTACCGTCCGTGCAAGATTACCGGTCCCCGTGCGCAGCGTGAGGAGGCCAAAGAGATGATCAACCGCATCATTCGCGACAGTGGAATGAGGGGAAGCGCCCCGGCTGACAGGCCTGCGCCCCGCGACTCCGGCCGTGGTGGCTCTGCCGCCCCGCCTCCTCTCAAAGAGGGTGAGGACAGTCTTCAGATTATGGTCCCTGACAGGACTGTCGGTCTTATCATTGGTCGCGGTGGAGAGACCATTCGCGACTTGCAGGAGCGCAGCGGCTGCCACATCAACATCGTCGGAGAGAACAAGAGCGTCAACGGTCTTCGTCCAGTGAACCTTATTGGTACCCCCGCCGCAGCCAAGACTGCTAAGGAGTTGATTCTGGAAATTGTCGACAGCGATAGCCGCAACGCTAGCAACCCTGGTGGCAACCGTCCTCCCCGTGGCGACAACATGGGTGGTGGCGGCGGTGGTGGATACGACAAGCAGAACGATTCCATCTTCGTCCCTTCTGAGGCCGTTGGTATGATCATTGGCAAGGGCGGTGAGACAATCCGCGAGATGCAGAACACCACGGGCTGCAAGATCAACGTTTCCCAGTCGTCTGGTGCTGGTGAGACTGAGCGTGAAATTGGCTTGGTCGGCACCCGCGAAGCTATTAACCGTGCTAAGCGTGCCATCGAAGACAAGGTCGACGCGGCTGTACGTATAATCCCCCTTTGTTCACTTGCGACGACTTACTAACACGGACAACAGAAGCAAAAGAGCTCGGGCGGTGCCCCTCCTCGTCGCGGCCAGCATCGCGATTATGATAACCCCAACTATGGTCAGCCTTCTAACAACAACAGTGTTCCCCAGCAAAGCTTGCCCGCAGGTAACGCCGCGGCTCCTGCTGGAGCCGGTGCGCAAGGTGATCCCTATGCCATGTGTATGTGCCCCCCTCATGCTTCCTTGATATTCCCAGGACACGCACTAACTCTGAACAGACGGTGGTTATGACAACTATGTTGCTTTGTGGTGGCAGTCCCAGCTTGCCGCTGCTCAAGGTCAAGGTGCTGCCGGCCAGGCCCCTGGCACGTCGTAAACTTCGCCATGTTGATGCCGGACTTATGATGCGCATGCCATGCCATGATTCTCGCCCATGTCTCTCTTGGCACGTTTTGACATTGCCGCTACTGCTGCTTGCTGCTGCTTGTCTCGTTGACCATGCTGCACGTTGATGTCTCGATCATGACGACCATCATATTTCATGCTATAGGGCATGGACAAGTGAGAGCGCTTACCATTTTTTTTTCGGCATCTCAGCGTATAACTGGAAGAAGACGAACTCCAGTTGTGTTCAATGATTGTACGATTACGACTTTATCTCGGGTGGCCGACTTTTCCAGGCACATTTCACGACATTGATGGCTCTCTTATAAGCGCGTGGCAACCGCTTAGGCCCGGTTCATACCGATGATATTTATCATGGGCCTTTCTCTTCATGGCCGGGTTGCTCCATATATCTGCGATCTAGCATGCACCTCTGTCTGATGCACAAAGCTGGCTACCTGCTGAAGAACCCCATCCCAAGCGATCGAATGCAGATGTGTCCTGCAGTGGTTGGCTCACTGCAAGACCATCAGTCCAAATGGTTGGGTAACCTCTTGATGCGATCTACCAATAGGCTTGACTGTTGCATCCACACTCGCCGCCAAGCTGCTTGATATGAGACCCGGAGCAAAGAACGGACTGCAGACTTTTGTTGTCCTTGGATACAAGGAGATCTCATTGGGATTTTTGCATGACTGCTATGAGCCCTGCCGTCCATGTCTTTGTGATCATGATGAGAATCATGCTTATGGAGAGGATCTACCCACCGGATGCACATGGTCTGAGGTAGACAACCCAAGCCATCAACGACATGTCACATGTCGTCGTTTTTTCTTCTATCTCTTTCTTCTCTTCGAGCTTTTTTTGTGCCTCATTTGCATACGTTTCACATGAGAACTAAAACCTCTATCACTTTTGCACTGAGGAGCAAAATCATGGATGATCTCCAGTTTGGCTTTGGATCAGCGGAGTGGATGCTTACCAAAAAAATAAGGGTGGTGGTGGTGGTCATTGACAAATGGATGGATGGGTGGATGGAGGGACAAATGACGGACCGCCGCCCGTTTGACAGGACATGCACATATGTATACTAGAGGATCAAAGAGGGAACCCGCAAGGCGTTACGTAGCAGAACAAAAAGTTTTTTTTTCGTTCAGCTTATGCCGTTTGGTGATATCTGTTATTATCATGTTTTCCATCTCCGCAGCAGACACAGACCATTCCACGAAAAGAAAGTGATGATTTTTTTTAGGTAAATGTGTCAGTGTTGATGTTTACGAAGAAGAGGTAGGTACAGAAATCCCAGCGAATTTGCAGCTTTGTTTTATCCAACCTGGTGCAAGGTTCGTTGTTGTTTCCAACTATCCAAGCTACCTACCTTGGTACTTCTTTACCCAGGTATCTTACTCGATCTCTTAAGTTAACATGTAGGTATGGTGCAGAAATGAATAGTGACTAGACTACCTACATACCTTGATATGGAAAGCTTGGTAGGTACCTAGTAAAAACACGCAACTCGAAAGTTGTTAGGTAGGTACTTAGGTAGTTATGGGTTTACGGACGAGTGTGTGTCTTCCTTTGCTATCTCTGCCGACCGATTGACGACGGTTTTTGTTATCATAGTAGTTCGTACGTATTGCGTCCGACCCAAGCATTTGAGGTTCGATTTCGGATCTATGGTAGGCGGGCTGATCCAACCTTTCTTTCTTTCTTCTTTTTTTTTTTTTTTTTTTTTTTTTTTTTTTATATCCTTTTTGTGTTTTTAAATCTCTGCTTTGGTCTTGAACCTTTCGTTTTCTACCTTGCCTTGCCTTGCCTTTGCCTTAAAGCATCGTTGGTTACGTTCAATCAACTTTCATGGATGTCCCTAACTAGTCCGGTTTGACGTTGGTGAATAAAGCTGGGTGTGGCATAGGATACTTGCCCTTGGGATTGTACGCCATGTATTTGCGTGATTCCGCTACGATATCATCAATAGCAACTCCTTCCTCACAAGTTTCCTTTACATAAACGATGAGATTGATGTCTCGCACACGCCTGTAAACACTGTAGGTAACCACCAACTCAAAGCGACCAATCCCGGATCTCGGAATGAAACCCTTTCTGCATGCCCCAGCTACACTAGAAGCACAACATCGACGCCAAGCCCCTTCTAATCCTAGTCTCCACGCTCACTGTAACGCTTCGCTTACGGGATCCCTCCCTCCCTCCACTGGTACTCTTCTGACTTTATCTCACTTCTTCCTTTGTGATTATGGAAAAACAACATGAGGCTATCTGGAAAATCTGTTACGGCGCCATCTGATCAGCTGCCGCCTTAACACACATGAGATTATGGGGGTCAAAGACATCATGGACAGAAACAACGACAACGACCTGACGCAAGCGGCGCGAAAGTTGGAGGTTTTCAGTATTCAAGAATCTTTAACTTTTTGTGACCCCGCTTTGTCACCACCATCATCAGCATCACCATCACCATCACCATCAGCCTCGGCATCACCATCTCCAGCTCCAGCTCAACAACCACGACCAACAGCCGCATCAGACTCAGACTCATCAGCCATCGACGAGCGGCAATCCATCTGCCCCACCTGCCTCAACCTCAACTACTCCCTCTTCCGCCCCTTCGATTCCCACCCCCCCATCCTCAACTCCTACTCCCTTTCCGTATCCCCGTCTCATAACCATTTCCCATCCAGTGTCTCTACCGCCCTCCCGCCTCGCTACCTCTTAATCGAATACCAAGACCTTCTCCAGACTTCTACTTCTACTTCCACCCCCAATTCCAATTCCAATTCCAATTCCAATTCCAATTCCAATTCCAATTCCAATTCCGAAAGCAACGACAACGGCAACACCCCAGCATGCCCTTACTGCCCCCTCCTCCACAAAGCCATCACTTCATTTTGGGACGACGACCCAAGCTCTTATTACAGATATAAAGCGCCGGTGGCTGACGCACGCTCTTTCCGGCGGATATTATGTCTTACGCAGCAGCCTGCTGTTACTTCTCGTGATGGTTTTGGTGATGGTGATGAGGGGACAGGAGCAGGAGGAGGGGAAACAGGAGGGGGAGGAGGGACGCTCAGACTCTTCAAAGCGCTGTTGTACGATGATTACCCCGATGCGACGTTCCCTCATGCTTTGACGGTGCGGGATTCGACAAGTAGGATCGAGTTTTATCATCATCCTTGGGATTTGGTTGATTTGAAGAAAGCGGAAGAGGAGGGGAAAGAGGGAAAAGAGGGAAATGGGGTGAGGGAGGAAGATAAAGAGCCAGATCCGGAAAAGGAGAGAGGTGAAGGGATCTCTATGGATGAGGTAGGAAATGGCAGGGCGACTAAAGAGTTGAACAAATCGAGAAAATCAGAAGAATTGGGGCGGGAAAACGGGAAAAACGAAGGGCAAGGGGAACGAGAGGGAAGGAAAGACAATGAAAAGGGGCATAAGGAGGGAATTAAAGAAGGGAACCAACGCTGGACCTCCCTCCCCCATCCAGCCATCGGCTTCGCCAACCACGTCCCCTACGCCATAACCCTCAACCGCGTCGTCCGCCTCGCCACCCGCTGGCTTTCCGCCTGCGACTCCTCACACCCCAAATGTGCTCCCGAGCCACACCAACTACCCAAACGCCTCCTCGACCTCCGCGGCGGCGTAAAGCTCATCGACACCACCACCACTTCCCCCTCCTTCACCTCATTTGCATCCACCAACCCCTCCTCCTCATCTCCCAAACCGCCCACATACATGACCCTCTCCCACTGCTGGGGCCTCACCCACCCTCTCCTGACAACCACCACCACGACCCTCGACTCCCACCTCTCGCAAATTCCGTGGTCTTCTCTCCCCATCCTATTTCGCGACGCCATCCTTTTAGTCAGGGAACTAGGCTGCCGATACCTCTGGATCGACAGTCTCTGCATCTTGCAGGACTCTGAGACAGACTGGCTTACTGAAAGCGCAAACATGTCCTCCATCTATGCTCACGCCACACTCAACATAGCTGCCACTGCGCAACGGGATGCGTCTGTCTCGTTGTTTAGACAGCGGTTTCACGGACAGGGATTTCGCGAGCTTAGATTATCTGCTGCGGGACGGAGTGCGGCGGGACTGGGGTTAAGGGCGCCGATGGATACGGTTGAGATTGGGAGTTTGCCTTTGTCTTTGTCTTTGTCTCTGGGAGAAAAAGAAGGGGGAGGGGGGGGCCGAGGGCCAGGGGAAGGAATACAGGTACCGGTTTACGCAAGGATAGGACACGAGAGAAGTCATGAGACGTTATTTGGGGAGGTGGAGTACTTTCGGACGCTAAAGGAGCCGATACTTGGCAGGGCATGGGTTTTTCAGGAGCGGTTGCTGAGTAGACGGACGTTGCATTTTGGGAGTAGCGAGGTGTTGTGGGAGTGTAGGAGCGGGTGCTTTTGTGAGTGTGGGGGGATTGAGAGGGGACATGTGTTGAGTGTGCGGAATTTGAACAACAATGCTGCTGCTAGTTGGCGGGCGCCGGGAACGGGGACGGGGAGTGGCAACAACGACAGAGGTGGAAGGGATAATATGGAGTCTTCGGGACTGTTGAGTCCGCCGTTGCCGTTGTCGAGGTCGTCGACTTTTGAGACGGCGGGATCATCGCTGAGTCATGGGACGATACCGAGGAAGGTGTTGTTTGCCAACCTTACTTCTGGCTCATCACGGCCGGGACAGATGAAGGATAGTAGTAGCCGGCTTCTGCACGACTTTTTCCTGCGTTGTGTGGAAGAGTACTCTTTCCTCTGCCTGACTAAAGAACACGACCGCTCTTTTGCGCTGGCTGGCATCGCGAAACGGATCCGGTCCCTTCTCTCACCTGACGATCGATACCTCGCTGGTCTCTGGCTGCACGATTTACCGAGGGCGCTGCTGTGGCAACCCTACCGCCATAAGAAAGTATGTCGAGCGGGTAGTAACATCCCTACTTGGTCATGGATGTCACGGTCATGCTACCCGGTGGAAAATCTACAAGCAGAACCCGGAAAGAGAAAAGGAAACCCATCGGCGAGCAAGTGTTCGGTACGGTATAAGCACATTACACGCTCGGGGTACGAGTTCGAGCTCGATGACCGACTGCAGGTGGACACCGATCCGGCGAAAACCTGGTGTGAGTTTGAAGGAGACAACGAATTTGGAAAGTTGAGGGGAGGGCAAATTACGTTGACGGCAGCGTATAGATGGGGAATAGTATGGACGATGGGGACCAAACGAAGCAGTAACGAGTGGACGGGGAGGAATAATCTGGTGATCGCTATTCAGGGGAACGAAGAGGGTAATGGTGACGGCGAGGAAGGGGTGCTGTTAATACCCATGGCACCGGATTGTCCGAGACAAGAAGATCCGAAGAGTGTGGCGCTTTTGGAAAAAGTGTTGGTGGTCTTATTTGGTGGAAGGAAGCTAGACAAGGAAACGGGAGGGGATGTAGATGGGCCGCAGTTCTTTTTGGCGTTGAAGGAAGTGGAAGGAAGGGAAGGCGTCTTTCAGCGAGTTGGGTTCTTGGAGTCGGAGTCGAGGGTTGACGTGTTTGAGAATGCCGAGGTGAGGACAATCACCTTGATTTGACAAGATGAGGAAGCAGTGTTCAGGCGATAGGCGTTTACCAGTCCTGACGAGCCGGTGTCTGAGAAGCTCTTAACCCCGATGGCCAGGGGTTGTGCAAGTGCTGCTTAACGCCGAAAGGGTTGGCGATTAGTGCAGATGAGCGAGGAAAGTGTGATGATGAACAGTCCACAAACGAAATACCTTGGGATAAGACAAAAGATGTATAAAGGGAAGGAGAGGGGGCATCATGGTTGGATGGGATGGCCTTGTTTAAAGCCGCTCAATCGCTCTCCCGTTCAACAACAAACACAACATTAACACCACCATCCTCTCAACGCCCATCATCAAGATGTCCCACAACAACACCACCAAGAAGCAAGCTCCGGCCAACTCGCTAGTCTGGCTCGTCACCGGCTGCTCCTCCGGCTTTGGCCTCGAGTTCTATCTCAACATTAAAGCTCGTGGCGACTACATCATCGCTACCGCCCGCGACCTCTCCAATCCCAACATGAGACATTATATCCAAGTTTCCCAAACTGAGGATAATGTATCTGTCCTCCAGCTCGACGTCACCGCATCCCAGGAGTCCCTGAACGGGATCATTGCAGAGGCCATCAAGATTTACGGGAGGATCGACGTGCTGGTGAACAATGCCGGCTACGTAGCGCTGGGCGGTTGGGAAGACCTGGGCTACGACGGCTTCGTCAAGCAATTCGAGACCAACGTGTTCGGCCTGCTCAAGGTCACCAACGCGGTCCTTCCGCACATGCGAGAGCGCCGGAGCGGGACGCTGGTGTTTATGGGTTCGCTTTCGGGATGGAAGGGAAATGAGTTCTGTGGAGCGTATGCGGGGTCCAAGTTTGCTGTTGAGGGTTTGTGTTTTTTTTCCTTCTTCCCTTCTGCTTCCGTCTGGTATCAGTCAAGCCGGCAATCACTTGACCAACCACAGTTTGCTGACAGGAACGATACAACAGGAATGGTGGAAGCACTCCAAAAAGAGGTGGAACAATTCGGCATTCGCACCCTTCTCTTCGAGCCAGGACAGTTCCGAACCAACTTGCTGTCACCTTCTCACGTGGTCGCCAACGTGTCCAAGATTGACGATTACAAGGAAGCGTCGGAAATGACCCTGCGCTCCTATGCCGATGTGGACTCTAAGCAGAGAGGTGACCCGGCAAAGGCTGTCGAGATCATCATGGACGTCGTCCGTAATGAGACCTTCTATCGATATATTGAGGAGGGGGATGTAACGTATGCTTTCAGAAACGCGAAGTATGGGACTATGAAGTTCAGATTGCCGTTGGGACAGGATGCGTTTGATGCGATCAAAACAAAGTGCGACCTTACTTTGGAGGTTTTGGATGCGTGGGAACGTCTCATCACGAGTACCGATCATAATGATGTTAGGCATAGTGATGTTGGGGAGACGAGCGAGGAAGTTTCTACCTAGGATTGTTTTCTGAAGTCGGCTTTTCCGTCTCCCGTCGGCGGAATTCAGACGGCGCGATGATTATACTGTGAATAGTTGTTATTGGGCGTCCCAACTCCGAAACATAGCTATGTATGGCTGTTGTGTCTGTACGTTAGATCCAGATCAGCACACTGGAAGAAAGCCAGGGACTCAAATGAAGAAGAATTCTAGATTGTCTCAACAGGCAAGATTCTGGTTTGGGTTGCCAACAGCTGCTGAATGAGAGCAATGTCCATAACCAGCGAGTAATTTTGTCAAGAGGTCTGATTGCTGTCGGTTATTCCATTCGCTTCCGTTGGGATGTTTGAGTCTGGTGGGTGAAGAAAGAAGAGTAACACATGTCGTCGGGTCGAACTGGCGGTTCCTGCTTCAGGTACTTACTTGGAAGAAAGCTGCTAGTAGAATGTACGTGATTCCCTTTGCTCTTTCCCTTTCTTCTTCATTCCCCATTGTCGTAACACTGCAAAACAACCCGAGCCCGTCACCAACCCCCGCCATTCGTCTTCGATTCTTCCAGGAATCCTAAAAGCAATAAAAACTCGGACATGACACATTGCAGGTGTCACTATATTTCCTATGGGAGACCGGGATGAAGTTTGACATTCAGGCTTTGGGGGTTTTGTAAAATGGGCAGTGGTGATATTGATGTGGTGTTTCTCTTTGTGATGTACGTCTGTCCTCGGCAGCTTTCGGTTTAATGATTGTTCTTTCTGCTAATGCGTACATATGTTTCAAGAGAAACAACGTGGAAAGAGTAATCGGTCGGTTGGTACTGGGTCAAATGTTGTTGTCTGGACCGGCGGAAGTCAGGTTGTGATCGGGCGAATCGGGGGGGCTCGGTGAGACCAGGGCTGATAGGACTGAAAATACCGGGCCATACCTGGTACTGGGGCACATTCCTTCTGAATTGATCATTCCGTATCAGGCAATCGGAGAGAATACACGGAGCTGAAGCGTGACCACAATGATATGGCCATGCATACGCTAGTTTCTCAGCCCCATGGCCATGATGAATCTAGAACCTTGACATGCGCTGATGGTGGATAGCAGCTCGCAATGCCCGATTGGTGGAGGTCAAGAGGGCGTTACAGTTCCCCTCAAAGACACAAGTGCTCGCAGGGAATCTGAGGCAGCTTCTTCCCATCCACTCTGATATAGTCAACGATAGCTTCCTCTCGTTCCTTGTGTCCTCGAACACATCGCATAGGAAAAAATGGCACCTCCAACCCATCGATCTGAAAAGCCAGAACCAGAAGAAGAGAATTATATTGCGGATCCCGGATCCAAGAACATCATCACCTTTGAACAGCCAGGCTTGGTAGGAGGCACATACACCATCCAGGTTCAGCAGACCATTTCGGAAGACAAGTCCGAGGATGATAATCGCAAGGAAACGGACTCGACAACTTGCGACCCATCCACACCCCCAGGGAAACAACAATTAAAAGTTCTCGCCCCAAAATTCCACCTCCCCGCCGACTCAGTCTACTCCATATACCCAGAACAGGGCCACGAAGCGACGCACGACACGCTTCCGCACATTGTCCTCAACAACAGCACTTTGCCATGGGAGCGCATCGGCAGTCGTCAAGCCGAGGGTCATCGTACCGACGACTATTCCAAACACGCCGTGCCATGGATGGCGCTCTTGATCTTCTCCCCGGACGAGCTGCATCTGGACGACGTCGAGAAGGCGGGAATCTTTGCGCATACCAGCCTCAATGCTCCTCCGCCAAAGCAGTCGGAGTCCATGGCTGTCCGCGTTCCGTTGGGTGACCTCGTCAAGCTGAAGGAGGGAACAGCCAGTGTCCCATTTGACGACCAAATCGACCTCGACCAGGCAACCACACCTGATACGAATCTGATCTTTCCCAAGGCATCCTTATTTACTCGCTTGTTCGCAGCCTACGATGACAACGGGGAACCGCAGCCAGGCACACCAGATATTTCGCGACACCGGTTCCTAGCCCACGTCGTCCGGATGAACACAAGGGGAACCGACTCAGACAAGGTCGATACCCCTCGGGAGTTCAGTGTCGTAATCGCTAATCGCATCGGGCCTCTCGACGGTGACGAAGCTTCCCAAATGATCGTCCATCTCGTCTCCCTCGAAAACGTCGAATCGCTAAACCCCGTACCCCTCCCAGAAGTTGTACCAGGCTCATCATCGCCCGAGCAACCTGCTCGCGTTGGGCTCGTCTCCCTCTACAGCTGGTCATACACCTGCCTTCCGCCGAATTCTCTCAGTGTAAAGCAGACCTTTGAGAACCTAGCCCGCACAGCGAGCATGCTCAAGCCCATCATCCCGCCCCATTCGGAACACCTAGATGACGCAGCGAAGCGCATGCTCAACCGGTTTGAAGAAGGCTACACCATCGTGCGCTCCATGACGCCAACAGGGGAACCCACCGCCGCCCTCATCCGCGGCCCGCTAACACCCAACTTCATTGCCCCCCTAGAACGGGATTTTCTCTCCAACTCTGGCGCCGACCTCAAAATCTTTGATGAGAAACTGGACATGATGGACATCACCTACTCCTCCGCCTGGTCACTAGGTCGCTCGCTAGCTTTAGCCAATCGCGCATTCACCGTTTCTCTCACGCGCGTCCGCCATGAGATCTTGCACCCAGGAACTAGTGAACGGGGAGGCTGGAAGACGACCTACGACGACCTCACCGATCCCAGCTCGTCGGACTGGAGTATCGTCCTCCGCTTCGTTTTAGATCTGTACCACCTCGTCAACGTCCCGTCGCGCTACCTCTTACCCGGCCAGAGCATGCTACCCCGCGAGAGCCTCCGTTTCTTTTTCGTTGACGGCAACTGGATCGACGCGCTAGTGGACGGTGCGCTGAGTGTGGGTTATATGTATCAGGGCGGCCTGGAAGGGTCTCCCGTGGAGGATGACGATGTCGTGCGGAGAGCCTTAAAAAAGTCTATCAACCGCTTCATGTTTACCGATCCCACCACAGTCCATCATTATCGTTCTGCTGCCGTTCCCAGGTATGGATTCTTTCTTCGGTCGTCGGTCATTGCTGCTGCGCAATTCCCGGATCTCAAAGTTTCGGTTGTTGAACCCAGCGGCGGGGATCCGAATCTGAAAGTGTTGTTGCGGCATGACATAGTTGCCGAGGAAACCATGCTGGGATTCTTCAGTGAGGCGCCTCTGAAAGGCGAATTGTATCAAATGCGATTTGAGGTGCCCGCCCATCAGCAGTTTTTCTCCTTGGGTAGCGTAACAGATCAAGACCTGGAGGTGGTGTATAAGAGACAGTACACCACCACCAAACCGAAAGTTGAGGATCGATCGAGGAACGTCCCAGTTGCTATGGTTAAGTGGCCTCGAGATGGGAAGGGGAAGTCCATGTCGACGAACGACAACGATACTCGAGAACGGAGCCAGGTGTTTATTTGGGGGTCCAAGTCTGGTTTAAATGATGTTCGGTTGGTGCTCGTAGAGAAGCTGGCTGCCGATGTTCATGCTACGTTGGTCAAGGAGATGGCGGAGCTTGGTTCGGACTGGTATGAGGAAACGACTGCCACGTCTGCTATGATGGCCTACCAGCTTAGCAGTCGTTCGTGGCACCTGCAAATTGGATGATAGATATTCATGGGCGCGGGGACAAGCTCGGGAGAACTGACGAAATGTTCAAGTTGGGTATAGCAGCGCGGAATTGCGAGGGGGGTTGTGGTGTGAGTTGAGATGCGTTGACGGGAGACATCCCTGAAATTCTCGTTAGTACACTACGCCTGTACACCTCTGTAGCTGGTGATAGCACCAACACTTACATCGTCCTTGGCCGGTCATTCGAACTTTAGGGTTTCTCTTGAGCGTTTAACCCATCCGCCGCCCTTGATGGTCTTGATGGTCTTGATGATGTTCACAGTAATGCACACTATTGCCAAGATTCAAGTGAAGTGATTCATCTGCAACGCCCAGAAGGAAGCTGTTGACCAGAGCTTGTTTGGTTCTCATAGTAGCGATAGTCTGGCGGTCGCTACAGGAGAGGTGTGAGGCGGGAATATGGTTGTGTTTATATGACAGATGTCCTCCTATGCTTTGGTAGTGTAAGGAATGCTAGATTTGGTTCGAAAAAAGTGAGCAATGAGGACCAACGAAGCTGGACACGAAACCAAGAAAGGTGTCAGCGTACACGTGTAATGGCGCTTTGGGCTTTGGTACACCGCCGAATGCCTAGTCCCATTATGGCATGAAGAATGGTCGGAACAGCTGGACAGCTCAACTGGCCAACTTAACTGGGAGGATTTTCGATTTTCAGTCATGATTGCGAAACGATTGCTCCGTGACGGGTGTTCATTATTTGAAGATTTGGAGAACGAGTATGAAACAAGTTGCTGTATTACGCTGGAAATGTCATCGCAGTATCCACTACTCCGTCCGCAAAACGGGTATCATTACCTCTCGTTTATCGCTATCAAGTCAATCCCCAGCCTTAGTCCGAATCACTCGAGTCGGAGCTGCTGCCGCCGCCGCGGTGCTTGTCCTTCTTGTGGTGCTTGTCCTTCTTGTGATGCTTATCCTTCTTGTCCTTCTTGTCCTTCTTCTTCTTCTGGAGCCTGTGACAGTTGTTAGTCAGCACATCATCCTTTGTCAGGCCAAGAATCACGCCCAGGTCCAATCCCACCAACCGCAGAACGACACAGGCTGGCAACAAAGAAACAAGGGGCAAACTTACTTATCCTCCAACAGATTCGCCGCAATCGCGCCTCCAACCGCGCTCACCACACCACCCAGGGTGCCTGCTCCACCAGCATGCGCCAACATGGCGCCCATTCCACCACCAGCCAGCGTAGCGCCGAGACCACGCTCACCATCAGGGCCTACGGGACCTCCTGGGCCGCCCTGGCCTGGGTACTGCTGATGCTGTGGTGGGTATCCCTGCTGATGGCCGTAGCTCTGCTGGCTCTGGTCATGGTATTGTCTCTGGCCATCCTGACCATACTGTGGCTGGCCGTAGGGCGCTTGGGGATTGTGAGGCGGGGGAGCGTTTCCGTAGGACTGGTGGCTGTAGTCTTGCGATTGCCCGTGATACTGAGGAGGTGCTTGGTGGTAGCCACCTTGAGGAGGAGGGGAGGAGTAGGAGTTGTGAGGGGGGTAGGGGGCGTCTTGCTGGCCGCCGTAGGGGGGATAGCCGCCCTGGAGAGAAGAGAACAGGATGTTAGCTGGATGGACTTGTGATGATTGAAGTACGGACCGGGATATTATGAACGGCGTAGGAGAGGACGGGAGAAACAAACCTGTTGCTGGCTCTGGTACTGGGGAGTGGGTTGGCCATGGCTGTAGCCGTAGGGGTTGTTCTGGGGAGGCTGCTGGCCGTAGCCACCGTTTCCGCCTTGCTGGCCTTGGTTGTAGTAGTCTTGTGCCGACATGTTGTCTGTGTAGATATGCCGCTCAGATAAGATGAGCTAGGTAGGTAGTATTCGATACGATGGGAAAGTGGAAAGAAGGTGGGAAAGAAGATGATGTCGAGGGAGCAATTGATCGTGGGGTTGGGCTGCTCTTTAGTGATTGTTACAGTGGCCGGGCTCAGTGGACGTTCTGCCACATGGGAGGACTCCGATGACGAATAGGGGACCTTGTCCCCGCCATGCCCCTGGGTCAAACTGCCCCTGGTGGATCCCCGAGCCGTCCGGTTGTGGGGTTTCATGTGGGCAATTCACGCAGCGTCTCCACAGCCTGTTTGTTGCATCATGGGGTTGTGGCGCAGCTTGGCTCAGCCCTACGCTGATCGATGCATTACGCGTACCGAGGCATTCGTCTTTAATTCATTGTAATCAAGTATCATCTCATTGTAGTATTTGGGGGAGTAGACACGGAAATCGCAGAGTTGCAAGTAAAAGAGATGGTCGAAGGCTCGGAGTTGCCTTTCAGGCTTCCCAAGCTCCAGTGTGTTGCTAACAGGACAAGCCGCAATCTCAGTGGGGTCCTGTTAAGGTACTGAGGTGGCACGCATCCAATCCATCCCCATTCAACAACAACGAATCAGGATCAATTCGTTGATCACGATGGCTCTTTTGTCCTCACCTCTACCTTATCATTTCTGCCTGTCACAGTTCGGTGATGCCGGCCGCGAGGATTTTCTCTCTGGTCCCTCGAGATGGCCTACAGGTAGTATTCTTTCGTGGCAATTTGTCGGACACAATTTTACCGATTTCCATGTTTCCCAAACCCGGGAGTCGAGGTCTTCCTTCGCTGTCCTTGGTTGTCCTTCAACGGGCCGTTATCATGGAAATTACAGCATTTTCCTCTCCTTTCGGTGACAATGTAACCCCTCCGATTCACCACGTGTACCCGATGCCCTTGGATCCGACATGAAGCCCATCCCTGCCCACCGATGGCCCGGTTGAAGGGCTCCCATCGGATGTTCTCGTCTTTCCGATGCTCGAGCATGTCGGCCTTGCTCGCCGAGAGTTATATGAACTGTTGCGTTTCCCGGGAGCTGGTGGACCAGGCTGGACCCCTTTTAGTCTAATGCTTGACAGCGTTACAATCAAAATGGCGAAGCTTTACCCCGCCATCGTCACTGGTGCGCTGCACACATTTCAGCAGAACGAGGAACATCGATGTATCACTGTTGTTCTATCTCACGGGACGCGCTGTCCATTAGCTCTGTCACAGTCTCATCAAGCTCGGATTCCTCGAGATGGAGGAGTTGCCACCTTGCAAATGGTGTGGTCATCCACCGACCTCCAGCGTTGGCCTCAGCGTGTTCAGGAGCTCACTCATTGCCATGGAGGCCAACGCAAGCACATGCCTGACTTGTTCTATATTCTCCACAGGTATAAGAACATACCTTTCCAATACATCCATGCCTGTACCCAACGACCTTGATCATTTGGCTGTCATTTTGGGTAAGCTGGCTGTGGGCAAAGGAATGACTGTGGAGATACCGCTGGGCCCATCCCTCCTCAGACTGTCATTTTTCTGCTCAAAAAGTAAATCACCAGTCTCAAGCCTCTCGTTGTTGGTTGAAGTGTAAAAGCTGACACTTTTGATAGGAACGTCTTGGGTGATCCGAACCTTGCCCTTCCTGGACATTGGAAAACAGATCCCAAAGACCACTTCTTCAGACGAAAGTCTCTCATGGGCGATTCAGCAAATCAACCACTGCAGGGACAGTCATCAGCACTGTAACTCATACTTAAGCGCCGCCATTCTACCTAAGCGAGTTGTCTTTGTCGGTACAACGGCAGAACCTGCCCTCCGATTGTACGAATCCCAGGGCGAAAGAGATTTCTACATCTGCTTAAGCTACTGCTGGGGTCGCCGTCCTTTTCTCCGTACTCTATTCGATAATCTCGAGTCCCACAAAAGATGCATCAACCCTGACGATCTCCCCCCGACTATGCACGATGCTATCGAATACACCCGCCAACTCGGAGTCCACTATATCTGGATCGATAGCTTGTGCATTATCCAGGATTCCGTTCTCGATTGGCGAGAGGAGGCGGGAAAGATGGCATCCATCTATCAAAGGTCGTATCTTGTCCTGTCCGCCACTTCTTCCGCCGACGCCTATGGAGGCATGCATGTCTCCCTCCCTTCCGACTACCAAACATTCGCCTTGACAGTTAACACCAAAACAAACGAAATCTGTGACTCCAATATAGCCGATCAGGCAAACTTCCCGATGACAACGAATACTACAGAGACATTTTACGTCCGCCGTACATATGATCATGTCAACCGAGGGACTTCAAGCTACGCCGGTCGAATTCCAATGCTTCCGACCAATAAGCGTGGCTGGATTTTCCAAGAACGCTTTCTTTCTTCTCGTGTCCTGCACTTTGGACCCCACGAGCTCTACTTTGAGTGCCTAGAGGATTCGGCCTGTCAATGTACCGACCATAGCAACTCATCCCTGGACCAGGAGAGTGTCTTAGGGTCTAAGGGGGGCGGGGTGAATGAGACAACCCCACAGCAATCGCATACGGATAATTTTCAGCAACATAGTTCCATGCGTAAAACGATAGCGAAAGCATACTATGGCCCGGTGGTTTGGAGGATAATGACCCGCGATGAACTCATGTATGCGTGGCATAATATGGTTCATGACTTCACGAGACGGGATTTGACGTATGCGAAAGATTTATTTCCTGCCATATCTGGATTGGCGAGGGAGATGAGCGTTGCACGTGCAGCACTACATGGCAATGCGGACAAGGCATACGGGACAGGATACTATGCTGGTTTGTGGAAAGACAGCCTGGTGCGAGATTTGTGCTGGAAGGTCGGATTTGAGAATATCGCTACTGACGATGAAGATGAGGTGAAGAGAATCAAGGCATGGACAGACAGGGCGCTTGGATGGCGGGCGCCAACGTGGTCTTGGGGCTCCGTCAACGCACCTGTCAAGTTCCTGGGGCAGGAACATGGCACGAAGGACTTCTTTACACCCTTGTGTGAAGTATTAGATGTTTCCAGTACTGCTGCAGCCGGATCTGATGAGATGGGTGAGCTGATCACAGGGAGGCTAGTACTGCGCGGGCAGCTTTTGCCGGCCAGAGTGACACATCCGCGATTAAAAACCTGTCGGCAAGACGGGCTACGACTCCCATGGCAGATTCTTAGCTTGGAGTTCGGGGTGCTGGTTGAGAATTTTGTGCAGCACCTGTTTGTTGACGACGGATGTCAGGATCTCTTGGGGCTTTTGGATGAGATGGACGCTGGTGGTGATCCACCTGTTGTTTACTGCTTTTTGCTTGGGGTAGTAAGGAAAGGGGGAAGTCCAGTATTTCTCTTGCTAAAGAAGGTCAAAGGGCAATCGGAGGAAGAAGTGGGCCAAGACGTTTATCACCGGTTTGGGAGGCTTCAGCTGACAGGACCTCCCCGCCGCCCGAAGAATGATCGTACACCATGGAAGGAACGATTTGGGGTACTTGCGCAAGCCAAGGAAGAAGTGGTCACGATCATCTAGTCAGAGGGCTGCCGGATCCCAGGTGAACTTGGGCAGAGCACAGAGTCGGTAGGCTGAGGGCAACAAAGGAACATGACAGCAACAACAATTACATGGACGCACATGTGACCTATTGGATCTCTGAATAGACATTACAAGACATAGCGGAAAAGACATTTATGAAGTCACCGATATAGGGCAGTCAACATACTGGAAAGCGAGTGTCTGAACGTTACATAAGTTAATGGCGACAATGAATTTATACCCCTTAACGATAATCACATCGCAAAGAAATGTCAACCCGAATTATCGTGGCATACCACAACGGTACCCAGAACCAGATATGCTCCTAACTGCCGACATCACCATAACAACCAACCCCAGAAAACCAACAAAAAAAAGAAGAGAAGCAGATGACGAATAAGGCAAATGCACAGACAGTATGGGGAAAAATGTCACAAAAAAAGAAACGATCCGGATGGGACTCGAACCCACAACCTCAGTCTTATCCTCCCGGAATTAGGAGGACCACACGATACCATTTCGCCACCGGACCGCTTGCTGTTGTTAGATATTAAGGTTGCAAAGAAGACTATATGTGGAAAGTCAAAAGTGGGTAGTTGCAAACCACACAACAACAACAACATTGCGCGCATCCGGACAACTTGACCAGACACCCTACAACGTAATGAAAAAGATGTTATGAACTCACAAGCAAGTATCGTAAAGCTACTGATAAATTTGGTTGAATGTATGAATAAAAAGTTACTAACAACGACCACAATACCCGCACTTTTCCGAACACGCCGTAAAGTCCTGCTCTGTGTCGTCAAACTCCCAAGGATCATCTTCTTCGCCGTCGGAGTCGGTTGCATGCTTCTCGCGAGCAAGGTCGTGTCTGAAAAAGTAATTGTTTTTCATGGGGTTGTCCCAGCTATTACTTTTGTCATCATCATCATTCGTGTTGCCGTCATACTGGCGGCCCTTCTCTTGAGTGTCGACGTCCTCCTCTTCCTCTTCCTCAATATAAATTTTCGTATTCCTTTTCTTCTCCCGTATATCGGACTTCTCATCTGCAGGCCCATCCTGCGCATTGATCCATTCAGTTCTGATAGCATCCGACATCACCTTGTCGCCCTTAATTATGTCGGTTTTCTTCTTCTTCCCCTCTTCGTCATCACTTCCATCCTTCCATCCGTCCAGGGACAGCTTCTCAGCCGGCCATCCCTGCTCTCTTATTTCCAGGATACCGATCGCATCTTCTCGGTGCACGACTTCCATCTTCTTTCCTTCTATCTCGTCGACGACCTCCCGGATCCACTTCAAAAGTCCGACTAACTTCGTCAATGCCTGCTTTTGCTCCTTCTCCCACCGCTTGACGTCTTCTCGAACGTCCTTGATCTCCATGTCTTCCCTTTGAAATAGCCCGCGGGTGTGGTAAGCCAAGATGAAGCGCGGGATTTGAGAGACCCAGAGCCGAGGTAGCTCTTCAGAGAGAGTATCTTTGACGCCACGAGCGCGGATGGAGCGGGTTTTGAGGTCGAAGATTTGGGATTGGGGTACTAGGGAGTTGGGGCTTTCTTTGATGGTGAGGGTCGGGGCAGAGGATGCTTTGCTGTTGACTTGCGAGATTGCCGAGGAGTCACTGTTAGAGGAAGAGGAAGAGGCAGAGATCTTGAGAGACGAAAACAGCCCGTCCACATCTTGGTTGTCACTCTCATCCTCGCCAACTTTCACGGTACCAATACCATCCGCACCCCCGACCTCATCCCTCATGTACCCATCAGCCTCAAACCTCACCAGCAACTTCAACCCTCCAAACCGGTACGTAATGACTCTCTGATGCGAGCTACTCCCTTTTGCCTCCCGCTCCCACATCGTGTACGCCTCCGGAAACGCATGTCCGTACCCCCTCACGTCCGGAATCGTTTCCGTCGGGGAGTTCTCCCTCCGAACAAAAAACACCGTGGTGCCCACCTTCTCGACCAAAATGCGAAACGTCTTGTCCTGTCCGCGCACGAAGCGGAGTAAGTTGCCGAGCGTGCTGCTGCATGCAACAATGTCCAGCGAAGAGATGAGAGATGGGTTGAGGTTGCCCGTGGTGCGCAAGCAGGTGATAAGTGTAGGCTCGAGGGGGTGCTGGGGATAGCGAGCGGCGTTGCGGTCGCGGTGGTAGGTGCCGCTGTCTTCGCGGAGTTGAGGGGGTGGGTTGGGGGGTGGGGACCACAGGGGGGGGTTTGCCTTTTTGTATGGGTGTAAGTGTTAGTATTATTAGTGTTAGTGGGTTGGGGTTTGGGAAGGGGATGAGGTGGAAGGGGAGACAAACCAGGAATCAAAATTGTTGGCTCAGAGAGGCTGGTTTCTAGCCAGTTGTAGGATGCTATAACTTTGCAGTCTTGGATGGTGGCCGAGTGTTGGTTGTTGGGATCATTGTCGAGGTCGTTAACACGGAGGGACTTGAGCAGTGGTCCGAGCGGCGGTGGTGGTGTTGCTGGTGTTGAGGGCCGCGTTTGTTTGCTGAAATATCGGCTTTGTTTCCCCGAAGAATTGTAAGATTGAGCTTTTCTGGCCCAATAGGAGGACATGGTGATGTATGGAAGGGTAATTAGTCGAGTCAAGAAGAAAAGGGTGATGGATGAGATGGGTGATGGTGATTTGGGTTGCTGAGGAAGGCACTGTTCTGTTCTCTCCTCTTCCTCTTCCTCTTTTTTTCCCTTGACCCATTCCAACTTCCTCCTTTTATCCAAGAAACACCTCAGCCAGGACACACACCACATCCGATTTCCGTCGACATCCCAGCTTCCCTCACAGGTCACATCTTGTGCGGTCTCCTCCATGTTCTTCCTCCTGTCTACCTTCCGTCTTGTCTGTTTGAGGCCTGTTTTGACGTTAACTTGCATGTCGGGTGCCATCAGCAGCCAACCGATGAGGAAAACGCCTCGCAACGCCATCACGGGCCGCTGATTTGACGGCCAGCGACCACTGGCTGACACGGATCGTCTGCCGCTATGCGGGCCGCTATCTGGGGACAGATTACAGTGGGTCTCTCCCGAAATAACAGTACCTCTAGGTGGTCGGTTGCACTAACAAACTGAACGTCCGTTTACCTTACCTCTAGGCCCCCAACCCCCCACGCCGCAAAGACCCGACCTCCCGTCGTTCCCCGCGTCGCTCCCGCTCAGGCTTTGTGCCACGACGTCTGCCTCCAACAAAAGACAACGGGACTGGTCAAGGCCCCGACCAACCTCCGCCATCGAGTGAGAGCCAGATGTCAAACAGCATAATGGGCCTCTTGCATCCAGCATTGCGGCCAAATAACCGGCCATTGATTCAGGCTTTCTCGCAGCTTCGAGGTGTTCTACAGCGAATCGCCTTATTGACCTTGACAACCCCGCTGCCAGCCTGCCGCTGCTCAGTCTACGATGGCCGCCATCACGAATCACGATGGAGGATGCACGACATACTCTATGCGTGAGGCCGGCAGCCAGCACATCATACCCATGTCGACGCCTTGAAAGGGAAATGGCAAGCTTCGTCGTTTGCAGCATCGAGATTATGATTCGGCCGATTACATACCCTACTTCCCGTCAAGCCAGTCTGCCTTTCCACCAGAACGATGGTCGTCATGACTGGGCTTGCTGCCCTTGTGCAGGTCTCGGTCTGGGCCGGAGCAAGCATTGCCTCCAACAACACTACGTTATCGAGCGGTTAATACAAAGGCCTCCGGTATGCTCCGGACTAGGAAGGTTTGTGTACTGCAACACAAGAGAGTTTCGGGCCCCAGCCATGAACTCTGCTGCTTCGAACGACTGATATATTCCAACAACACCTCGGGGGTTCCAGCGACCCATAACTGGGACGTGCGCATATCGAACTTCATTCACAAACAACTACAATACCATCGAAGCCGGATCCCACTACCATTTCCTAAGCCCCTACCAGCTACGTCCGACACTACCTAGTCAACAATAGTCCACTATGGCCTCCAACAACCCCCGTGAGAGACGCCTGAAGTACCGTTTTCGTCAGCTTATCAATGGCGAGAAGCGAGTCACCGACTCCCATGACGCTCAGCTCTTCATCGAGGCCATCCAAACTTATGAGCCACCGAGCACATGTGTCGAGATGATTGTTTCCAGCCCTGTTGGTCTCGACGCACTCCGAGACTCTGTCCGAGCCAACCTTTCCGCTGCATTCATCCTTTCGCACACCTTCCCCCTCTTGAGATACTTTTCCGACCCAGGTGTCAAAGCCCTTGCCGATGGTCAGCTGCTTCATCGGATCCTCATCTCACTTGGAAAGCCTCTCACGCTTTGGAAAGCTCTAATCAAGCTCTTCCATGACCATCAAATCCCTGACGATCAACTTGTACCTTTTGTCTGGCTCGGTCTCGGACTTCTGTCCCTTCCCAAAGATGCCGATGTCAACATCACGGATGATGTCAAGATCCTGGTTGAAGGCACGCGACTGTCTCAGGCTGAGGACCACGACACCCGTGATCTGTTCTACCGGCTGAAGAACGTGTTAGAGCTCCAGTCGTCGCTCGCCGAAGATACGGAACAAAATGGTGCAGGCGGTCGACACGACAACGATTTTGCTTCCTTCAGAGATATTCTCATCTATCCTACTGAAGACGAGTTCCTCTCCACACATCAGCCCTTCTACCGTACTGCAAAGGAGGTGGCTGATGCTCCCGCAGAAACTCGTGCTGCCGTTCATCTAGACAACCAGTTCAGGCTTTTACGTGAGGACATGCTTGCTGAATTGCGTGAGGATCTTCAAGTTACGGTTGGCAAAAAGAAGGGAACCCGACAGTCTCTAGTTCTGAGCGATCTTTCACCTGTCGGACTCGATTTCGGTGACGAGGATAGAGGAAGATACAAAAAATGCTGCCTTCTCCTTCGGTGTCACCAGGGTCTCCAGTTTCTTGAAAACCTGGAAGAACAGGACCGAAGAAAATTCTTGCGGAACAATCCCAGTTTCCTTCGGCATCAGTCGTTTGGGGCACTTAGCCGCGGTAAAGATGTTATTGGGTTTGCCTTCCTTGACAGAGACGTTGACTATTTGACTAAGTGGCCACCTATCATCCCACTGCAGTTCACCGACAGTCGTAGCCTTGGAAGAACCCTGTTGGCCTTACGGCTAACGAATCCCGCCTGCATCCAATTCACTCCGGTCGATACGCCGGTTTTCGCCTACGAGCCAGTACTGAGGGGCCTCCAGGCAACGACCGAGCTACCATTGCAAGAGTTCCTGGTCAATCCTACCACCAAGAATCTTGATTTTGAGCAGGTATTGGAGCTACAGGACTTTATCGAAACAGCCACGGCGATTTACAGCAACATGTCAGACAATGGTTCTGCTTCCCTGGGCGGCGATGTCCGCGTGGACAAGTCTCAACTGGACTCGTTGATTCATGCTCTGACAAGACCGATAAGTCTGATACAGGGGCCACCTGGTGAGTACACAGTGCCCGCTCTCTGATTTCCTGTATTAACTTTACGTAGGCACCGGAAAGTCGTTTATAGGTGCCCAAATTGCAAAGTACATGTTTGCGGCCAAACGACGGATACTTGTGATAAGCTTTACCAACCATGCGCTGGATCAGTTTCTCGAAGATCTCATCGATAACGCGCACATTCCAGAAGATAAGATCGTGCGTCTAGGGACATGGAGCAAATGTACCTCAAGGACCGAGCCTCTCCTTCTTAGTAAGCAGCAAGGCAGCTATCGGCGTTCAAAAGATGCATGGAACATCATCAACAACCTTCGAAGTACCATAGATGACTCCATCGAAGACTTGAGCCAGGCGTTCAAATCTTATCAAGCGTCCAACATTACCTGGGATGATATCGCCGAGTTCCTTGAGTTCTCAGATGAGTACACTCCGTTTCACAAGGCACTGCTTGTCCCTACAGCAGACGAAAAGGACTGGGAGCGTGTTGGAAAGCGTGCTGGGAAGCGACAAAAACAGGTAAAGAAGGACTATCTCTATGACAGATGGAGCACTGGCAAGAACCCCGGCATCTTCACACAAGACATTCCAGTTGAGTGCCGCCCAATCTGGGATATACAGCAAGCAGACAGGGAGAATTACTTGAACAAGTGGGTGAAGGCACTCATCGGGGAGCGTCTTCAAACGGTCGAGGAGCAAGTCCGACAGTTCAACAACAGGCAAGACCAGATCGAGACACAGTTCAATGAGGCAGATGCACATATTGTGCGCCAAAAGATGGTGATCGGATGTACCACCACTGCAGCAGCTAAACACTCAGGTCTGATACGAGCCGCTATGCCAGATGTGGTTCTCGTTGAAGAGGCTGGAGAGATTCTGGAAAGTCATGTCCTTACAGCTCTGACATCTTCGGTCAAGCAACTCGTCCTGATTGGAGACCATAAACAGCTTCGACCCAAAATCAACAACTACGCCTTGTCGGTAGAGAGGGGCGACGGCTTCGACCTAAACCGTTCCCTCTTCGAACGTCTCATCCTGGAGGGAGCACCACACACCACCCTACGCAAGCAGCATCGCATGGTTCCTGAAATATCTCTGTTCCCACGCGAGCTTACGTACCCGGATCTTCTGGATGGTCCCGGCACCAGTGGAAGACCGCATGTTCAGGGACTTCAGGACCGAGTTATCTTCGTCAATCACGATAAACCAGAGGACTCGGACAGGTCGTTACGGGACCGTCGTGACCCAGGAATGAAGGAAAGCAAGAAGAACTCGCATGAAGCGCACATAATCCTGAGCTACCTGAAGTACCTCGGCCAGCAGGGTTATTCCGCAGATCAAATTGTGATCTTGACTCCCTACCTGGGACAATTGAGGGTTTTGCAGGATCTCCTGCGGAAGCACCAACATGATCCAGTACTGAGCGAGATGGACAACAGGGAAATGATCCGTCATGGCTTGATGTCGGAGGCTGCTGCAAAAGTTGACAAGAAGCCACTCAGAATTTCGACCGTTGGTCAGTTTTATCACGCTTCGAGCCCCCCTAGAGTGTTGCTAACAATGAAGCAGATAACTATCAGGGTGAGGAAAGCGACATTATCATAGTGTCCCTTACCCGGAGCAACAATAATGGGGATATCGGGTTTCTGTCCGCCCCAGAGCGCCTTAATGTCCTCATCACGAGAGCGAGGGATTGTCTGATCATGATCGGAAATATGGAGACGTTCATGAACAGCAAAAAGGGCGCTACGACTTGGCGGCCGTTCTTCGAGTTACTCAAAACCCACAAGCATCTGTACGATGGCCTCCCAGTGAAGTGCGAAAGGCACCCGGAGAGAACAGCAATACTGCGGGAGCCAGAGGACTTTGAGAAGACGTGTCCGGATGGGGGCTGCACTGAACCATGGTATGTGTAAGATCGCTGATATGTTCATCATAGGCTTCGCTAACAGGATCACCCCCGCAAGCAACGCATTTCTCAAATGCGGCGTACACAAATGTGCATCTCGCTGCCATCGCGTTACAGACCACAGCCGGTCTGAGTGTTCTGAGGTTGTGGCGAAGGTTTGCACCAGACAACACAGGTACAAGGTGCGTTGTATGCAGCGAAACGAAGGTTGTCGAGATTGC